AGAAGTGGTTGAGATAAAGTCAGAGAGTCAGACGGAGGAGGAGCTTGAAGAGGTCAAAGAAGAACAGAGCAAAGAAGAAGCAGAGGTTAAGGAAGTAGAGGTCGAAGAGAAAGCTGAGGAAGTGGAACCACAATCAGAGGAAGAAAAGTCAGATTCCCCTTCAGAAGAGAACAAAGAGAACGTGCTTGAGATTCACATGCCAGTCCAAGTCGTTCTGCAGACGGCGCAGGTGTTCGAGGAACCATCGGTGGAAGAAGAGGCCGCGGTGGAGTTTGACAGCAACGGCCCTGTGGCTGAAGACACCAGCGTAAAACCAAAGAAGGCTGCAAAAGAAAACCAACTCTCAACGCTGTCAGAAGAGCCCCAGGTGCCAGCTGCAGCAGAGGTTTCCACTCCCAGCCAGGACTCAGAGGCAGAGGCACCGGGAGCACCGTCGGGGAAGTGTGCGGAGGTGATGGCGCAGGTGATGGAGGTGATCGAGGAGGCTGTGAAGGAGATCGAGCCTGTGTCCACAGAGATCACAGCAGCATCATGAGCAGGTGAGACCGATCTTACAACAGTGATATTACATTCGAATGACAACTGTTATTTATTTGGGGTTCCTATTGAAATCCTATAATTGCGATGAGGAACTTAAATAAGTGGTGAATTGTAATTACTGTCGATACATTATTATTTTACTACAGATGTAAGCGGCTGGAAAAGCTTGAAAATGCTCCTTTAAGTGCTTGAAAAAAATATTGAACTTGGGTAAAACAAATAATAGTAATGAATAAATTGGAGCTAAGAACAAATTAAAGTAAATGAAATGGGCAATGAGTTAACAAACAGTAAAGAAAGAAAAAAAGGTCGTTATTTTTTCTAATTCCTTTGTTGGCATATCAAGCAATCTTCTCATAGTGGCTTTTTTTTAAACATCAATGGGCCCTACTTTTATTAGGGAGTAGGGGAGGGGGTTTGCCCACTGACCAGATGAAAAAAGCTTTTGTTCGGGGTATGAGTAACCAGGGGACCTTTGATATCAAAGCAGGAATGCCGCCGTTGACCCCTTCTTTGTAGGCTGGGGTCTTAAAGGGAAGCGGTGTGTGAGGGGCAGATGAACTTGTGCTGAAAGACTGATTATGATTCCTCCGCTCCCTCCTCCTGGTTTCCTTCTATAACAGACTCAGTATGGAGTCAAGAAACCATGTCGGAGCATGCATTTGTTAGTTTCAATTACAAAGCCTCAAAGGGCTCAAGCTGTTGTTGTTTCAGTTGTTTTGCTTAAATTATCTGGATGTGTAATAACGTTTTAGTGTCACTAATGTAATCTGATCTCACCAATGTGGAGGAGGGAAAAACCGGGCGTCCTACACTCTAATATTTATTAGGCAGTCAGCAGCTTTGCAGCGGCTGAAGAGGGATACAACGGGGAGAGAAAATAGCTTGATGTGTTACAGCAGTGTGATCGCAACACTTAATGTTTACCGATTCATATAAATAAACCTTGAAGCAACAAAAAAAAGAAAGGAAAAGCTAAAAAAGAGGGCTAAATAATTTAGCAGGGAACTTAAAAATATTATGCAGTAATGATATATATGTACAGTTTATAAATTAGTTTTCATGGCATATATTATTTATCGACGCAGCCGAATATAGCAGTCCATCCCATGAAAAATGAACACATTGGTGGTGAACATAGCAGGTTACAAAAAAGGCTTGAACATCCTGAATCACTATATGATGTTTCCATCCATACCTCTCACCACCTCTAGTGTTCTAATGAATGAATGGATGGATTATATAACCTTTAAATTAAGCTTTTAAAGGATATTCTGGTCCTGCAACCTAGCATACCAACGGATAAAGATATTTATAAATGTGATGTCAATCTCAGATGGTTTATTCTCAAAAGCAGAAGATCAAGTATTTACTTATTCCTAATATCATGTTTTTGTTCCTCCATTACAGCTGGAGATACATTACTGATGCCTGGGAGACACACTGTCTGGACCAGGAAGTGAGTGATGAGGGAGCGAGAGAGAAAGAGAGAGAGAGAGAGAATGAAAGAGGCTGGGACCGGGCTCCTCCCATCCCGCCCAGAGAGACTGAGTGACTGAGCAACAGCTCCGCCATTCTCTCCACCTCCCAACCAACTGTACTCCAACCCCATCCTGCAGCCCAGTCACCGCTAAACGTGACGTCCCACCGCTATGTCCTCACCCTTCACCCGCTCTCATACACACGCACACACTAAAGCATGTCCTGGCTTGTCATCAGTGTGATGTGTGTTCAGTGACTTTCCATTTCCCTTGCTGCATAAGACGAGAGTCAGCAACCTGGTCGAGTGTGTATCTGTTCATATGTGTGTTTGTATGTGTATAGTACGGAGAGTAGGCTGGTGTCAGAAGGTGATGAGATGGAGGATTATTATCTTGTATATTGTATTTATATCTTGAATATTCTTTCATTCACCCCTATTTTTTTTTTGTCTGAACATTGTTACCTTGTTGTTTTTAAAATCCCCAAATGATACTGTGATACATCAGGTATTTGTTTGAGCAACATTATGATGAAAGGGTAGTGAATAGAAACATCAATAAAGTATAATTTCCGCAAATAAATGTGACTGCTTATAAGTAGCTGATGCATCACAGGTTTTAATGGTCATATTTTTTCAATAATGATTTCAGTAGCAGAATAGCTAAACCATGGTACAAGTGTGATTCCACTGACAGTAAGTGATAACAGAGAGTTTATTATCATCTACCGGAAACGCTCTATTCTCTTGTCACAATGTGTTCTCACTCTGCACCCAACAAAATACTTAATAAGCTTCATGTAGATAAGACCAACAATCACTGCCTGATTTACTGTGAAAAATACATTGTTTTATGTAATAATACAATAAAATACTATTATAACACCCTCATGTGATCATGTGACAGAGATATATGTGGTTAACAGTGACATGCAGAGAGATTAAAAATACTTTTTTTTACACTGTCACACTGCATTGACATGTATCTGTTAGAAACACAAATATATCACAATATTGTAAGGCCATGTTTCTGAAGTTATGTGTGACATACTGTATGTACTATTTGTAAAGTTTAACACCTTCCTTACTACACTATATTTATTCTTCTTTATGAAAAGACAGTATGTTGATGCCCTCTGTTGCCTACAGAAAGTAGCGCACCCTTTAGTCCTCTGTCATTTGTTTCACTTTGGCTTAAACAATGTTTTAACAGAATGATAAAGTCTTAAAAAAACCATGTTCTTTACTCAGCATGATGGCTCAGGCATAGGTTGGGGATTTAGAGGCACAGACACTGACTGCATGGTACCAGAAGTGAAAATAAAATCTCCTTTAAAAGCCAAATTGAGTTAGGATCAATCAGGGAGTCATGGACTTTCCATTGCTCACAGGATAAGACATCAGTTGCATCCAATTAAAATCCTAAAGCATCTAAGGAGCTGCTGTTGCTAGTTACTCATCAAACCTAAGTCACATGGTCAGGCTTTCTTGTGCTTTGGCAAAGTGAGACGATTAGGCTAAAGGATGATGGGGAAACTCCTTGGTTCCAGTTTGACCACCAAAGCAAAGGTTACACTGGTATTTGTTTATGTGTTACCAAATTGGCAAACTTGCACTGTGTCAATCCTTCAGACATCATGAGAATGAACATTCTTCTATAATCCACTGATACAAATTTTACACGAGCAGCTCTAGACGCTCACGTTTCACTCAGCTTTATGACCAAACGAGAGAAAGGTCAGGAAGTATGAGCCCTTGTTAGGTCACCACTTCCCTTTATTTTGACTCTAGAGGGTGTGCCACATCCATACTTGCTTTATGTAAAATAAATGATTAGAGAAATCACAATGTGAGCTTACGACTTTTGCTATTGTTGCATAATGTAAAGCATTTAGTTGGGCCACGCGCCCACTCTAGTCCTCCCCTGCTTTTTGTAACACTTAACTGTGAACCTGTTAACATTTGTACAGATTGTATACTTATTGTATGTACTTAAAAATCATATTGTTGTTATATTAACCTGCAGGCATTTAGCTTAATATTCATGTAGCATGGTCTTACTGGTCTTTTATATTTCCCAAGCTGTTAATAGTAAGGATACAGAAACTTGTCTATATTTCATTCAATAAAGGTAGAGAAAATGTATTGAGTGATTGTGCTTTTATTCATCCCTGGTTCTTTTATCACATAATATGCCAATTTAAAGACATTAATTACCACTGGTGCAAAGACAGAAGTCTGACCAATCCCTACCAACCCAATATAGCATTTCTAAGCAGCATACAAAACATTGAATTAATGCGTTATTTTATTTATTATTAGGCAGATATGAGTAACTGTATTTGCCAATGATAACCTCTTTGAGCCATACGACTATGAACATACCCTATTAAAAATCATGTGTAATGATTTATAAAGCATCTCCTCATTGCAGCAGTGATATTTGTTACATTAGACACTTGAATGTCCGTTTTACTTCTCATTTGTGTACTATCGAACAGATTGTTTGAATACTATTTTAATTTACTATAAATGGATGGACAAAAAGAATAGTGATTATCTCTTGAAGCGGATGAGTTGGGGTAAAGATGAGGACAATGATGAAGGCCCACAATGATAAAAAAAGATATGTTTTTATTGTTCATTCTTCATTCAAGAAAACAAAACATGACAATTGTTTATACAGAAAATACCTCACATCCCTGAGAACACAGACTGATCACAGTACATGTCAGTTGGCTATCGGGGAGCACGGATATGGGTTTGAAATAATAGTTTGGACAGAAACCACAATGTCAAACTCGTCGTCTTCCTGAGACACGGAGATGTTTAACACACAAACCATTACATTACAAGACTGGTGTGGCAGGAGAACAAAAGGGTTTAAACCTTTCATAAAGCTGTGCATATGTATGTGTTTCAATTAATAAATTAATGTCAGTAGTACAGCGTTCAGTTGCCTCAACAAAACAAGCTTGAATAAAAGAAACAAACAAGAATCCTTTTTATTGGTCAACACTAAACACTTGAGAATAAATTCACAGACATGTGTGGGTTTCTTTTATGGTAAGGACTAATGAAACATAGCAAATATGGTCATATATTTGGCCAACAAATCACAAAACTATTTGTAAAGATATTACTTCAAATTGGACAGCCTCACTAAACCTGAGTAGACCAATAAGACAAACAGCTCCACCTAGCTGACCACCGAGCTCATTGTATCACAGCAGCTCCTGCTATTCAATACCTAATATAGTTGGATTTTTTATAGAAAAAAACTAATTGATAATGGGCTTCATCCCCCACTGTCACAAGCTGAATCCAATTGGCATAAAAGAAAAAAACTATGAATATGAAACATACTAGGGATGGGCATATTTCTACATTCAAAATACCTTCTACTTTACATATGATTGAGCTTCTCCATGGCACAATAAATAACTTTATATTATAAGTCTGAATTGTTAACTAGCTCTCGTGACAGCTCTCTGGCAGTAAGATTAGGGAGACAAATGCCGGACTAAGAAATGTTTTTTGGTTTTTGTAGCCTTAAGTGTTGGTTCGTTTTTGCAGCAAAAAAGTAATTGCAATAACAATACAATGTAGAATTTATTTTTCATTTAAAGAAACAATAACAATAAAGGTTTTAACAAGTCTCCCTAAAATATTGTTCATCTTGATATGCAAAAAAACATAATCTCAGTTCAAAGGGGTCTTTTGAATGATGTTCCTGAAAAACCTGAATTTTGCTTTTTGACTATGACATATTTCATCGTGACAAATCACATTACTGGACATGTTTGTATAGATTTTAGCATTTTCAAGTAATCGGTAGTTCCTGTTTATTGTTTTGTTCATCAGCAACATTTGATGTAATAATTATTATACCATATTTTATAGTCCTACAACATATTTAAGCTACCGCCTGAGTTTATACGACTTCCACACCAACAGATGGAGCACATCAACTCATCACAGTTCATCATCATGTTGATCTAAACTTTTTTTAAACGTTTTTTATAAATGACAACTTATAATTAATACTTTTCTTCTGATTTCTTCAATTATAAAAATGTCAGACGGTAAGATTAAAACATTTCTCTTAGCACACAATGGTCAAGAAGCTTACCATTTGGCACACATTTGGCAAGGGGGCGAGGCTTAAAACACAAAATAAGGTTTTTTATTCTAATGGATCTCTTTAAGAAGTTAAAACATACATGTATCATGCCCATCCTTAATACATACATTTTTGCTAAACGAAATGTAATCTGTAGTCTATGTAAAACTATATGTCTACTAATAGAAACCTTTGCAATATAAAGTAATCTTTGTAAATATAGCATTGTATAAAAGCATGTCAAACCAAAATGTAAGGACTTTAAGATTGAGGCAAATTATACGAAGACAAGATGTCAAATCTTTTACAGGACAGCTTCCCATCAAGGTGTGTACATTTAGAAAAATAATCAAAGTGGCTCAGCTGTAAACACAAGGAATGCTCTTACTTGTCGTTATCAATTTTCTGTGGCCAAACCCAAATTATGAAAAGCAATTGTGCTTTAATAAGATGTAAGGACATGGGAAACATAATCACACTTAGCACAGTGAATAAAACACAGATTAAAACAACTAAATGTTTGCAGAGAAGGATGCATACAATGGTCATAAATAAACATTTCAAGTTATCAGTTTTTCTGGGCCATAAAGCCAACCAAAACATGAATGGAAGACAAATGTACTTTCCTGCATATCGGGCTTCTACTAAAAAAAAGAAGCACGGATTGTCTCAGGTCTGAATATGTTTTGTGCTTTAAGATAGACTTATAATTTATACCTGATCTGCAGAATAAGCCTCAAATGTATGACCATGAAGAAACAACTCTTCTGCGCAGCTCCAGACGGTTCTTTAATTGCAACTCTTTCTCCTCAAAAAGCTAGCACAGAAAACCCCTCTCACAGCATGCCGTTTCCAGAACTGAGCTTCCTCTTCCTCTTGTACTCAACATCTGCGTGTGCAGCCTTACCACAGCTTAATCTGTTAAAAACATTTCATTTGTAACAGCCTGACATATCAATGGATTATATCAATAACAATAAAATGATGAGAAGAAATAAAGTAACAATTAATTAATCTCCCTCATTTGTGTTCAACTTAGCCTTGAGTCAAATGTTAATATTTACTTTTCTAGAGATGTCTGACTTCCAGAGTGCTAAAGGCAATGCACTTTACAATTAATTCACTTTTAGTCATATTTAGGGTAAAAAAATTCCAAAAATACTGTACCAAAACAAAAGAAAGGAAAAAGACAGTTTTAGTAAATTGAGAACCTCAAACATACATACCCTGACTAACTTCACCTTTAGCTTACCTATTAACCATCATTTAGAAAGTAAACACACATGGTAAAAAGGACCAACACACAGTTTTGGCACTACTCTACGAGGATTTCCTCAGTCTTTATGGGTTCCAGTGGGGTGCCAGAGTTGGACAAATCCGATCCTTCATCTTTGGAGAACTCTTCGCGCTGCAGCAGCATCCCTGCGTCGGCGGCCCCCTGCAGCCCCACTAGCCCCCCTTGAGTAAAGCACAAGTGTTTGATCACCTCGTTGGGACTGGAGAAGGTGGTCGCACAAATGTTACACTTGTAAGGCTTCGACGAGCCCATGAACATGGCCTCCATCTGGCTGCTGTCGTCGCCGGCAGCGCACAGCTCCATGCTCTGCCGGTCCACCATGGTGTAGGAGTCCACCCCCTGGTTCAGGCACACGTGGCGGGCCGCCTGGTTGGCCCGGCAGAAGCTCTTGCCACATGCGCTGCATTTAAAGGGCTTCCCCGTGTGGATGTACATGTGTTCGCGCCAGTGGCTCTTTTGAATAAACTTACGCCCGCAGGTGGAGCATTCGTACTTCCGCCGCTTCACTTCCCTGTCCAGGTCGGCGCTCTCCAGGTTGTCGATGTCTGCAATGTCTGACGGAGGCGGTGTGTCAGCCTGAGAGTTCATTCCCCCCACCCCCCAGCTGGAGGTGGACACCTCGGCCCGGGGAGAGTCTGAGTTGGTCCCTGAAACAGGCGTTTGCTCGCTGTCGCTGATCACCTCTACTGCTGTAGTGGCAGCCGAGGCATTGAACCCCGACTTGCATCCCTTCAGGATCCCCTCTAACTCGAGCATGCTATTATTTCGGCTCATGGTGGGCGAGAGAGCGTTGCTGGGCTCGGCCGGTGCCTGGTGTAGAGTCTGGGTGTGTTGGAAGAGATGTTCTCTCAGCAGGCTCCTCTGGTTGAATCGACTCCTGCACAGATGACAGGAGTAGTGCTTCCTGAAGGAGGAATTTCTCTTCATGATGCTGGGCTTTACATTGAGGATGGCACTGGCTGAGGAACCATCTGCACTTAGCAAGTCCATTCCCCCCTCCTCCAATGCAGGCTTGGTGCCACTGGTCGAGGCCTCCATGTCCTGGGATGAGGAATTAAGCTTGGACAGTAAGGAGTTAGCGAATGAAGTTGTGGCGGCTGGAATGGACGGAAACTTCCCCTCCGAGCTGAGCTGCTCCATGTCGAAAGGAGAAGAGAGCTGCCGTCGAGTGGGCATTCGAGCCGACAGCCCAACCTGCTGGTCTGATATCTGGATGCCGTAGAGGGAGGTGGACAGGTTGATGTTGTGCTGCTCAGAGTGTGAATACACAGACTGGCTGGCCTCCTGCAGTAGTGGGTAGGCATGCAGGAATCTGACCCCCTGCTCCAGGCGTGCAGGGTCTATCAGCTGGGGGGCTAGCTTGCCTGTGTACATCAGGTTGAGGAGGTAGCTGAAGATATCTGGCTGTATGTCCGCGGCCTTCAAGCGCACACAGTCACTGAAAGACAAAAAAAGTTACATTAAGCTAGTGACTAATGACAAGTGAGATCATGATAGTGATATTAGAATCCATTATAAGAGGAGTGACTGATTATTTATTTTTGATATGAGATCAAATCTGCTGAAGTGACTGGTCAAAGTTCGTGAAAACTGGCATGTAAGTATGTCTGTTGTGCTCAGTTCATCAGTGATACTAGGGCAGTAGATACCATGTTTTGATCTTGATGCCCTTACAGACCCTCCAATTTGTCCCCTCAATCTGTTCCAATGATCAAACAATGACATTATTGATGGGTCATCACACTCAACAGATTTAGATACAGTCCAGTGCTCAACTACAGAGAAAAAAGTCTTTCAATGTTTGACCACATGAGGGAGCGTTATTTTGACCACATATCTGAGTGTTTTGGCAGCAGAATTTGGAATGGGACAAAAAGTATCTTATTATTTAGCTAGTTTTAGTCATACAGTCTATGGTTTTAATACACTCCTACCGTACCTGTCCTGATGAATGAAGAGCATTCTGAAGTAGTTTGAGAACGCAGCGAGGACAGCTTTGTGGGCCTTGAAGAAGACATCTCCGATAGCCACAGTGCAGTCGCACAGGAAGCCAAACTCCCTCTGAGCGTTAAGCTGCTGCAGCAGGATAAGACCATGGTTGGCCAACTCCATTCTTCAACCTGCACAAAAGGCACACAGAGACACACACAAGCAGCAATGAGTTTCCTGTCTGGAAGGAGCCCAGAGTTTATTGTGACCACAGAGTGTCAGGCTGACGGGGGTGATCTAACGACCTTGTAAAGGCCATCTCAACACAACAGTGAAGAATCACTTTGTGACACTGGAGACCATTTGCCTAGCACTAATGTCAGAGAAAGTAATGCTAATTAATTGCGTGGCTCAGAAAAACAAAAAGGTCTTATTTGTTAATTGTATGTACAAGTGGGTCAGCACAATGGTAAATCAATGATAACCACAGTGTTTCTCGTAGAAAAAAATAAGTAAACCAGCTGTGTACATCAGCAGAAAGGGTTCCATTACATATTGACAATTTCAAGAATTCTCCCATAATTGGTCAATGTCTTTGGATGGTGGTATGGTCAGGACTAAGCATGAATGCTGATAACAAAATATTGTCCAATTTTTTTCTGTTATAGGTACCAGTGAAAAAAGGGTAAACCTTTTCTGTATGACCCTTTAATGTTCATCATTAAACCCACTTTCTAGCACCCATTTATCATTTAGAGACAACAAGTAGCTTTTTTGTTACTAGAGCTCTCATCTCTGGTCAGAAATTGGAGGAAACATCCTTGGTTCAGATGGAGCCTCAACCGTCCCCAGACTCATCCTCAAGGGACATTTCAGAGCTATGCACGTTCTGCTAACCAATGGGGTGGTAGTTGCTGACCCTAAAGGTCACTAGAGGGCTACAAGGGCTTCAGGGCATCACATGATCAGGGTTATGGCTGTTGACACACATTCCTCAAGCAGAACTGGTTCTACCCCCCTCCCAGAGGAGAATGAAAACAGCCTGTGGGCAGGGCGAATCTCCTTCTACAACACTTTCGCCACACCACACAGCCTAAGGTATGAAGCTACGAAGACGCAAGATGATGGGTACAAAATCATCAGCCAATTGGCCTCAGATAATAAGAAATGTATTACTCTGCATGTCCCCGGTTTGTTGCAAAATTACTAGAAAAAGCCCCCTGCACATGTGTATTTCAGCAGAGAGGTCAGAGTGCAAAGATGTTGGCACTGCAGCGCTCCAGGAAAAGGCTCGGTTTCCGTATCTTTTGCAAGGGGATACAGCAACAGCATTCACCAAGACGTAAAATACCCCTCAACCGAACTCGCCACACTTACAGATAACTTCAACATAAATACTGTTGTCTGTTTATTAGGTTGCCCTAGTTACAAATAAAGCTAATTAAAAAATCCTGCAATGATTTCTATGTTCTACTTACCCGAGGGCGGTTTCTAATAATTTATTGACTTCATTTATCAGTGAGCCTAAACTAAAGGAGGCTGACTTTTAAGTGCTATATATTTCAATGTTGAGTAAACATCTTACCAAAAACACTATAGTAGAATGTATTTTTTACCATTTAAAAAAGGTAATAAGCCGATATAATTGATGGCATTCATTATAATGCAATTTGTTGTCAATAGGACTTGATATAACATTGTTTTGCTAAGTATTCTTCTATCTCTGTATGCACCACAAAGCATATTCGTTGTATGTGATACTTGGTAATAAAATTGATTCTGATTCTAATTCTGACCTGCACCTCAATACAATGCTGCCATTATTCCCATTAACTTGAAAAAAGATACATGCGTTTCCCCCATTAAATATATTGCTATAACAATCTCTGGTTTACATTAATTTCATGTTAAAGCCACTTCCAAGCATCTATCTCTTCCCTGCATAGTTTGGATTATTTCCAAATGGTTTAGGATTGCATAAAACATGGGCTAGTGTATTTTAGGGTAGCTAAGGACTTTTATAGTAGTTTTATGTGTGATGATTGTCCCAGAAAGGCTTTAAGTTAGTTTAGTAGTGGTAGTAAAACTCGAGAAAACATGACTATGGTTTGCTTCAGCCTAAACCCTGCAACATTGTTGCTTTGCCTCCACAGATTTTTTTAAACATATACAAAAGGAGTATACATATATGTTTGATTGACATATATTGATTAACAGTACAACTATTGATGATGTGAATTAAACTGGTATTCATACAATCCAGTTAGTTAGCCACAGCAACATGAGTTAATCAATACTAACTTGTTTGCAACAATAAAGCACCGCCCATGATGTGATGTAGACACGTGGAACAGTTACTTCCGTAGTGAAATTTGCTGTTATCCTGAAAATACACTGTTAAAATTGCCCGCGAGGAGAGCACGTCAGGAAGGTAAACACGCAACCGGAATAAATCCGTTCAATAATGCGAACTGTAAATAGCAGCTAAAGTACATAAAGCATTGAAACATACGAAACCAGCGCGCATAGACTCACTGCCTTGGGTCTATCTCGGTTGCTATTGCTAGCGCGAGAAAACGGACATGCACGCAACACACACTCATGGGGGGGAAATGGAGAGACGCAGGGGGATGGGGTTGGTCACGAATGCGTTTCTTTTAACTTCCCGTAACAAATACAGTTAACCAAAGCGCACACACGTAGCCAAATAACGAAATATTTGCAGTAAACGAAAGGGTGAGTGTGTAGCTACAAACAGTCGTACCTGCACTCTGCGTAAATCCGTGGAGTTTGCCGTGTCGCCGTTGTTTGTTTGTTACCGGGTCCGTCCTCTCTGGGCTCGCAGCGGCTTCTACTGTTCCTCGCAAACGCTGCATTCGTTGGCGGCGGAGAGGGTCGTCCGTCGCTGTTTTCCGGTTAGGGGTTTTACGTTACAATCACATGACTGGGTAAAAAACTGCCAAAAAACACCCGTTGTAAAATCCGTTGAGCAAGGGGGCGGTTGAGTTAACGTTAATTTCCTGCTCTGTCTAACCGCCGTGGATCAACCCCCGCGAGCTTTTTGACAGCCGGTGAGTTTGAACATTAAGAGCTAACAGAGTTACGCTGACTCACTGTATGGTAGTCCGCCTCTGCCGTTAACCGCACGATACACATTCAACCGAAGTGTGTGTTGACCCTCACCCTCTGTCACTGAAATAACGCAACAATATTTTGCCCATAGTTGCTTCACATTTGCATCAGTTTTTTTTGGCAAAACCGACACCACGTTTACAAGATAACAAGACAAATATATGTATTTTGTAGCCTATCATGCCCGTATCAAAGCGCAGTCTTGGTTACAAACATATTCTCACAGTTTACCAAAATCCATTGACTTTTGCCATTTTTGACCTTACATAACTAACGAGTAGGTTAATAACACACATTTTGATCATGAATATTACAAGGTTATTAAAAAAAAGAAAACAAATAGATGGTCCCTATAGAACCAACATGTCATTTAAATACTGTTAAACAAGCTTTATCAAAAAAAAATTGGCTCTGAACACATATTATTCCTCTTTTATGTATTTTTTATAATTATATTATTTTAGGTTTTTACCTCAAAGGCTAGTATAGGTGCAAAAACATTATTAACTGTATGATACAAGATATTAAATATAGCCTAGGTTCCACCCTTGTTTGACCGTTCATACCAGACTGAAATTACTGGTTTGTAGTGTATAGTATAGTATAGTATAGTGTGTTGATTGTTTGGTCAGACCTTAACTGTAGTTCTTTAAAGAGGACCCATCATGCAAAATGCACTTTGTGATGTCTTTTATACATAAATATATGTGTCCCCGGTGCGTCGAGGAACTCACGCAGCGTCAGAAAATAAAACCCTCTCTCTTTTCCTCCGTACCCAAATCTTTTAAAAACAGGGGTACAACGAGCGGATACAGATTTGCTGCCGATCTGACGTCAAATCGGCAGCGGACCCACAGAAAATTGCTATCAGAAACTATGCCTGACGTGTTTAGAACGTAATCCAAGCCCCCAGGAAGTGCGCCGGAGTCTGATGAGAATATTCGTGCTGGTCAAACGGCGGTACTACACTTCCTTTAGGTTGCTGGGCCCGGAAACACTTTTTCCCATTGACTACATGGGGAAAGAGTGGTCTGTAACTCGTTGGATAATTTGTTTGTATCTAAATAAACTACCCAGTATGAACGTTTGTATAGCCCTTATTAAAAACATTCGTCCCTCAAGTTGTAAAAATGTGCTAATAACGTTATTCTGAGAGTTATTTCCCTCGGCATTATGAACGCGCATCTAATCCACGGGACCGCGCCGCCCGGCACGTTCATGTTACGTGTTCAGTACTACATGAGTTTCTCTTTACCCATGGATGCACAATAACAACGGACCATATCGCCTTACTGCCCACGGAGCTGTAATAATGGATATATTGCACATGTTTGCTGTAATTCATCATTTGTAAAATATTATACTACATGGGCTGTAGGCTATGATGTAAATCTTGTACCGTAAATGTTGTATTAAATAAAGTTAATATTACCGACGTAGATTAACGTTCCTGTAGCTTCTTATTGCAATTGTTTTAGTTACTTGTGGGCTACTTAACATGAATAATCACAGTTACTATCCTTTTACTCCATCACATGTCAAAAATAAATAGGCTATTGTTATTTTAACTCCACCACAGTAATCCATCATCAGCTTTACTTTTTAGATAAAGTTTTAACTCACAATTGATCATAACAGGCTTCAACATATACATTTGTATATATTACCAAGTGGTTTCATGTAGCTTCAAACCACACAAGTATCATGCTAAATGAAGCTCTGTTGCTTGGATATCACTAGATCCTGATGTCAGCGTAATATAAAAGTACATAACGATTGATGTGTAACTTAGCATAATTTACTAGCTAGCCGCTAGCTGCTAACTGCCGCCTCGTTAATATAAATCCAGTACCATGCTGTCATGAACGTGCGGTGCTGTTACGTGTACGCAAATTCACGTGCTTAATGTGAACAAGCCTTTTGGGCGGCGTGGTTAAAGTTGCGCATGCTCTATGAGTGCACATACGGGTACTTCTCAGGCATGCCGGGTAATCTGTGACGTTTCGCTCTCTCAAAAGTTGGGCCATTTTGTCATCATGCGCCATTGAGCAACTCTCATAGGAATGAATGAGGCCCCGCCTCCCACGCTGTATCCAGTTCTTATTATACATCCATGACGTAATCTCATCTTTGTTTACATTAGCAAGCCTCGCTAACACTCAGAGCTAACCTGTACTGTAGAGTAAAAAAAGGAACTCACCTTGTGATAAACCCGCAAGAGAAAAAGCATTTGAGCTCCATACTGTTTCAGAAATAATCTTTGATGTGGTTTAGAGCAGGATGGCGTTTTATCACAGCAGAATTTAACTTTATCTCCTGTAGAATTCTGATCAGGCATTAGCTCTGCTGCCGCCACCTCCTCTTTTCTTTTTTTTAAGCTAAGGACCCAAAATCCGCGTTTCTCTAACAGGGCTGCAAAAGAGGGGTATGATCAGTACTATGAGGCATGGCTACAATGGGTGAACTGTTTGGTATTTTAAGCAAAAAACTTCACAGACATGTTTTGTATAGGTATGGCCCTACAATATATTTTTCCAATATAGCATAATAGGTCCACTTTAAGGATACAATTAATACCAAGCACCCCTAATCTGATGGCAAGTTATACATAGGAAAAAAGTACTATTGTTTTTTTGTTTCTCTGTTATGAACAGCATAACATGTGAGTTTACTTGATGAAACCTATATGCCTAGTTGTAAACAGTTTCATAAACCTACTTAAACTAAAATTACCTTAAAATCACACACATAGCAACCAGTTGTTTTGTGTGTGTTAAAATAGTTGTTACCCCTGTTTCTTGTAGCCCCTACACTAGGGTATTTGCAGCTGTTATTTTATGCTCCCAAAAAAAGAGTTAATGCCAAAAAGCCTGGGAATTAATCAAGTCAATTTATTTTTTATAGAAATAAGTCCTAGAAGAGGGAAGCAGTGGAGGTCTGGAAATAGAGTTCAACTAAACCACACATTGCATTGCACAGGAAGTGTAGGAGGACCTTCGCACTAACGCACTTTGGAGTCACATCAATATTTTGTCATCAGATGTTGCCCAAGTGTAAACACCAATTTTTTTTTCCAGACCTCTCATTACCGAGTTGCCTTTTGGCCTTAGGACAGGGAGTCCACATGAGTACCAGACCAGGCAAGTTGTAACTCTGAAAACGCCTGCACAGCTGAAAGAGAATGGGTGGAGAGTTTGTTAAAACAGAGGGGGGACGGGAGACTTGGGGCGGTTAAGAAATGTCTATGAAGCAGAGCCTGAGGACCAAACAACAGACTTAGATCTGATCTTGTCCACAACTTTACTGAAACTAGTTAGCAAATACAAATATTGGCCTGCAGGGGTAACAAATGTTTTACTAAAAAAACATGAATTGAGACCACTGGCAGAGCAGTAGTTGATGGTAATGAAGGCAGAACAAAAGCATGTTTACTTGGTTGAAGTTTCCACAGCAGGGGTTGATTGAAAGAAGCAGATCAACTGTTACCACACTGGCTTATTGTTTTTAAATCATTAAGATCAATACAATTTAATCAATAGTTTTTAATGATAATAAAAGTTATGTGGGCCTACTCCTGCCTGCGTCTTTTCTTATGGCTTTTTCTATGCCTTCAAAGCTCATTCAGAAGATACTGGACTTTCACATGACTGCCATTCCACTGATTTCCACTAATGGATTTTTCCTGCAATAATGCATTAAAAAAAATACCACACAATCTGCATGAAATCGCTTTAAACGTAAAAAGTGAAACAACATTTTCCGTCCGATTAGACCAATGCTGACACCAGGGCACTATTTACCCACAACACATCTAGTCGCTCAACTGAAATACTCCACAAGCCTACTTTTGCATGAGACGCCTGTGTGGTGAGCTGAAACACCTGTTTAAACAGGGCTTTTAACGTTAGCTGCCGCCCTCCCCCTCCCGTTCATGGCCTGTTTTGAAACCGGAGTGGTGAGTCACTCCTCTCTTTCGGTTTAGAAAAACAGATCCGGCCAGGCTGGGGCCCGGTGGGGGGATGGGAGGCCGGCGGTGGATGAACACCGGAGGTGGACGCAGCTGGACTCCCACTCCCAAGGACCCCACATCCTGACAACGGCCCGCCGTGTTCCCATAGTGACCGGGGCTGATCTGAGAGAGGGGAAAACCCACCACCACCACCACCAGAATGAATTGATATGCATACTTTCCCCGCCTAGTTATCATGGGTGCAGCCAATCAATTGGTCATGTTTCTCAAAAGAGAGAACCAAGAATAGAGAACTTTACCATTTCCCAACTTTAAGATTGACTATAAATCAGTTTGTGAGTAGGTTACTTTGTTGCCCATGATCATGTTTTGTCAAAGGGAGGCCACGATGTGGGAAGGGGGATCCCACGACAAAAAGCATTCTCGATTTATATTTATTAGGATACCCCATTATTTGATGCAGCTACTTCAGCTAGGCTACTCTCACTGTAGTTCACACATAGGCCAAAAGAACAAAATAAGACTATCAAGGTTGTACACATTTGTGATACATTACTAAGCTGAGTGATTACATTTACAACAGAACATATAGGCTACCTTTATGTATTTTTTAAATACAATATAAGGTCACTAGGCCTATATAGATCACCCAGACAAACATTCTTTCACACACACATACGGGTTTTGGGCCGAGGGCGACACCGTACTTCCGGTATCCACCATTTCACACGAGGTGCAAGCAGAATATCATAGTCTATTGCCTTAATCAATATCTAGTCAACTCTAAAATACCACATATATGCATTGGCATGATAATATTATTGTGACAAGTGGGGTATTCACCTGGTGTTTCTAGAAGATAGACGTAGATGCTGCCAAAATCGACCGAAGGCCACTTTCGAGAGTCGTTTTTCCATACATCTGCAGGCAGTCTGTAAGGGCAATCCGACAACCCACACAGCTCTAGTTTACGCTGGTAACGACCTAGAACACACCCCTCAAGTCCAGAGATGTAATCCGAAGACATACAGCGATTTCTTCGGTCGTTAATTCAGAAAAAAAACCTAGTGCGCTCTGCCTGGCGACATTACCTAGCTGTTTATATTAGCACCTCCAGGATATTAGCACCTCGAGGAAAATGGCGTATTTCTATATAGATATATGGCGCGCGTTGCATTGTGGGTAGCTCGTGACGTCACTGTGTGTGAAAGAGGTTATTTTAAAACTCTTAACTTGCTTTAATAGGCTACTGTGCGAAAAACTGTGCAAATATTCACGTTTACTATCCTCAATAGCCTGTAGTCAGGGTCTCCAGCAATGACTCAATAGAATAGCCTAATGCATGGGTCGGCAACAGGCGGCCCGCGGGCCATTGTTGGCCCGCCAGCAATAATATTTGGCCCGTAATTTTGAGAATCAAAATAAAATATTATTTTGATTTTTTTTTTTTACAACATAGGACCGACAGTAGCACATCAGGGTTTCCGTTAGCCGCCGATCGATCGGCCGCCGGTCATTATCGGCCGATATTCACTCTTAATAGTTTGATCGGTGCTCTCTATAAAGCCCGATCAGGAGAGCTGGATCTGATCGATATGGACATAAATGCGAGTGAAGTGTAACCGGACCCGAGAGAGAGATCAGATCAGCTGCTGCATAATCACCTGAAGCCCCGCCTCTGTTTAGCTGCATGAGAAACTGACGGGCTGTCAGGAGAGAGAGGGAGGGAGAGGGGAAAAGAGAGGATCCGTTTCTCCCGTGTTATTATTCAAAGTTATTGTAAACTTTTGAATAATGTACGTCTTCATCTACAAGTAGTTTGTTTGAATGTAATAATTATGTTGTTTGTGGAATCATTTATTGAAAAATGAATCTGAACTTTTTGATCTGTAACGATTATAAACTGAAGCGATATAAAAATGAGCCCCATTAACTGAGTTTTAAACATCAGCATATCCGGTCCTAGTCCGGTGATTACCTGCTAACGGAAACTCTGCTACATAACTCTTATTATTATTATTGAAACATGACCGGTAAGTTTCAAATTTGTCCGGTAAAATAAATTCTGTCCCGACATATCCGCTTACATTCATAATGTCAGCGGAGGGAGGGGAAGCGGCGCTGTGGAAGAGCAGAGTGGCTAGGGAGAGCTGTCATCTTCCCTTTACAAGCTTCAAACATGTATTTATCGTGTGATTTTGGAAATAAAAGTTCCATATTCTGAAAGCCAAGACTTTGTTTATTTAAAATCAAACAAAACACCCGAACCCCGAAAAACTATTTGTTTACGCAAATCCACGTTTATTTTGAAATGAGCCGTTGCGACTTTCGACTGATTTCGATAGAGCGGGTCTGGTCACATATGGCAAATGTGTGGTTGGGGGGAACCAGGTCAATTAAAGTACTTATTTAACTATTAAATACATTGAGTTTGAGTAAAATACTTGGTTATTGATTAATATAGGCTATAATATATTAAATTGCAAAGCAAAACTGCTGTAATTTAATTTTTTTAAGGTTTTCAACCTGAAAGAATCCTAATGTGTCTTTGAAAAGTTGAAATAAAGAAAAGGAGCCTCTCAAATGTGGGCAAACACTCAAATAAATGCCAAAAACCCAGAGAACTTGACAATACTTATCAGAATATGTTAAATAACACTGCTAGTTACTTTACTCAGTGGAGGCTCGTCCATTGAGGAAAGGGAAGACCATCCTCCCTACAGTTTCAGAGACAAATAGACTTTGAAGAGAACAATAAATACACCTCAATTTAAAAGATAAGTCTGTTAAAATACAGATAATAGCCCTGGCTTTGGGACTGAAATGGGGCTAGAGAGGACGAGCCTCCCTTTGGGCGGGTCTAGCCACAGGCTCTGGATTGGGCACCTATATAATCAGTGAACCAATCAGCGGATCTGACTGCGCATCAGAGTGTTGATGGGGAGGGTCATCAGCGATATCAGAGTTTTTTCTGAACCGGGGAACAGGGGCTCTGCGCCCTCTTACCAAAATCAATTCCTTGAATTAGGCTTTGATTATGTTCTGGCCCGCCATCTTGCGGCTCAGCAAAAAATTGGCCCACGGCCAAACTTACTTGCCTACCCCTGGCCTAATGCTTTCTCCCACCAATATCATCATACTCTACGACCCCTGCTTCTTTTCCCGCCAAAAACGCCTAGGGGGCTGTCCTCTGGTTGAGCGGACGGATGTCTCCATGACTACCGTAGCTCTGGAAAACAAGGGATGCTCGGGGTGCCGTATGAACAACAGAAAGCCATGCGCAATGCGGAAGCACTTTCCACTCTTTGATATAAAAATAAAGTATTTGATTGTACCCATCAACAAGAGAAAACAAGAATTCAGATTCTAAAACTGTAGCTGATATGTGGCACGGTTAATAAGTGACAATAAATTAGACAAGGCACAATGTAGCAAACATTCGCAGTTCTACATGCATGGGATGGATGGGAGGGACGTGAACGTCACACGACTTGCAATTTACACATTAACCGCTAGATGGTAGCATCGTATCCTAAATAAAACCCAAATCTACAAGCAAACCAGGAAATAATGATTTAAATGTACAATGTTTGGTACCAGAAACAGAGGACGTCAAGCCTGATACAAACTGTTTAGCCTCGTAACGTCCCCTAAAAAAGATTAACGTTTGGCTGCTTGTAGCGTTCAAGTCTACGCAGACCACTAAACTTTGTGTCTGTCCTGGACATTTGTATCGATAAAGTTTGAATTTGAACCGCATACCACTGCTAACATGATGGCGGCTGATCAAACTGTTCACGGAGTTCCTCCTTCCCTGTCTGCTAAAGTGGTTGGGTATGTTGACAGTTTTTCTTTCCCATAATGTTAGATTAATTGGCTAACTACACTGATCAATGAAAATGGCTACATCACTGTAGGAGTGTCGTGTTTTTGAACCAGCAGTAGCATTAGCTTTTTGCTAACACATTAATTAAGCTGGTAATAACTGACTTATCACAGGTGACAAAATGACGATGACTCAGTCAGCTTTAATACATATGTTTACAGCTTCATTGTACCAACAAGTATCATTATTGCAGTCGAAATGTCTACAAAATAAGGGCTAATGTTACCTTGACATCTTGCTAGGGGAATTAGCTTGCTGGCTTGCTAGTACACACACCTGCTGCATTATCATGAACTGCCAGTTTCACATCAGTTAATGGCCATCGTTTCTTTGCAGGTCATTTGCCTATTTGACTGTGAGAGACAGATTGCCAACCATCCTGACTAAAGTTATTGACACAATACATCGCAACAAAAACAAGTTTTTCGAAGAATATGGAGAGGTAAGAATTGTCATTGATCAATTAAAGGTGGGGTAGGTAAGTTTGAGAAACCGGCTCGAGATACACTTTTTGTTATATTTCATGGAATGCTCTTAACATCCCGATAGCAATGAATATCTTTTAAGTGCTTTGACAAAAAATCCATAAAATGTCATCTGTGGAAGCCGTAGTACTGTAAAAAGCACGACCAATCATTTTAGCCGGCCCGGCTAAAATAACTGGATGGCCTACCTGCCTGTCAGCCTTCCATCTGTGCACAAACCTATCTCGTGCCCTCATTGGTCATGTGCGCGTTCGTGTGTGTTGGATGAGAGGCTCTGTGAGGAAGTGGCAGATTTTTTTCCGGCTGTGTATTTTCAAATTCTAGCGCACTCGAGCTGGTTTCTCCAAAATTACCTACCCCACCTTTAAATTCGAGTTATTTTCTTTAACTTTAACTATAAGGCTCTGCGTGTGTTTACTGTGTTTACAGGAGGGTATCCAGGCAGAGAAGCAAACAATAGGTCTGCTGTCTAAGATGAGGAATGAGCTGCAAACTGATAAGCCAGTAATACCACTGACAGACAGCTTGCAAGACGCGGAGTGTTGGAACCAGTATCTGCAGAAACATCAGAAACTGCACGGAGACCAGGAGTCTGTCAGCTGGTTCAAGTCCCCATGGCTGTATGTGGAGTGCTACATGTACCGCAGGATACATGAGGCCCTCTGGCTGAAGTGAGTAGCATTTGCGTCTTTAAATGGGAACTATTGCTGCTTTTTCTCCTGCTATTAAGTGCACATATATTTTGGGCTATGCATTACATCACTTATATTAATTTCTAATTAGTCTTTTTATCTGATGTTAGTTAAATTCGAATGCAAACAATGGAAATGTAAGATGTCAATTTATTTTAATCTCAGTTCAATAGAAAAACACATTGAGAATATTACACCATTATAAATAACAATGGTTGCTCAATGATTAAAAACAAAAACGTTTGCATTGAAATATTGCAGCCTTTGGGGAAGTAAATACAGATTTTCATTGTTTCTTTATGTTGTGTTCTTTTGCTCTTCATGTTGTTATTTGTGCTTTTATTTCAGTCCTCCCATCAGTGACTATGACGTCTTCAATGAAGGAAAGACTCAGAGCTTTTTTGAGTCTCAGCAGGCAGTGATGACCATATGTACACACTTGGAGGGCATCAACAGCAACATTGAGAATCTCTCCAAGAATCAGCTGTTTGAGCATTTCGACAAACTGCTACAGGTAATACCTTCTGAACCAGCTCCTTAAAATGTTAAAGCTGCAACTTGAATTGTTGCAACTTAAGTATCAATTATCTCACAGACCTCTTCTCGGTCCATTAACATGAACTGTCCATTCAATTCATTTTCTCTATCATTTACCCTATTCAGGATCATATTGAAATACATTACAATAGTTTCAGGTGTAAAACATTTGATTTGACTCTTTTCTAGGTTTCCTTATGGGGGAACAAGTGTGATCTCTCTATCTCTGCTGGCCAAGACAACTCCCAGAAGACCAGTCCAATAGATTCCCTCGTCAGCCTACAACCCTTGATCTTGGTGAATGACTCCAACACGGTATGGTCAACTCTTATTTCTGCCCAGACGCACGCACGGTCAGAGAAAACCACAGTCAGAGTGGACATTGTTCTAGACAACGCTGGCTTCGAGCTTGTCACTGACTTGGTCTTAGCCGATTTCCTGGTTTCCTCTGGCCTTGCCCATGAGGTCCATTTCCACGGCAAATCCATTCCTTGGTTCGTCTCTGATGTCACAGCTCACGATTTTCAGTGGACCATCCAGCAGACCATGGCGGCCAATCACAAGTGCATGTCAAAGATTGGATACCAGTGGAAGAGCCACCTGAAGGACGGCGTGTGGTCCTATCACGATCATCCCTTCTGGACACAGCCCCATGAGTTCTGTGACATGGCCGCTGATGCACCCGACCTGTATGCTAACCTGCAGGGGGCAGACCTGGTGCTGTTTAAAGGGGATCTCAACTACAGGAAGCTGGTGGGGGACAGAGACTGGGATCACACAGTGGGCTTTGGTACTGCATTACAAGGTTTTGGGCCTGCGCCGCTGTGTAGCCTGAGGACTCTCAAGGCCAACGTACAGGTCGGTCTGCAGCCTGGCCAAGCGGAGAAGCTCACCTCCCATGAACCAGACTGGATGACCTGCAGCAAATACGCTGTCATTCAGTTCTACAGCTCAAAGGCGGAACAGAAAGACTGAGCTCAGGATCTCCCTGCGCACACGTGGATTCATAAGAACATTACAGTAAGAAGTACCTTAAGGAGTTACCTTCAAGCCATAAGACCATTGAGTCATTGAGGTTGTAAAAGGGTGTTTTGTTTTTCTTTTCGAAAGCTAATACTTCATCGTGTTAGATGCACAGTAACAGAAATGTCCTTAGCTTTTATTTTCATAACATATTTGTACCATGTCATACTTGCAATGTTAGCACTTAAGTCATGATGTTTACAGGTTAATGTAGATGCTATTAACAATTCATTATAACATTTTAAATTGATTGATAATACATCTCCTTTCAGTGATGATTAAAGTAATATTTAGTTTGATTTGAATTCAGCTAGGTTGTTTAACTCGTTAATTTGCATGCATAAAAACATGCAGCCATTTTATCTTCACCTAAACCAGGTTCTCACATAACTTTATGACTCATTCAATTATAAAGATGTTAGTGTTATTTGGGCAGAATAACAGTAAGCATGTGTACTTGTTTAGTTTAAAATGGCAACCAAGATTTCTGTATAAAATGGATTAAAATTGATGTCTCTGTGCACACTGTTATGTCATCAAATGATCTTTGTCGTGGTGTCAGTACCTCAGAGGTCATGTTACCTGGATTCTTCTCAATACTGCTGGGGTAAATGATCAGTTTCTCGAATGGATTTGATTTAATAAAGGTAATTGACTGACTGATATTTTTCCCAATGTCATACTTTACAGGCTGAGGGACACAAGATGTGGGAAATAATGACACTATCAGAATAATCCATCAGATGGCTTTTTGTTATCTAGTTCGTGACTCAAGATGGTTTGTTCATTTCAGCAATTATTTTGAACAAAATCACCTTATGTTGGGACTAATGTTTCAATATATGAGAATCCATTAGTTACATTTTTCATCAGTAGTTTGACATTTGTCCTTGATATTAGTCAGTGTCGACCTAGCAGCTGGTAAAACTGCTACATTCATTTTAGGCATAATTCAGGCTGCTCACATGCGTTGTGAATTTGGTCTGTCATAAATATCAAGTCAATTATGGCAAGAAGCAACCCAGCTTCTCGGGCCATGTAGGTGAATTAGCTGTTTCCAATCTCACGCTTTTATTTTCCTGTTTTCTAATGCAACAGCGTCTCCATTTTATCCTGGGGGAAATTCAAAGAAATATGTATTGGAGCTACTTGTTTAACACTTGACCTGACATGTTCTGAAAATTGGGCTGTTTATCCAAGAAAGATGTTGCACAGAAGGGGAATTTTTGGTCACTGTGCCAAATGTTCACGTTGTCCTCCGAGGGGGAGGCTGCTGATCTTATTCATCTTATGCATTTCCTGCCTTATTGACTGTCATCTGAAAGTTTCACTAGAAAATTACTATATTGTTTTTCAAGCCCTGTATTATTCAAATTTCTATCAACATTGAATCCTTCATCTATACTGCACACACTGCTCCTTTGCTTTAATTTGTTTATAGTGTTCTATCTCATCCCTGACTTGTAATCATTACCTGATAATAGAGTAATGATTAACTTGTACATATTCTGCTCCTACGCAATATTGCATCTTCCTTTTTAAATAAAGTGCCACTAGAAAAATAGAAAAAAAGTATTCTGTACATTTTTTGGTTAGTGTTAATTCAAGTATTTATTTGTGGTCATGTGATTCAAAAAAATCATGAATGCACTCATTGGGGAATGATTGTGTAATAGTTGGCTGTTGGTATGAGATTTGACCTGCTTTGTTTGCTGTGTTAAAGTGACCTGGCACTAAAACATGCTGTGGTTTGATTATCGATTTAGCAGTCTCTCTAATTTGTTTATCCTCTTTTTTAACCTTCCCACTGATCCCATTGTGTCCAATGATACCAGCTAGATTTCTGAGAGAGGGAGAGAGAAGTCCCAGTGCTGCACAGCAGAGATGAGGATGATTCACGTGTGAGAGGTGAGTAGTGCACGGAGGTAGATTTTGGCTTCTTTAAGCCACCTTTTGTTTAAAACCTTTGTCCTACTGTTTCTCATTTCCACAGTGATTTGTTTTACCGCAGAGTCCCAGGTGTATTCAATAGTCTGGCTACAAATAGACCGGTCATACGTCATGCTGACAGCTTGCCGAGTATCAGATCAATTAAACTGCTTTACGTATTGTTTACAGATGTGTTTTATCCAGCTTCAACCAGCAACAGCTTTACAATGTTAGAATACAGTTAGAAGAGAGCATTTTAAAATGGTGTGAGAGATGTAGGGCTATTACTCTGTGCAGCTTTCTGTTTATTTACCCCTCCCTGCACACATTAGTGGAGAATTACTAGGGGGATATAGGGAAGAGTTCTGTTGACAAAAATAAACCTGGAAGGAGATTGGGAGGAGTCTTTCTGATTTCCTTTTCTTTTAGTTTGGTGGGCTGAAGCTCAAGACGAATAGGGCAAAAGGGACTGGAAGAATAGCAGGCTCTTCAAGTTGCTTGTTGGCTTTATTAGAAAGAAGAGAGAGAGAGAGAGAGCAGCACTCGTCTCCACTCCCCCTCCCAGCAAAGGGGAGAGCAAGTCTAAATCATGTTGCATATCAGTGCTGTTGTGCTGTGATGTTGCTCAGGCAGAGCCCGGCGCAGAGCAGGCACCCGTGTGGACCAGCACTCAGACCCAGGACCAGCCCAGCCTTCCCAGAGCTGGAGACCCTCTCCCCGCAGCGACCCTCGCCTCCACCGCGGGTCCCCTTCAGTGACATGTACCCTGAAGAGAGCCGGGGGTCTGGAGCCACTGTGGACTTCCTTGAAGGGACCTACGACTATGCGGCCCCCACCCCTGCCCCGACCCCTCTCTACAGCCACTCCACGGCGGGCTTCTACTCTCCTCCTCTGGACGCCCACGGACAGCCCTCGGATGGCAGCCTTCAGTCCATGGGGAGTGGGCCAGCTAGTCCTCTAGTGTTCGTGCCATGCAGCCCCCGACTCAGCCCCTTTATGCACCCCCCCAGCCATCACTATTTGGAAACCACCTCAACTCCTGTGTACAGGTGAGGGAATTCAAGTTTTCTTTATAACCATATTGGAGAAAAAAAGGGTAATGTTGTGCACTTGGAAAAAGTTATATTTATAGACTCTGAAGCAACAGGTATGAATCACTGCTGTTGTTGTTTTTTTTGTATCATTAGGTGAAGTTGGTTTATTTTTGGTGACAACCTCTAAAGTTTTCATTAGTGGTTTTATTAAATCCAACCAATTAATGAAAACAAAAAAAGAGAAGTGCAAAACATAATTACGCCGGCAGTGGCTCAGTCAGTAGGGGCTTGGACTGCGAGCCGTAGGGTCGCCGGTTCAAGTCCCCGAACAGACCTAAATATGGAGTGTGGACTGCTACTTGGAGAGGTCCCAGTTCACCTCATGCCCTGCCGTGGTGCCCTTGAGCAAGGCACCGGACACCCCCCTTTCCATTGCTCCCCGGGCGCTGTACACTAGCTGCCCACTGCTCCTAGTACTATACTCCTGGTACTAGGATGGGAACACATTTAACTGTGTGTGCTGTGTGCTCTGCATGTGTGACCATTAAAGAGGGTGTCATCCCTCCCATTCTTCTATTTTCTCTAAATTCTAATTTTGTTGATATTTTTTTTTTATTAATTAATTTTCTTTCCTATTTTACTGTATTTTACAGGTTGTCTCCTATTAAGTGGTTGTATGGTATCTTGCCACATAACTAGCTTTAATATCTTTCACTCACATATTATGGCATTGGCATTCTGTTCAGTCCTCACAGTTGTAAACAAAACCAAATTATATAACTGCATTGTTTTTTTTACATTTAGCTTTATACAAAACATTGCCCCTATCTCCATAGAAAGGATCAAGCTTTGTCCTGGTTTCTAATTCCAGAGATTAAGGACTTGGTCTAAGACCTTGAAAACAGAACAATACATAAGTGCACATACAGATTGCTTCCTGCCTCAGGTGGAAAATAGTACTAAATCTTTTTTTATGCTATAAGCCAGTCAGTTCGAGATGGTATCGTAAAAGTGGAAGGATTGAAAGTAAGTCGTTGCCAGCCAATTATTTTATGATTAAAGACATTTGTTAGAGAATTTTTTTGACTAAATGTCCAGGAATGGCAAGAAACACATTTGATATTTTATTCAACCTCCATCTGACTTTATTGTCATTAGCTTTTATTAAATCACTTACAAAGTTCAACATTTGAAATCATTCAACTGAGCTGAAATCCTGTGGCAGGTCCAGTCTGCAGTCAGTTTCCAGAGAGGACCTGTGCGGCACCAGCGACGAGTCGTTCAGCGTGGGGGAGTCGGGGGCCGGGGGGTTTGAGATGGTCAAAGAAACGCGGTTCTGTGCCGTGTGCAGCGACTATGCTTCTGGGTATCACTACGGGGTGTGGTCCTGTGAGGGCTGCAAGGCCTTCTTCAAGAGGAGCATCCAGGGTAGGTACTCTGTCTGCTTCATACACGTGTGATCTGCACCTGTTGTTCTCAAACTTATCCAATCCAATCCACTTTATTTATATAGCACAGTTTAGAAACAGAGGGTTTGCCAAAGTGCTTCACAATGAACATAACATTATAATAAAATATAATATTACACGAATAGATAAAAGGCACACATAAGAATAAATACAAGGCACATAAAGGCTATGGACAGACAGTAAAAGCATCCAAATAGGTAAGACATAGCTCAGACTGACTGGTAAGCGAGGGAAAAGAGGTGGGTCTTTAGGCGGGACTTAAAAGCTTCAAGAGTGGGCGACAATTTTACATGAGGGGGCTTATAATAATAACTTATATATATATATATATATATATATATATATAAAAGATAAAACCATATGATAGAAGAGTAGAACTTTATAAATGGAGCACTGTGCCTAATAAAAAAATACGTTTTGCTGTCAGCCAACAAATGAATATTTAATGTTTTTTATTCAGGCACATCTTGGAATTAAAAAACATCCACAATAGGGAAAACAGAAGTTTGGATTTGAAAGGATTTATTATACTTATTACTGACTAGGCTCATGGTAATAAAGTGAACCGCCTGTAACTTCTACAGAGACATCAATGGTTAAACTGCAGCTTTCGGAAGCAGAAAACGGGAAATGTCTGTCCTTAATCGAGACATTGTGAAACGGAGATCATTTGTTATCATAAGTTTGTTCTTTTTTATATCGTTTCTTATAGATTTTTGGTTCTAGAGACAAGTGTTTCATTTTTTGCAAGAACATTGTTTTGGAAGGATTCAAACAAAAACACATTTCTTTTAATTTCCTTAAGAATAAAATATTAAAAGATACACTTCCCCCCAAAACTATGACAAAAGACGGTTCCATCAGAGGAGATATCACGCTTAATTCAGCGTAGTGCAGAAAGACAAACAAATGTTTGCATGTCATGTCTTTCACAGATCATTGTGAACAACCTAAATGTACTGTTGCCTGTGCAGAAAGAAATGTAATTTGCTTGCCTGGTCATGCTGTGATATAATGCTTCGGCATGTTGTGAAGTCTTTCAAAGAAGGACTGTCATAAAGAAACCAATAGTCTCCATGGCGATGAACAAGCCTAGGTGCCACGTTTTAACATTTTCTCTATCTCAGATCCATTTAAAATGGGAATAGAGTGTCCCTGACTACTAAATAACCTAAATCTGAACTGAACAGTGGAGTGGGGGGCTTGAAGTAATAGATTTTCTTTCCTTCCAGGTCACAATGACTATATGTGCCCAGCAACCAATCAGTGTACTATCGACAGGAATCGGAGGAAGAGCTGCCAGGCTTGCCGTCTTAGGAAGTGCTACGAAGTGGGCATGATGAAGGGAGGTAGGTAGAAACACCAGCATACAGCAGAGTTTCTATCTTTATTTTCTATTTATTTATGTGCAGTCTGCTCTCTGTTGCTTATAATTGTAGCTTTACTTTTGGCTTAGTCTGTTGTTTTTAACTAGATATTTGGTTACATTCTCTGTATGTCTATTTAATGATTTGTTTTTCCACCGCAATTTAGCTTCTCTGTACATTGTTTAATTGTCAGCAAAATAAAATACTTTGATTGCCCTCAAGTTTTGAAAGGATGGCCACAAATATGAGCACGCTGGTGGATGCAGATAAGCTTCAGGCTAACTTTAACATGACCTTGAAGTGATTTCCTCTTAAGGAGTACAACCACTGATTAAAACCCACCCACATTTTGTTTTCATACTTCTTGTATTACACAGGCATCCATCAAATCTGTACTTCTTGACCTAGTAGTAAAATCAGGAGGTTATGTTCGAGCATTTGCAAGAAAAACAGCCCAATGACTTGTGTGCCTGCATGTGTTTTTTGTATCTGTATGTTATTTTGCGTTAATCCCTTGTTGTTTGCTCAAGGTGTTCGTAAGGACCGCGGCCGTGTTTTGCGACGTGACAAAGCGCGGACGGACACCACTGATAGAGTTAAGGCCCCTAAGGACCTGGAGCAGAGGACAGTGCCCCCTGTGGACGGGAGGAGGCGCAGCAGTGCTTTTGGTGGAGGAGTACGATCAACACTGAATGGCATGCCTCCTGACCAGGTGCTTATTCATGTAGAGACATTTGTTGTTGCCAAGGAGAAGTAATATAAAGCATCGTCTGAATATTATTGGCCAGTGGGTGTTCAGATGTATAGTTTCTCTGCTGTTTCCTCAGGTGCTCCTCCTGCTCCAGGGTGCAGAGCCCCCAACACTGTGCTCCCGTCAGAAGCTGAGCAGACCCTACTCCGAGGTCACCGTGATGACGCTGCTCACCAGCATGGCCGATAAGGAGCTGGTCCACATGATTGCCTGGGCCAAGAAGCTTCCAGGTACTGCTCCAGTAAATCCTTTTAATTATATTAAAACAATTACAAAAATAACTTTAATATTGACTATATAATGCAGTGTGGTCTTAAGATCCATTCTTTAAGATATAGTTTTCTTTTAGGATTTGACACGACAGATACTAGCTCACTACTTTACCAGATATTGGAATGTGGCTTAAATGATTCACATTATGGCCTGAATTCTGTGTTGCAGCAAATACCTATGACTTACTGGAACTGTTAAGACTCTCCTGAGATTTCTAGGAGTCCGTGACATTCCTGTCTGTAATGTGGTCTGTAGGAAATATAACAGTTGGTTGCACACTTTTTTGATTGTTCTCCAAAATTCACAAACTATCCTTTCCACATCATGTTTTCACATTCATCAAATTCCTTGATAGAAGTGATGTCTAACCGATTGTGTCTGTGGGTTTTGAGCAAAAACATCTGGTACAACTGCTGTTAATGGATACCAAATTGTTCCAAGTTTGTAAAAAGTGAGACTTTCGTATCTTTTTCAGAAATGTTTAAAGGTGACATGTCATGTTTTTCCGGTTATTACCCGTCCCCTTGTGTGTTATGAAGGTTTGTATGCATGTAAACGGTGTGCAGAGTCAAAACCCTCAAAGTACACCATGTAGCGAGTAAAACTCTAACACAGAAAATACCTCCCCAAAACGCCTCGTTGAAGATACGTCACTGTCCATTTGATTCTTCCGGGTACATCATGATGTCATGTCGTCCCCGGAACGAAATGGACCAATCCGTGGAGCTGTTACGTTACGTCCGCGGAGCCGTTACGTTAAGCCCCCGCTGATTGGTCCAAATTGACCAATCCACGGACTTCCTCACACACTCAGTGCATGCAGCTCTGCTGATTTCTCCTCCCTGGCTGCAGGCTGATAACAGACAGTTGGGATCGCGGCGAAATTCTCTCTGCAGACCCATTCTCACAGCGTTTATCAACCTTTCTCTTACTCAATATCAAGCCACACATATTGTTTTTACTTCGGCTGTGACTTTGTGTGTGCTCAGGGTGAGTTTGGCTGTGTTTCGCTGTGTATCGCTAAACAAGGAAATCACACCTCCACGGAGCTTAGCGCGATTCACAACGTCCCGACTGGTCCCGACCAATCGGAGCACACTGGGCTCACAGGGAGGGGGGGGGCAAGAGCTGCAACGAGCCGTTTAGTGGAGAGAGTGAATACTGCTGAATACACATACTTTACAGAGATGCTGTATGCGAAACCAATGTGAGTTTGGAACATTGCACAATATAAATCTATTCTAGTAGACCTCAATAATGGAAATATGATCAGTGGAAATGGCCATGACATGGGACCTTTAACATATTGAGATTTGTGCAAGAATTGCATGTTTCGGCGATTGTGTGGTGAGAACATCTGCTAGGGAACCTGCTCAAACCCCCCTTACTGTCAGTATACCTAGGAAAGACATGCACCCTCTGAATAACTTAACTCTGTATTTTGTGATTGCCAAGTTTTATATAGTTGTGATTATACTAAAGGTCACAACAGGTCATTTTATGCCATATGGCCAAGTTGGAAAAAATCGTCTCTTTACAACGAAACGGCTACCACTAGGGAAAATATGATGCAAAAAACTGCATGGGATTGGTTAACATTTGACATGTCTGTTAAGGAATATATTTGTGGGTATCCATAGAACCCCCTTCCATTCAGAAATCTCTTAAATCAAAAGAGCCCCATGGATAGAGCCATGGCCATTTTCCCCTCGCCATTATTTTGGACTTTGCTGCGTTATTTGGCCTCCTTTCCAACAAGCTAGCATGACGTTGTGTGTATATACCAATGGATTCCTAAAACAGAGCCCACTACAGCCCTTCACAAAATGTTGGCAAGACTATTCCTATTTTAAAAGTGTAGGATTGTAGGAGTAGGCTAAAAGCCCCTCAGTGCAAACTTTATTTTCTCCTTGCTCAGTGACATCATCTGTCTTCAACCAAAAAGGATAACTTCAAGTTTAATGACATTTCTGCTTTTCGCTAGTAGCTTTGAATGGATTTTTTCAGAGAACAATGTCTCTGTAAGTACTAAGGTGAAAGCAGGTGCACAGCATGTGAGTCAGGCTCTGCTGGAGCACCATGACATTTCCTGACAAATTGGGAAATGTTATCAAAAGCTTGGAATCATTGCCTTTCTTAAACATTCAAATGTACAGAAGTACAGGTTGTTGCTCTTGATGGTTGGAGCAACAGCATGGTGAAGGCAGACCTTTATAGTTGAAGCAAACACACACACACACACACACACACACACACACACACACACACACACACACACACACACACACACACACACACACACACACACAAATGCAGAGCAATTACAGCGATGGTTATCAGTCATCACTTTTGAAAGGATTGTTTGGCCAATCCCAAGGCATGCCATAGAGCCTAAATGCAGTGTGTTGTTATTCCCTTTTTACTTGCTGCCATCAAGATCTTACCTCGTGAGAGAGATTTAACACTTTTTATAGTCACTCAACTTCGTAAAATTGTCCCCGAAGAATCTGGACAATATGTTTTTAATCCCGAGCACTTTATAGCAATTATAATGAACAAAGACTAGATCCAAACAAACACAATCTGGTGCTGAAAGGGGTTATCAGTGCTAATTACTTTGAGCGGTGGGCGTAGACTGTAGTACGGTTTAGAATACTAACACTGCCAGAGTTAAATGTTTTCTGTGCACCTTCAGCCCACTCAAAAAAAGACATGCATCATGCATGCCCTTGTTTTTCTAGCACTTAAAAGAAACCATCTGCAATCTCGCTGCTCTTTTTCGTAGCCTTATCACTGGCACTCAGCTGTCTCAATTCATATGTAATTACATCCAATTCCCTCCCATTGTCCCCCCCCGTACCCTGTTTAGGACCCCTCACAATTCAAACAGTGTGCCTTTGGGCTTTTAGTGACGCACAAAGTTGTAATACCTCAAAATCAGCTGTGTGTGTGTGTGTGTGTGTGTGTGTGTGTGTGTGTGTGTGTGTGTGTGTGTGTGTGTGTGTGTGTGTGTGTGTGTGTGTGTGTGTGTGTGTGTGTGTGTGTGTGTGTGTGTGTGTGTGTGTGTGTGTGGTGTGTGTGTGTGTGTGTGTGTGTGTGTGTGTGTGTGTGTGTGTGTGTGTGTGTGTGTGTGTGTGTGTGTGTGAAGGCTTCCTGCAGCTGGGGCTCCATGACCAGGTGCAGCTGCTGGAGAGCTCCTGGCTGGAGGTTCTGATGATCGGGCTCGTCTGGAGGTCCATCCACTGCCCCGGGAAGCTCATCTTTGCTCAGGACCTCATACTGGACAGGTATCAGGAACACTCTCACCTCTTCTCTGCTGCTCCTCTCTTTACTTTTCATCTTGCTGCACTTTTCCTCCCTATTTCTCTGCCTCACTCTCACACAGATCTCAGCATTGTAGATTCTCCATCTCACACCATGGCAGCCATTGTGCCCACCCAACACGCCCGCTATAGAGTGAAATACTAATGACATGCTCCCCACAGAGAGGAGAGCAGCCTCTCTCTCCAATGAAATACTCATCATTACACCAGAGGCCAACAAGATAGAGATGTAATCAAAGAGTCAATGCAGGAAATGATGGAAGAGGATGAAGGGAGAGAGAGATGACTAGTAAGGAGGAGGCAGAGGAGAAAAAGCCAAATGACGATCAGAGAATAGAGAAAAAAAAGAGATGCAGTGAGGCATGAGACATGGATTTCTGCGAGGGAGACAGAGAGGGGCGAGACAGAGAGGGGCGAGGGAGACAGAGAGGGGCGAGGGAGACAGAGAGGGGCGAGACGGTGAGGGAGACAGAGAGGGGCGAGACAGAGAGGGGCGAGACAGAGAGGGGCGAGGGAGACAGAGAGGGGCGAGACAGAGAGGGGCGAGGGAGACAGAGAGGGGCGAGACGGTGAGGGAGACAGAGAGGGGCGAGACAGAGAGGGGCGAGGGAGACAGAGAGGGGCGAGGGAGACAGAGAGGGGCGAGACAGAGAGGGGCGAGGGAGACAGAGAGGGAGGAGACAGAGAGGGGCGAGGGAGACAGAGAGGGAGGAGACAGAGAGGGGCGAGGGAGACAGAGAGGGGTGAGGGAGACAGAGAGGGGCGAGACAGAGAGGGGCGAGGGAGACAGAGAGGGAGGAGACAGAGAGGGGCGAGGGAGACAGAGAGGGGTGAGGGAGACAGAGAGGGAGGAGACAGAGAGGGGTGAGGGAGACAGAGAGGGGCGAGACAGAGAGGGGCGAGGGAGACAGAGAGGGAGGAGACAGAGAGGGGTGAGGGAGACAGAGAGGGGCGAGACAGAGAGGGGCGAGGGAGACAGAGAGGGACGAGACAGAGAGGGGCGAGGGAGACAGAGAGGGGCGAGACAGAGAGGGGCGAGGGAGACAGAGAGGGAGGAGACAGAGAGGGGCGAGGGAGACAGAGAGGGACGAGACAGAGAGGGGCGAGGGAGACAGAGAGGGACGAGACAGAGAGGGGTGAGGGAGACAGAGAGGGGCGAGACAGAGAGGGGCGAGGGAGACAGAGAGGGGCGAGACAGAGAGGGGCGAGGGAGACAGAGAGGGACGAGACAGAGAGGGGTGAGGGACACAGAGAGGGGCGAGGGAGACAGTCTAAAACCTGGTCCCTGTGTGAGTGTCCTCACCAATTGGACATGATGACTTAATGGCTGTGGGTCAGAGTGGATGATTTCCCTCGGCTCTGTGCTGTCCAGGTTTATCTTGCACTCCAACCACTGGATATTATCCATCTTTCTGTCACTTTTCAACTGTCCTTACAACTGGAGGGTTGCAATGATTTGGGCCATTGCTGGAGTATCATTTTATATAGCTTAATGGTGGCAGATGAAGTCAGGTTTTCTTCTGTCGCTGCTCAGAACTAAGCTCAGTTTGTACGATTTTTAAATACAGAAGAAAAGGGACATTCTAAACTCCGAATAAAACTCTCTAATTTTGTGTCCTTCTTCTCCCCAGGAACGAAGGAAACTGTGTTGAAGGCATGGCGGAGATCTTCGACATGCTGCTGGCGACGGCTTCACGCTTCCGCTTGCTCAAACTCAAACCCGAGGAGTTTGTCTGTCTCAAAGCCATCATCTTGCTCAACTCTGGTGAGGCAACAGGAGCGTGTGTGTTTTAGTTTTAGTGACCTCTTTCTAAAACATTTGGAAAGGAATTGAATGTCAGCTAATGCCTGGAAACACTGACAGTAGGGATGGAACGATATAGGTTTTAATGGGAAGAAACACTACAAATTGGTTGTTTTGAGAGAAAAGACTGACACAATGTTGGTTTATGGTTATATTGCTTCATGATGCCTCCTATCTGTGATGCAATACACACATTTGTTTCTCAACATACTGGAAATGATTTCTCTTTCAGTGCCAAAAAAAAAGAAAAAAGTTTTAACAACATGTTTATTTATTGACTTTTCATTCCTGTATAATCATTTTGCACAAAGATGGCACTTTTTGTCAGAGCACTTCATCCTTCTGGGATTTCATGAAGAACAGCTCCAACGCCTGTGTGTATGGGAACGCCTCTGGTGCTGGTCCATTAACTTACAATAAGTGCGTTCGACCAACAAGATACAAACTTGAAGAAAACAGAATCATATAAGTACATCAGGTTTCATAGAGCTAAACATTTAAAGTGCAACTCCACTGGTTTTAGATAAGCCAGCCCTTTATTAGTATATAAGTGCTTTGTTAGTAATTCTATCGCTCGAAGTGGAGTCGAAAGAGATGAGTTTTCAGTCTGCGCCCTCTAACAGAAGACAGCAGAGTCAATTCTCTAATTAAAATATACTCATAAGCTTTCATTTTTCCTCCCACAGTTTTGTCACAGGTTTCCATTTGTGTTCCCGACAGTAAATATTGAACACCCACCAGGTGAAGCTCTGAGCGCTACTCAGACGCATTAGGCAGCACCGTGTACCCTCAACATGCCCGATAACTGTTCCCATGACAACATGATGCAGCACACAGGGCTCTGTTTGTCCCAGAGATTGAGATGTTTTACAAGAGAAACGGAGCAGACTTAAATACCAACAGGATGACCTGGCCCAGCTGCCTGAGCCGGACCAGCGTCTGATTGCTGAGTGGGCGGAATGCTTCTGCAGTGAGCGCATGTGTGCAACTTGACAAACTGCAGTTATCTTATTTTGTTCTCTCCGTCAGGGGCCTTCTCTTTCTGCACCGGCTCCATGGAGGCCTTCCACGACACGGCGGCGGTGCAGATCATGCTCGACACCATCACAGACGCTCTCATACATCACATCAGCCAATCAGGAGGCTCGGTGCAACAGCAGTCCAGACGACAGGCCCAGCTGCTCCTCCTGCTCTCACACATCAGGCACATGAGGTGGGATTCAATAAGAAAAGTGGGCTTTTTTTACCGTATAAAAAATCTTTAGTTTTCGACATGTTCTGTTGAGAATCAGGATTCAGATATCCACAACGTTTCTTTGAGGTGATAGGAACACTTATGTAAAGACTTGAAAGTTGAAAAAAAGGCATAGTATAGTATTTCGTCAAAAGTATAAAAAAATGTCATAGTAGTATAGTATAGTCATAAAAACTAACAAATAGCTGATTTGTAGACAGGAAGAAATACACCAGCCTCATTACATGCATTTGCTTTGCAAGATAATTCTCAGTCATAAGAGAGTTATAAATTAAACCCAAAACCATAAATGATTCATCAAAAAGCAACTTAAAGGTGGGGTAGGTCATTTTGGAGAAACCAGCTCGAGTGCGCTAGAATTTGAAAATACACAGCCGGAAGAAATCTGCCACTTCCTCACAGAGCCTCTCCTCCAACACACACGGACGCGCACATGACCAATGAGGGCTAGAGATAAGTTTGTGCACAGATGGAAGGCTGACAGGCAGGTAGGTCATCCAATCATTTTAGCCGGGCTGGCTAAAATGATTGGTCGTGCTTTTTACAGTACTACGGCTTCCACAGATGAACATTTTTGTATGGATTTTTTGTCAAAGCACTTAAAAGATATTCATTGCTATCGGGATGTTAAGAGCATTCCATGGAATATAACAAAAAGTGTATCTCGAGCCGGTTTCTCGAACTTACCTACCCCACCTTTAAGGGCAAAAATCTCAACAACAGACGTAGGTTTTCCAGGAGGTATTAACAGATACGGTTAGTTAGACTAGTGCGTTGGTGTTTGGATCAGGGGAGCACAGGTTCAAACCCCACTGCAGTCAGCATGTCGTTGTGTCCCTGGGCAAGAGAAGACACTTCACCCCAAATTGCTCCTGTGGGGATTGCCCACAGTATTGAGTATGTAAGTCGCTTTGGATAAAAGCGTCTAACAACAAGTAACATGTAATGTAAAATGGAACAGAGCTTCCCAGATTGTCGTACTGATTCTCTTATTCCTCGTCTCCCGTTTGTTTACCCCCCCCCCCCCCCCCCCCCCCCCGCAGCAACAAAGGGATGGAGCACCTCTACAGCATGAAGTGCAAGAACAAGGTGCCGCTGTACGACCTGCTGCTGGAGATGCTGGACGCTCACCGCCTGCACCGCCCCGACAGACCAGGCCAGCCCTGGACCCCGGCTGACGGAGAGCCCCCCCCCAGCGGCAGTGGAGGAGGACCACGAATCTACAATGAGAGCGCCAGCAGAGCCCCGACAGTCCTGCAGTACGGGGGCTCCCGCTCGGACTGCACCCCCATCCTATGAGAGAGAGCACCGCCTGAAGGTCTGAGGTGATGACTGTAAAACAGAGTGAGAGGCGCGTTGTGGATCGGGAACAAAAAAAGGGTTTATTATTTTCACGAGATAATTATTTATAAATGAAATGAGTTGTAGCTGTTTAGGGAGAAAACTCTCCTTTGCACTGCTCCAATTCACCAACTTATGAGCTCAATGCAGCATCTGTGATTTAGTCTCTAACAGCTTTACAGTGCAGCTTATTGGCACTCTGTTAGCTTTAAAATGACGGGCAGCTAATTTTAGTTTTCATTTGACCAAAGTGCACTTCCTCTGGGGATTAAGGGGCTATCCGGCATTATGTTTACTTTGAAATATTAAGATGATGACACACTAACTAAACTATGATAAGAGGGTGAATGTGTAATTTATTGTGTTTTTAAATTCAAATATTTTGAGAACTAAGCATCAGGTATTGTGATTTCACACTAAATGTTAAACTTTGATATATTTGGGAAAAATACATTCAATTCAGTTGCCACGGCCAGTGGTTAGGAATAACAAAAAATGCATGATAAAATAGTTATACAAATTTGAAGGAAGCCAAATTCATTGCTGGGAAACGCCCTTACCAAGCTTTTAATGTGAAGACTTAATGTTTGTTCTGTGTGCTTAGTGTGTGTGTGTGGGGGTGTGTGTGGGGGTGTGTGTGGGGGCGTGTGTGGGGGCAGTTGTTCAACATTTTCATACACTTAAGCTACCACTGGTTATTGCTCATCAGCTTCATTGATTACATGTTGCATTTGGCTGGATTTACACACCTTCAAAAAAGAAATGTTCACGTTTTTATCAACTGCTTGTGTCATTATAACATTTTTAAAAAGTGTGCCCAAATGTACTTATTCAAATAGGTTTTTCTGTTCCTCCAACAATTTGAATTGTCTATGAACATTATGCAACACATCCATAGGCTTATGTTGTGGCTAGGGGTGCATCCTAAACTGAAAATATGCTGCTCAAATGGCGAATAAGCATCCAAGCTTAAGAAATATGTTGTGGATTCATTTCCTGTTGATCGCCTAATCTATTTGTTTTGTTTTAGCTGTTAAAAATCATGTTACCAGGATCTAATACGTAGTTAGCGTTACAGTGTAGTTGTGTTTTTAAATCTTGATGAAAAGCCTCGATACAGTATTACAAAAGATGGACTTGGCCACTTTAGCTGTGAAGTGTAAATCCAGTCAAACTTGTCTGTCATTTGTTTACTATGCATACAAATAAAAGCTTTAAATGGGAAAATATTGTTTGTCATTGTTGGAATCTCAAAGTAAAGCCCAAGAACACACAGCAGTAAATATTTTATGTTTTATTATTTGCAAAGAGTATTCTTCATGAAGTCAGCATTAGCAAACTGTACATACATAAATAACCATTTTAATATTTGATCAGTTTTTACAGATTCTGTTTTACCAACGCAGTGATGCAATGTCTCGTCATCACCGCAGAACAATTATCGCAGTTATTACAAAGCTCAGTTTCCTGTCGCAGCCGTCTACTAAAACTACCAGTGATTGTTTGGCTTTCTTAAAAGCAGGGACTTTGAAGTGCATGCTCAAGCAGAAAGATACAAAATAACTGCCTTTATGAAGGCATTTTAACAAAAATATACAAATCAGTTGAGAGCTCATAACTCGTTTAAAATATTTGCCCTCCTTGATTAAATATTGAAATTAAAAACAGGAATTTAAGCGTTGGCTTTTGGAGAAAGAAGTCGGCCATCTTGGCTGGACGGCTTCAGTGCAGTACCTTCGACAGTGCTCACATCAGTGCTCGAGGTTCAGATGTTTTGCTTTAACGTCATTTACGTCGACTTCTTTTCCAAATTCAAGCAGAAACTTCGGATCATCCTTCAGAAAGCACTCCTGTTTCCGTTGTTGCATTGTCTTCAAATGTGTCTTGTGAAACAAACTTCCGAGGCTGTGAGTGATTGCTACTCAAGCTGCAGGTCCACTGTACAATTGAAAAGGTACAATACCCCACTCTCAGGGTGGTGCTTCATCAAAACATACAATCTAATAATTGATTGAACACTAAATAAATAGTAGCAGCTCTGGATATCATGGACAAAAAGCACGGTGGACTTTGGCTCCCAACATACATACAGTATATAAATAGTGCTTTGTTTTCATTGATCTCTCAGGTTTGTTCAGAAAACTTTATAAAATAATGTACACATTTAAGTTAAAAGTGTTATTTGGAGATGGGGTCTCCAGATGAAGCTCCATGTATTCTGCAGGGGGTTTAAAGGGTTGAGGTGAGTGTGCCTTGTTAGATAGGGAAGTCTTCATATCACCTCTGAGTCACTTCATGATGCAAAGAAGAGTTTGTTGCTTTAGGGCACGGGGTGAAGAGGAGACATTCAGGAGTCCTTGGCAAAGCAGCAGGTAGATGATTGGCTGCTTCTCATATGGGCGGAGGTCCGTTGGTGTAGCGCAGCATTGGATGGAAAGAGCGGGCGAAGTTGTTGGCATGGTGACAGCTGTAGTCCTCCTGCGTCATGGGCACCAGGCAGGCCAGGCCGATGATGAAGAGGAGGAGCAGCTGGACGGGAAGCGCAGCCCTGAGGACCCGCAGCAGGAAGGACTGGCCTTTAGAGGAGGAGGAGGAAGAGGAGGAGGAGACGCCATCCTGGAGGTCAGAACGGGAGGAAACGCAGCCAGCGGCGCCGGGGGATTTGCTTCGGCTGCAGGGAGACACAGAGTTAAGTTAAACACAGCCGAGAACAGACCTGAGTCCACTAGTGTTTGCAAATCATGGTTCGTAAAAAAACACTTAATAGCCTTTTTAATTTAGTTAAAATTCAAGGTTTGTGTGCTCGCATTAATTCTGAAGAACACTCAACCTCATGTGCTTGAATCTGAAGCGCACGATGATCAAACTAAGACTTTTTCAGTCAATCTATCGACTAAAAGTTAACTGAGAAAATATTGTAATAATGACTTAGGGAAAATAATTTGTATTCACATTAATAGTAGTTCTGACTTTCAAGTGGGTTTAAAGAAACATGTTTGCAAAAACTATTTAACCCATGTCTGACAAAAAAAGAAGGACCGAAGAAACACTCGACAGGAAGGAAAATGCAGAAAATAGATCCAACCGTTAGAGAGATTGACAGTCACACAGTTGAACAGAGAGATACACACACTTACACACACACACAACACAGGCACACTTTAAAAAACAGCCATCACTCGCAGATATGCTGTGTCTCACTGGAGGAAACACTCTGGATTTAGAGCCGAGTGTGTGAGAGTTCAATGCCACGTCTCGTCCAAACAGACGCAGGAGAAATGCCAAATGCCTCTGGAGATTTCCACGTTTCGAGCCAAGACTCGAGGGGAGGAACATCATGTTCTCAGTGCGGCTCATCCTCCAGGAGGCTGCAGGAGGTCAGACACGCCGACACTCCTCCAGCCTCGCACTCTGCTAACTCCATTTAGTCTGCTAGATGCGAAAACACGGCTGCTATGAGCACGATGTGTCTGTGTGTGGCGAGTTTTAGTTTCTGCAGCCCATTCATACGTGATAACCCTTATATGAAGGATACTACCAGGGGGGGGACAAAGAGATTATTCCTGCCACAATAAGGCGAGACTAGTTTAGGCTGAGTCTTCACCAGGCCTGTGTTGTTGTTGTTGTTGTTGGCATGTAATGGAAATGATAGAAATCAGAAATGACAGAGGTGGGTCATTTAAGAGGTCTGGAAAGGAAACAGGAAAGAAAGTGGGAGTTAAGGTAGAGGGGGAAAGACGCAGGAGTTATTTCAACACATCCTGCTTTCAACTATGACAAGAAACAAAGACAGATAAACAGAGCTGAGGAGGGGGGGTCAGATAGCGCCATCTAGTGGGCGAGGAGAGGGCTGCAGTCACTCAGAGAGGAGAAGCAAAACGTATGACAAGGCCATATTCCATGACGCCATTCAAAAAGCAGCAGGGCAAAGAGAAGCAGTGAAATAAAACATTTAAAGGAGGAAGGGAGCGGCCTGATGAAGGCGAGTCCCCCCTCGTTTAAGAGCTGGTAACATGGTCTCTAGAATGAGGAAGGATCATGGAACGCAGGGTTAAAGCCTCAAAACTAATCAATCAAAGGCTAAATCCTCTACTAATATATTTTACAATCAGTCTGATTTGATTCATTGATTTTTCTCATGGGTTGAGTTTATAAAAATCAAGTTTCTAGTCAGGCGTAGCTGTGGTTCCATCATCCTCCGTGTCTCCAGAGTCCAGGAGAGAGGTACCTGTGGCGCGGGCCGCTCTCAGGGGGTCCGGGGTGGGCCTGACTACTTTTGCCTCGGGGCTGTACCACGCAATGAGCAGGGAGGGGTAAAAGAAAGAAAAGAATGTTTCAGTCAAGGGCAAATGAAGACAAAGCCTCAGATGAGAGAAAATCAAATAACATAAGGAGCCATAACATCAGCAACAAAATCAATGACGCTGATCCACTTTCAGAACCAAGCAATCTGGCTTCTCAAGAATGAATCCTGCAGAGGTACAAAAGACTGACAAAATCAATTATTTTAAAACTACTAGTTACATAGAAAGACAGAAACAGATAATGAATTGTATACATTACTTCTTAAATGAGATACGAGTCATTACAGAAAAGAAAAGCCAGGTTCTCTTGTATATTTTTGGCAGATCAACATGGGGCAGCAAAAACATCCCCAAAACAAACGAGGGGGCAGCAACAATTGTTTTTCTATCTAAATGTCAGCAAGCAATAAAAAAAAAGGAAAATCATTTATATTTTATAAAAATAATTATTTGGAAGATGAGATCAAAGAGAGCGCGGAGGGGAAACATTACCAAGCGTTTGTGACTGTGCACGGTCACCTCTGACTCAGCAGCTGATCCGCACATCTCTGATGGACCAACAGGCAAAGAGAGGCAATCCTGAAAAAAAGATAAAAACAACATTCGTTATGTTTTATTAAAATGATGCTATTAATGGACATTGATGAAAAGTACATTTACCCAAACTGTACTTGTTTATTCTACTACAATTCATTTTGTTTAGGTTCCACAGATGAACATAGACTCTTGGCTAACTCTCTCTAGTATTTACGGTAAGGAAGATGTAGTTTTCTAAGTATAATAAACAACCCCCTCATTCATTTCCTCACCTGCCGCGTGGCGGGGGTCTGCAGCCTCCTCTCCAGCCCCTGCAGGTCGCCGCTGACCTCCCTCAGCAGCAGCCTCAGTCGGTTCAGGATCACGTGCACCTTCTCCTGCGCCTCCAGACACTCGCTGCCCTGACTCTGGATCCGCTCCGAGGCTTTAGTGTCCACCAGCAGCTGAGAGGACAGCTCCTGCAGAGACGAGGCCTTCTGCTGCGAGTCCAGCAGCTCACGCTTGATTTGCTGCGGGAAAATAAAAGATGTTTATGACTTGGAATACTATGAATGTTTTATGTCATCTTTATTATGCCAGGGCCTTTAGGATAACATACTATTACTTCTTTAGGGCATATTATTATGAATATTTGTATTTATTTTTTGTTTAAGTTTTGAATTTTCTTTCTGGCATTTTTCAAGACTTTTAAAAGACTTGAACATTTTAGAACAAGACACTTTTTATGGCTTACCTTTAACTCTACTTTTTTTTTTATGGCAGATCACAATTACTTTTTGATGACATTTTTATCCCCTCCTTGATTTTGATATTTGTATATATTAATGTTCATCCTTTGTTATGCACAATGTAAAGGTTTTATTTGTTCCTGATGGATGACCTTTTTATTAATGTTTCTGCTTCTTTGTTCTAGAAAAGAGTTGTCCCTCTTTCTAACCTTTTTTGTAAGGTTAATACATTGCAAACATTTGTTTTCTTTTGAGCAGAGGTTAACAAAATGTGTACAGAACAAAAAAGACCACCAGACCATATCACATTAAATAAAAGACTTGGACCTGCCGCCAGAGAGAACAAAGTTAAATAACTACATTTAAAGACCTCCTGTGAGAATAAACCACATTTCAGGGACTGCACCTTTTCCCACTTACTTATGGTAAATACAACTAAATGCAAAGTCTGCTGTACACAAAGCATACATCACAGAGACATACCGTAAGTGTTTTGTGGTGGGCTCGTAACTCTTCACGGTCCAGGTTTGGGGGGATGGGCACCACCTGGTTCCTCCTGCGGTCGATGTTCTCCAGCCACAGCAGCAGGCCGTGGCTCGTCTCATGGAACTCCTGCAGGAAACATCACTGACATTAGCTTTGGGTTGTAGTTTCTCATATTGCAGGGTTTATCCTCAAGTTAAGTGTTATATCTTTGTTTAAAAATGTCATTGTATAGTATGCTATGAAAGGTCAATACAATTGCACAGTAAAGTATGACTTGAAAAAGTATAGGAAAGTGAAAAGAAAGTCATATATTTGCATATTGACTGGTTAATGTGCCATTTAATCTGTGTTTTACGACCGCTGTATTCGTCTGCCTGTGTTGTCTGTGTTTTATCTGTTGTAACTTTGTTCATGTGTCCTTCTTAGCCAGGTCGCTCTTGAAAAAAAGATTTTAATCTCAATGAGACTTTTTACCTGGTTAAATAATGGATATATATATATAGGATAGTATGTCGAAATTTTTTCAAAGAAATCAATAATAATATAGTATGTGGAAAAAAGTCAAAAGAAGTCATAGTATAGTTTGTGGAAAAATTGAATAAGTCAAGTATAGCATGTCTAAAAACATAATAGAACATTGAAAAAAGTCATAAGTCTATATTTCCAAAAATAATCATCCAAAAATCATGCAACATAACAGAGGACCAAATTAAGGATGCATATCAGTTATTATTTATTCCTGGAGAGTGTGTGTTTTCATACCTGGCACTGCATCAGCGCCCTCTGCAGCTCCCCCCTCCAGTCCTCCAGGGAGGAGCCCAGACGGTCCCAGCGGGCGTTCATCTCCTTCAGCCCGTCCCTCAACTCCCACGCCTCCTCAGAGTCGGGCTCTGACTGGAGGAAGTCTGCACTGCTCAGGTTGATGGACAGCACCTCTGACTTGTGGGCGTCCACTCCCTTCAGAAGCTCCTGAGGGGAGGAGTCAAAGAAAAGAGTATTTATGAAAACTCTGAACCATAAACCGGGTCAGACTGTAGGTGGCTCCTAGAGAGAGGAAGCCCAGAATGCAGGAGGTGTCAGCAGAGAGGAGTGCAGCCGGATTAAGCTGAGTTTGATTATTAGGCTCCAGAGGGATGTGTATTTATAGCATAGTGATATCTCACCTAATGCTTTACAGGCAGCAGCAGCTGGACTAGATACTGAGGCGTGTGTGTGTGTGTGTGTGTGTGTGTGTGTGTGTGTGTGTGTGTGTGTGTGTGTGTGTGTGTGTGTGTGTGTGGAAGGGTGAGTGGAAGGTCAAAATATTAAATACATAGATACATAGCAATATGGCACAATTGTTGAAGCTTTATTATCTTGTTTAAATCATTGTTGGAAGCCAAAATTGTAATTTAAAGACAGTTTACATCAGTCCCATTTCAGCCGACAAATTTATCTGCATTTTTCAACATTTGCTGAAACAGGAACTGAAAAAGACAGAAACAGACGTGTCAACAAACCTTGAGTTTCTTGATTCTCTGCTGGATGGTGAGTATGTCGGTGCTGAGCTGGAGTCCTCGCAGCTGGTTGAGTTCGGCCTCAGACTGACCCAGCCAGGCCCTCATGCTCTGCAGATCTGAGATCAGCTGCTGCCACTGCTGCAGGTTCTGCTTGTGCCTGTGCTTCTCTCTCAGAGACTGAGCCTGGATCAGTTCCCAGCGCTCGATCACACCTGGAGGGAAACAGATTAGAATTATTTAACACAGCTCGCACACTATTTAAAGGAGAAGGTTATATGTGTGTGTGTGTGTGTGTGTGTGTGTGTGTGTGTGTGTGTGTGTGTGTGACTGACCTGCACTCTGAGTGTCGGTGCTGGTGGGGTTGATGAGTCCCGGCATGTCGTCCTCGTCTTCAGTCAGCTCTCCCTCTGCTCTCTTCACTGCGTCTATACTGCCGCGACACTCTCCCATCAGACGCATCTAGAGGGATGATATGAGAAATATGTTTTCGATCCAAGGCTTTATTGTCATGTGCACAGTAGCTACAGTGCAGATATGGCAATGACAGACTTGTCACAGGCTCCTCGACCAATGCAACATGAATATATATAGGACATAAAACAGATAAAACAAATAAAATAGTGCAAGATAATGTTTTGAGATGTAAATACAAATACAATTTTTAGATTTTTACATAACATTTTTACATATTACATTTACATTTTTACATTGTTTTCCTTAAATGATAATAAGGTTGAGAGTTTATTATATTTGCATTTGTATTGCGTATGCAGGTAACAACAGTGCATTTTGAAAGAAACAACAATTAAAGAAAGATTATAATAATATGCATACAGTTGAAGATAGATACAGTTTCTACAGCTATTTCCCCCCCACAGCGAGCACATATCTCTGCAAGTGTTCAGCACTCACGTAGCCCATGTAGGTGGAGTCCCTGTCGGGGCTGGAGCTGCTGGCGGTGGCCTTTCTCTGCTGGAGGTGGAACCGCCCGGCGTCCAGAGCCTGGTCCAGCTGCCTGAGGCTGGCCTCCAGCTGACCCGGATCACCTGAAAGAGGTTAGGACAGAGTCAAGAACACTAGAGAGGACGCGCTTTGCATGAAAAGGTTTAGCATGCTGTTGGTGACGGCTGAGGCTTGGATGGCATGCATTAGTCTGGAATGCAAATGAACAGAAAGCCATGGAAGAAAAGAACACGAAAGTCAGATTTAGTTAACAATGACATGTTAACACACAAGTCAAAAGGCAATGGGTGAGATTAGCATTTAGTGATGTGGATTGCATGCAATGATGTTATTTTGACACTTTTAGTACGCTTCTCTGAATGGTGGGACATGCTTCCTTGTATGATAGTATCAAAATAAAGTTAAAGTTTTAGTTTATGGCATGCTGTCATATGTCATGCTGTTTCCTACCAGAGGACGATTTCAATGTGTTCTCAGTCAGTTTTATATAGGCCTCTGGGCTCTCTGGAATAACTACATCTGGGGAAAAAGACATACAACATACTACTTACAATGTGGGCATGGTGTAAATATGACATCTGTGCTAATCTATAATCATTTGGCACGGATCTGGATGTTCACTTCAAAGCTCTTACTGGAAAAATGACTGGACTTTACATGAATACCCTTATTGGAAAAGATACAACGGGTGCCTGGTTTTTAAAACAGCGAAAACTGAACAATGATTTTTTTCTTCACCATGAAATCCTCTCTAACCATCAGTTCTAATAAGCCTCAATCCTAACACAGCAATTCATCACATGACTGTTGTTGCTATATAATAACACATGTGTTACCATTTGATATCAAACATTGGAATCAACTCATTTGATGTGTCTCTAATTTCCTTATATGACATAAGAACTTTCCTGAAAATAACTTTTTTAAAAACTATTTCTTATTCATTTTCTTTCGGAAATGTTTATAACATATATATTTTAACACACCATAGCTGTTTTTCCTATAATACATTATTAATTAAATATAGTTATTTTTTAGGAAACTTTTTGGGAGATTGAGGAAATTGCAGACCTCTAAAATAGCACATTAGGAAAACATTTATGATTACATCCACAGGCAATCAGCAAGCATCCATTAAGCCAATCATCCATCATCTATGGATAACGTTGACCAACCTGACAGCACTGCGGCAGCCGTCCTCAGGTACTCCTCCTCCTCCTCCGGCCCTCGGCTGCTCTCCACCAGGCCTCGTCCTCCCGGGCTGTCCAGTCCTCGGCTCAGGTCGTAGTCGTGGTCCCACTCCAGTGGGATGGAGTCCACGCTTGCGGGGGTGTCTCGTCCCGAGCGGTCTGCCCGTATGAGGGCGGTCGTACCAGAGGCTTGGCGGCTGGACGTCCGAGGCAGAGAGGGGTCGGCCCACTGCAGGTCAGAGAGCTCGCCCCCCTCCTCCATGTCCAGCTCTCTGTCTGAGCCATCCAGCTCATCATCGGCCAGCTGTGGGACAAGGACAGGAACATGTTAGGAGAAGAAGGACAGCAAGATAGTGGGAGGGACAATATAATGCAAGTACGAGAGGAAATCAAGGGTCAGCTATCATTTCAAAATATGTACCCTTAAGAAGTTTCAGAGTGCTTTTTGTGAGGTACTGTAAGGTGAGCATGTGTTCTTTACTCCATGTTGACATGCAAATATAACACGAGTGTGAATTCTGTTCCTTACCAGCTGTCAGGGTAAAACTATGTTGCACACATGTTTTCGCAAGGTGGTGGGGAAGGGGGACAGCTGTAGTGTAAATGTTGTCATGTGTTTAACGAGTGGCCCATATGGAGTGACTGCTGCTTTAGCAGGAAGTCAGATTCTCAATCTTCTTTGCAAGCATTAGACAAGAATCTCTCATATTCACTTATTCAAGCTTATTTCTGTCTGAGGAATATTGTTTTTTGTAAGATGATATAGTATTTACTGCACGATGTGTGTCGTCTGTATTGTTACTCACAGGCAGGCGGGTGAGTTTCTTGTAGTATCTGTCTACTCGTCCGAACACCTCCTGGCAGTATCTCTGCAGCTCCTCCAGCTCTTCCTCGATGACGGCTGCGTCCAGAGGTTCACTCTTCTCAATCAGAGCTTCACCCTGCCTGAACACCAGCTCGATCTTCCCCGTGTTCAGATAGATCTCCTGCTGGAACGCCTGAGAAACACACACACAACATCCAACAATAAGAAGACCATCAAGCAATGCATTTCAAATCTTTTGAAATAAATATTTAAAAAACAGAAAATTCCCATCACAGTTTAGCCAAGCTCAGAATTTGAGTTTCAAAGTAAGGCTTTCAAACTCAAATTCAAATCTGGACAAAAGTTTAAAAAAAAGTTTGATATACAGTAATGCAAATAGATTTTTTGATATACTTTATTAATCCCTCGTGGGGAAATTGTTTCTCTGCATTTGACCCATCCTGTGTTAGGAGCAGTGTGCTGCCATTTTGAACGGCGCCCGGGGAGCAGTGTAGGGAACGGTGCCTTGCTCAGGGACACCTCGGTAGCACTTGGTCTTGCCGGGACTTGAACTGGTTGCCAAGCCAAGTCCCTATCGACTTCGCCACCACCGCCCCGAAATGTTCATTTACATCTATGATTAATCCACTGGTGTTGCATCTTGGTTGAGTTGTGTTTCATGTTGGATTGCTGTGTGCAGCACCAACATTTCTGTCTTACCTTGAGCTGTTTGATCTTGGCCTGTACGTCACACTCGGAGAAATGCTCTATGTTGGTGAGCTGCAGGTCCATCTCTGTCAGCCACACGAGGATGCTGTCTCGCGCCGTTTCAAACTCCTCCCTCTGCCCAATGAAGTGCTGAATGAAAAGAAGGAGACACAGACAACAATCATTAATTGTTTTCTTTATCTTTTTTAATTCACTGGGATTTTTCTGAACAACACAAGAAGTGAAGTAGGGGGATGTTACTGGTTAATGGATATGCACGTTATTTTAAGGTGACCAGATTTTCAAAATTAAAACCGGGGACATTTTGAGTTTTGCGGTCAAAATCTCATTAACATATCCAATTTTCTTCACTATTAAAGAAAAAAGGGGGACAATTCTGGTTCAATGTAATTCGAACATTTTAACTGTTGGATACAAACAGAAGGACGATAGCTCATATATGAGACTTCAAAGGTCTTTAATTTTGAAACTGCACATCAGATTGTCCAGATTCTCTCTGAGTGATTAGATGAGGTGTCCTGCTATCACCCTGAAGTGAAATAAGTATTTGATACTGGATAATTTTTGTTTTATTCTTATCTAAAAATAGAGGGATGATAGTTCATATATGAGACTACAAAGGTCTTTTATTTTGAAACTCTACATCAGATTGTCCTGATTCTCTCTGAGTGACTAGATGGGGTCTCCTGCTATCACCCTGGAGTGAAATAAGTCTTTGATAATTTGACAGTTTTTTATTTATTCTTGTATAAAAACAGAAGGACGATAGCCCATATGAGATTTCAAAAGTATTTGATTTTGAAATCAAATACATCTGATTGACTAGATGGGGTGTCCTGCTATCACCCTGAAGTGAAATAAGTATTTGATTGACTTCGAATGACTCTTTGATTATGGACGGTTTCCATTAAATAATAATCAAAATATAGATGGACAATAGATCTAATTTGAGATTTTAAACAGCATACATTTGAAATTGTGCTTCAGAAAGTAATGTTATTTTAGGAGTGTTGTGAAATGGTGTCAACATCAATTGAAATGAGTCACCCAGTGGAAATGTTAGATATGTCTTCATAAATATCCTTACATTTTACATTCACTCAGTTATAATGTGGTAGTTATATACGTAGTATGTTTTAAATTATTATTGATCACATTATATAGTACATATGTCTTAATTTAAGCTCCAGTATATATGAATATGTTTGGTGTGTTTTTTAGGTATATTTGATTTTGACCAAGTAAACGCTTTTATATTGAAGGCAGTTTTTACAGGCCTCTACCGTAATGCATAGGATATTCGCGCACCGCAATCAGACCGCAATACAACGTGCGGGCTGGCTGGACTGTGTTTTCGAAAGTGGGGGCTGGCTTGACCATAGTCTGTTTACCCAGTGTTTCCTGACATGAAACGTTTTATTTCACGTTGCTATGTGAACGCATATTAAAAAAACGGGGACATTTCCGGGGACAGTTTCAACCGGGGACAGGGCAATACAAACGGGGACTGTCCCCGGAAAACGGGGACGTCTGGTCACCCTACGTTATTTACCATAACTGGGCCGAAATAGAATAATTGAAAACAGCTGTGAGAACTAATGGAGAGGACTTCAGCGGTTGCATTAGTAACTCTTACAAATGAGTTAATTGAGCCAACAATCTCAGCCTGTATTACCTTGAGTCTGCGTAGGATGGCGGCCACCCTCTTCTGCAGGTTATCCCATCTTCTGTTCCCGTCATGCACCATTTCCCTGAGTCTCAGGGAGGAGTCGGTGCGGTTCTCCCGGGCCAGACGACGGTACTGTTTGTTGATGAGCTCCAGCTGGGTCAGGCACTCCTGCACCTGGCGCTGGAAGGCCTGCAACAAAAACACACAGATTAAAACTCTGAATAGGACACAGAATTTACGAACATACATGCTTTATTATAACGTCTTTAAAAAAGGTTTATGTGCATGCACAAAGAAAACAAACTATTTGAAAGGACTACAGATGTCCCATCAAATCTGAAAACATTACATTTTTACTGCAGTAAGAAATAAATTACAAAAGTAAATAAGTACAAAAAATTGTAGTAAAGAAGGTCAATAAATGCATGAAACCCTCCACATGATGAAATATGCAGGGTACATCTATGTTTAAGTAAAAAGGAGCATTCCAATCAGATCCTAATGGTGCAGGCAGACAGACAGCTTGCAGGGATTTGCACGTTCGCAGTGATTGACAGCAGCAGCTGAGCAGACGACTTTGAGCAACATGACACTCGGCTCTCTTTTTTTCTATGTTTCCACTACCCTGCAATGACTCTCTCTATCTTGAAACGCAGCCAACTTCACATTCTGTTAACAAAAGTGAAATAAACTCACCTCAAACTTTTTCAGCTCTTCTTTAGCGACAGTATACAGAACTCCAGAGGAGTTAGGCAGAGCTGCTGTTCTTTCCGAAGTCTTCAGCCAATCCTCGAACCTGGAGTAGTCATCCAGAAACCTCTGCCACAACCGCCACGTCTCCTCAATCCTGCACAGAGACAACATCCTTGGTAACGCCATGGCTATACTTATACATGTAATATACTAAATAGATCACTCAGAACACAGTTGGCCATTAAGACTTCTCACTATATAGGATTAATTGCAACATTTAATCTCAACACAAATATGGCACTGGCTAACAATTTTGCAATGTTAAGGCCAGTGTATTCATATGAATGCAGGTATATGGAGAACTGAATGTATGCAAGAGGCACTGACTTGAGCCTCCTCTCCATGGACATGGCACAGATGTTCCTCCAGCGTCGGTCCAGCCCTCTGGTGGCCTGCTGGATGGAGTCACACTCCGTTTCCGTGGAGCAGGCGTCACAGTCGTGGAGCAGGACTTCACAAAGGTTCAATACTGATGCCACACCGGTGCTGTGTTTCTCTATGTCCCTCTGCAGCGTCTGCAAATTAGTCAGAATGATTTCGTTATTTATGCAGCCTTTAAAAAGATTGTAGGTGTCTCACAATGTTGTTTAATGTAGCTTGATGTGTCTTGAGCTTCCTATTTGGCTTTGCTCCACATGTGTCTTTCATGCTATAAATTAAATCAGCAATAGTGTATAGAGGAACACAGTTAGCCTGCTTAAGTGCAGTAACTTCATGTGTGAGTCTAATCTGCAGGAAGGAGGTCAGTGGGTTTTCAGAATCCGCTCCACATTTAGAGCTGCAGCTTGGTCAACAGGAAGGATACTGATACTGACTTTAGGCTAGCTTTAAACTGATCGAGATGTAAGCATGAGTCATGCTGTGATTCAGTGTCACTCATTTTCCACCAACTCAGTACTTTGAGTCATGCTGTTCTGGTGTTATGTTGTATAAACAGAAAAGTACATGTGGGATTGTTTGTGTCTGTGTAGGTGCTTGGGCATATGAGTGAGCATATGTCTTGTAGTTTGTGTGCGAGCCAGGATGTCACTAACACATACTGGACAAACGCTGCCAACATTGGCACAGACACATTTTGTATTACTTTTCAGATCAATCATTCTGTTTTTAACTTGTTGTGGCCTTCTGTCCCACTTGCCTGCTGCTGTTTGAGTTTCCTCTGAATCTCCTGGTCGTCGCAGGTGTCGTAGACGATGGGCCTGGACAGCTCCGTCTCGATGTGAGAGAGCCATGAACGCAGGCTGCTCATGTTTTTATCTAACTGCTGCACCGCCACCAGGGTCTCCCTCAACTTCTTCACCCTGGTAGAGAAACAGAGAGGGAGTCATAGTCAGCACAGGGACAACCGTAACCACTCAGGCAGACAGTGTGGGATGGACACAAGACAAATACAGCTTATTCCTGTTTTAATTTTTGGCGATAAAAAAAACACATAACCAAAAATGATGAAGCAACAGAAAACATGTTTTCATCCACTGTTGAAACTAACTGAACACATATATGGATCTGGTTGTGACTTTTAAAGTAAGAATAAAAAGAAAGCTCACACAGAATAAAGAGTAACTGGGTGCCATGTTCAGCTTGACAGAGCAAAGAGTAACAGATCTGCACAGATATCTTTGTTGGGAAGTAATGAACCAGGGTATATGCAGGAATCCTGAAGTCAAATTGAATACCTTTTAAGACCTTTTTTAAGACCCTTTCCATACATTTTAAGACCTCATCGCAACTTCGAGTTCTAACCGGTTACATTGGCGACACACTTTACCTCACATTTACTATATTGATTGTAAGATAGCACAACTAAACAGAGTGCAGACAGACTACTGAAGCCTCCTCTCCACATAAACTTCAACCTCTCTTTGAAGGTCAGGTTTAATGCAGTATGTGCTCTTTCATTCCAGTAAAACTCCTCAGAAACCATTAGAAACCAGTATTTGACCAATAAACAAAACAATTGACAAAACTTTGAACTATGAAATATATTAAACTTTGGTGAGCTTCAGCGGGGTAATGCCATATAGGAGCTCCCTCACAAATACCCAGGGGTTAAATTGGGCTGGGGCTGTCCGGGGCTAAGCCCGGCACATAGGACGATGCTCTGACGTCATCACCCTCACACATTTGTCATATGTTTACAAAAAACGATATATATGTTAAGACTTTTCTCGTTCTTAATATAGACTATATTTAGGGTCGATATGTGTTGACCTTACTTTAAAATAGCAGATCTCTGTGACCGGATATAGTTTGGCTTAGACCCCGGCCCCACGAGGACGCATACAGTAAAACGCATACGCAAACGCAAAAAAGTCTTCCGTTCACACGCATTCGATTCATTAACGTGTCCGTTCACACTGGACCGCTGGAAATGCTGGAAACGCTGTAGTACATATGCCAGGCCTGTAAGTGGCGCTGCTGCCGCCACAAAATACACCAAAAGCAGCGAAGAAGACCCTGGAGCATGGTTGTCATGGTTGCCCTTCTGTTTATTCTCCGAGGTGGACGGCGTGTTCTCCTGCTGTATATCTCTCAGGTAGTCCACCAGCAGAGAAACCCCCCCCCCCCACAGAGCGGAGCAAGGCAACGAAACTTAAAATAAGAAGCAGCATTTTATGGCACGCTATGCATGGGGCCACCTTGAGGGGGTTTCCCGACATGTTGTTTCAGTAAATTAAAGGGTGTTTCATGTTGTCGTTGCTGTGGACCTTCTTAATACCTTGGAAAATGCAGTTTAATACTTTTTAATACTTATTAATAGCCTTAATTTTGGCTAAATTGATTTATCAATTTTTAATACTTTTTAAGACCCCGCGGACACCCTGTGAACTCTTATTTGACCCTAGAGAACAACTGCGAACCATTTTGGGTCTGCAAATGCCAAACATTTCCAAACCCTTAACACTGCAATAAAAGATATGTGAAACAAGTTTAAATTAGCCAGCATTCAGCCTGCTCAACTCCACACCCTGCAAAGCAATGAAACTCTCTCTGTCTAACCAAACAGACTTGATGAGAATGAAGGCGTTGGTCCTTTAATGTTACCTAAAGAACTCTGATAACAATAGACACATTTAGTAAGTGCACTCTACTATCTCTGCAGCTCTCATGTGCTGTGTTGCATGGTTACAGCTGCATACAACATTCAGAACATTCCTTAATCTGCATCTTATACTGCACCATACTGCAGGATTAACTAGTTTAACTGTTCACATTATAGGGCAATATATTGCAGAGCATCACATGATCCACTGCATACACCAGTCCTTAGCCAAAACAAACTGCAAACTGTATACTTTGCACTCTGTATACGGTTGCACACATCATGGGTCAGGTTAACTTGGAAGTCAATCAAACACTGATGCGATAATCAAACTCCTGTCATTGTCTGAACCGCCTGGAACGTATTATAATGTCCTGTGTGGTAACCTCCACCCTACAGTTGGAAACCCAGACTAATTAAAATAACAAACAAATTATATTTGAACACTAGTTGAACGAACCAGATCTCCACTTAACAAAGAAGCTGAAGCAAAACAGAAGAAGAGAAAGAAGATTGAGCCCTCTAAACCTTTGTGCAGCAGAAACATACTTATCTTGCTCTAACTATCCACAGAAAAGATGAGTCGGATAAAAAAACCAACATATCATAATCTATTTTGAGTGCACAAGAAACATTGCATGAGACATGAAACATTGCACTCTTTTTCAACATTGTAAACTGTTCAAAATAAGTTTGTCCTGCCTGTTGACATCACAATCACACTCCGGCAGATCCTCGCTCGGGCCTCCTGCCATATTATCCATCCCTAAATCCAAAACCATGGGGGTGCGAGATTCCCAAAGACAACGTTCACGTCGAGAAGCGTAACGGTGTCGTTCCAAACAATCTTCTCTTTCGTCTGCGAGCTCCACATGGGACTTTCTCTAAACTCTGTCTGTGCATTAAGGGGAGGGGGAACAGGCGATGGTGGGGGGGCACAACTGTGACTTATCAACTGTTGCTCTCCAAAGTTAAAAAAAGAGAACCCCGAACAGGCGTGAGTGTGTGTGTGTGTGTTATGTTTGTGCGTGTGTCTGTTTCTGAGTGTGAGTGCCTGAGAGTGACAAGTGCTGCTGTTTCTAAAAAGAGACTTACAGTCAGAGGCATGTGCCGCAGAGCTTGCCTGTGTCGGAGTTTCATAAACCAAAGACACACAAAGGGGATTGTAAACAGAAGCTGGAGGCTCCATGCATGTGAGTAAACCTTAATGAATAATGAAAAACAAGAAAAAGGTGTTTGACTAGAAAAAAATATCCAGAAACCACAAAAGTCCACAAGATAGAAATCCTAACGACAGTATTCTTCACTCTGTGACAGCGACAAGGTTTCTGTCCTGTTGTGTTTTAGTGAAGGAAGTATATAAGGAACAAAGAGAGTGCAGCTGTCTGTATGAGGTCAGACTCTGTCCTCCCCTTTCCTCCTTCATCCACAACAGTCTCAGAGGGGAACAGCCGGAAGACTGTCGGGGGGCAGCTGGGGTAGTTAGAGTCAACATTTGGGTCAGGCCACTCTCAATTCCCAGCATACCGATATTTTAATGAGACGGGTTCACACTCAGTTAGGTAGAGGTGTCTGGTGAGCATAAAGGTAGATGAAGACAAAGAGGGAGAGTCGAGGTGAGAGGAGGAATGTGACCTTTCTCTGCTTGCTTGGCGGCTTCACCAAGTGGAATCCCCTCTGACAACGGCAAGGAGCTCAGGAAATTCCTCAGAAGCATTATGGGAAAATTAATTCCCTACATTCCTTCACTAAGAAAAACTAAGAAAACCTCTACTCCATTGGAAGGAGTGATGCATGGGCGATGTGTAGGCTGAAGAGTATGCTTTGGGGAGAAGAAACTGTTCTCTTTTAATATAAATAATAATTATGCATAATTATAATATAATTATGCATAATTGATCAGACCACAAACTAAAGCCAAACTAAATGTTTTGAATGTTAACTTGTTAGTAGTTGTTCTGTACACTTTTTACATGTTACTCTTTATCATCAATGATCTGTGCTATTAACGACTCGAGCCAAACCCCATCTCTAAAGCAATAGAAGTATAAGTCCGAACTCTACTATCAGACCACACTCTGCACCTGCTCCTGAGAGTCTCGCACACCCACCTGGCAGCGATGAGGTCCAGCAGGTGCTGCCAGCGCTCGCTGACTTTGCTCAGTTTGTGTTGGATCTCGGCCGCCTTACTGTCTTGGCTGGCCCTGGACAGGCGCTCGCCCATAACCTGCAGCTGCTGCTTGTTCTCCTGAGACACACTGATCTCCTCCTGGTAGTCCTGGGAGAGAGATAGCAAGCAGGTTAACACAGGGAGGAGTGAGTGTGTGTACAGTGTGTCTATAGAACTGTGCATTAAACTAGAGATGAGACCACATTATTAAGTTTAAATGATGAGTAGGGTCATTTCCAGGGCAATGCACTGTGCACTAAATACTTATTGGAATGAATCTGAATTCAAAAGATACTGTTTTGTAAACATGCAAACATGACTGTTCCAAACATGCCAGTACCAGTAAACATTTAGGTTTTAGTTACGATTTGGGTAGTAAATATTGTATGATGCTAAATAAATATGTAAAACATTGACCAAATTCTAGAAATGTTGAAACAATCGGGCCTCTGATTGGCATGTGTAAATGTCGCTGTGCTGAGTTTTTTAACGTCTACATACAGTATGTGCTTACGGTATTTTCTTTCTGTTTGTCTTTGTGCTATAATCACCTTTCGCAGCTTTTCGATCATCTCCTCAATGCTGATGTCTCCATTCTGAGAGACTTTGCTCTCCATCTGTGTGAGCCATTCACATAGCTCCTTGTTCTTCTCATTGAACACGGCCCACTCGTTCAACTTCTCGCTCACCTGCTGCCTGCGTAGGGTCAGCTGAGGGGACAAAGGACAGATGGGGGGGGAGGATGGGATGATAAGAACAAAGGTTGGTTAAGCTATGTGAAACATTTAAGGAAATAACTACATTTGTGCAAGATAACAAATTCATTTGTTACAACAAATTAAAGGGTTTCATTGAACAGTTAATGCTATCAAAAAGAAACCTACTCAAGCAGCAACCAGAATATGCTGAGTCACTTTAATTCTTCTAATGCTCTGTTTATCAAAAACACACTTCACAGTAGCACCGAGCTCAGAATAACACTGTTGCCCTGTGGAGTAAAAAGTGCGCAACAGCTGTAATCTTACTCTGTCAAATGTATCTCAGCTGTTAGCACACACAAACAAGCCCTTTGAGTTTTGATTGGGGCAGAAAAATAACATCAGCTTTTCAAAACCCCCGTGAAAAGGCTGCACTGTGTGACTGTACCTGGTGGCTGACCTCCCCCCACTGACGCTGGAGCAGCAGGAGGCGTTCCTGTAGGACTGTGATGTCATCTGCACTAACCAAACCCTCCAGGGAGTCCCTCAGCAGGAACAAGGAAGTGAGGTCATCAGTCCAGCCATCAACACTGCTCTCCAACTCCTGCATCCACAAGACAAGATTGATTTAAAACACACTGAGGTGAGCCATAGACTTGAATGCATAGATTCATTCACACCAGCCGGTTAAGACTGATTTTCTGCTGGTTTTGACAACAGCTATTGTCAAATCTAGCAGAAAAACCACAGAACAGAACTACTGAAGCTCCACTGCAGCTGCTACAACCTCAGAAACAGGGATGAGGAAAAGCTAAGTGTACACTGACATACATATTACATTCATAAAATAAAACAGCTCCATTCTAGGTTAAAGGCAAGATAAAGTAACAGACACATCAAACCTTGCATCTCCTCCTCCTCCTCCTCCTCCTCCGTCACTGTGACGGTTTTGCTGCGGCGTAATCATTTGTGGACGCCGAGCATGTCTCCATTATGCAACACGCACAAAAGAAAGCGCGCACACATATATAAATATCCCCCACTGCAAGCACCGATGCTCTGACTCTCTCTTTCTCTCTCTCCCCACCCCCTCTCTCCCTCAGCTGATGCTAACAATGTGCAACTACTCTCAAAGCCCTCCTCCCCCCAAGGAGCTCAGTGCATGTCATGCATGACTGCAGAGTCCAGTGGTAAATTGCAAATGATGTGAATTTTCACACATAAATATGAAGCCGTTTGCTGTTTGCTCGTTCAAGCAGCAGCCCAGCATCATTTCAGCTATAATAATAATATTTTTTTGATAAATTAACACAGGAAGTCAATTATTTTCAAGACTTAAATAAAAACAAGAATAGTTATTTTTATATTATATAAAAACTTGAACGACTCAAAACAATTATCACAGCCAGCAGGAGAACAAACAACAGTCCAAAAAAACAAGGTCATACATTGAGACAGCGGCTAACAGATAAGACTTTTTTGTTTGGTCTGTCTGTTATCTGTTTGTCCCCATAGCCAGATTAAGGGGTAGAGGAAGGACAGGTCAGTGTGTGTGAATGTGTTCCGAGACAAACCGAGCGTGCATGCATATATGTTTATACTGCATAGATTCTCCTCACCTTGCATCTGATCTGCTCTGAGTGCAGCTCCTCGTGGAGGTCGGGCAGTGGCACAGACAGCTTCTTCTTGAAGGCCCTCAGTTTCTCGAGTGATGCATTTATGCCCTTCTCACATCTCTCCCAGTTCTGCATACACACACAAACATGCACAGTAAGAAATAGAGCATAAAAGAAACACACACATGCATTCCAACACAGGCTGTAGATCTTCTATTACTCAGGGAAGTTGCTATAAATTCTTCCTGTAGCTGCAGCGTCAGTATGGGTTAACTGCCGAATACACAACCATAAACTGACAGTCAACATCAATGATCATGCAGTAGACAGGCCACTCAGCTCTGAACCTCCCCTTTAAAAAGACTGATGCAGCAAAAATCCAACAGACAAAGAAGGGATTTAACACAGCTTCATGAAAAGGTTCTGCTCCAAAAGCTATTCTTAGAGCCTTAACAGGGTCAAGTTCAGGAAAAACGAGGAAATATTTGGTAAGAACTGCTGCAACAAAGTAGCATACCTAAAGTTAGAGTCATGGTAAAAGAGGACTAAAATAGCTACAGTAGCTGCTCTCTAAGTGCAAACCAAGAAGGACAGAGAGAGAGAGAGAGAGAGAGAGGAGAGAGAGAGAGAGAGAGAGAGAGAGAGAGAGAGAGAGTAGGAATAGTCCTAAGGAAAATAAGATCAAGAGAGGAGGGAACTATGTTCAGCAAAAAAGAAAAAAATCTGGGGAAGCATCTTTAAAACTGCGTCACTATGTCCTGTTTCTAAACAGGCCAAAGGCACAGCCTGTGAAATCTTCCTCGCAGGGTTCAAATCATTTCAGCTCACTGCACAGTGTGTGAATATGTGTGAACTGGGCTGGCATTTTGATATCTTTGTGCCATTTGATAACGCTTGAACACGAGTGAGTGTGCTCAGCAATTTATCTGAAGATGGTAGATGCTGCTCTATCGCTGTCCTTCACTTCTATTCAGGACTTAAGATGCATGTACAACAGGTACAGATGACCTTCAGCCCCTTCACACTGCAGCACGATAGAGACACAGCTCCAAGCTTAGCCTTCAACACCCACTCTGCTCAATGACGCTTCATACATGTCATATGTAACATAATACAGCACTGAAAGGGAACATTTTCACCCTTAAAACTGCTTTAGCTAAAAGCTCTATAGTTGTTAAACTGTTATAATGTTGCATGATGCATCCCAATGAGTATAGGAACTTCAGCATTGAACAGGGAGTGGAAATAGTAAGACAGTCAGTTATGTTTTATTTTGTCCCTTTTAACCGTAGCTTAGACAGAAAGGACCTAGAAAAAATCAAACCAAGAAACATGTTCACTATTGCTCCAGCTGTACTTTTGTCTCACCTTGAGCATGCCGTGCAGCTCCCTCCTCTGCTGGTCCAGGCGGTGGTGAGCGTGCCTCCACCTCTCCTGAATGTCCATCAGCTCAGTCTGCAGGGTGGACTCGGCCCGGGAGTCAGCCGACAGCAGCAGGCTGCGGCCGGCCTCCACCGCCAGGATGTAGCACCCCTGCTGCCGCTGCAGCACGCGCTCCCTCAGCTGGAGGAGCAGAGACAGGGACAGGGGGCGGAGGGGGGGCAGGTTAACTACGGGAGACTACGGTTGGGGAAGGGGTGAGGGTTTAGTATTGGGAGGTTTAGATCTGCTTACATTTTTGTGTTAAATGACATTACATTTAAAGATTGACAAGATGTATGAGTATTTTTTAGGTAGGATACATGATTGTAAAGATTTCAAGACATGGACTAGACATTTTAAATGAAAAAGGTCTGCCATATGAAAATGAGCTTAAAACACTCTCTCCCAGTGACCTCATTAATATGCAAACCTTTTGAATACGTTTTATAAGAAATAATTACTTTTCAGTGACCGACCTCCTGCACCTGCTCTACACACTAATTATAAATTCAATATCATTATTATCAAACATAAATACTTTGGATTATTAATTTCAGAGAATACATTTGAATAGGGGGATAAGTTAAGGAGTGAGGCTCCTCCATAGTGTCGTCCCCTACCTGAATCTGATCCAACAGGTCTCTGGCCTGCTGCAGGGCGACGGGTTCTCCTGGCTGATGCACATCTGGATCACGAGTCACTTCTTGAAGCCATTGCAGCAGCTTCTCTGACATCTCCCGGTAGTTCTGCCACTGTCGGACCAGACTGTCAATGATGCCTCTTCTCTGCTGGGCCCGCCTCACCACACCCTGCCACTGGTGGCTCAGCAGGGCCAGCTTCACACTGAAGTCATCCCTGTATGAGAGAAAACATCAAGAATTACTTATTTTCTCCACATAACTGGATAAATGTATTCATAAAATCTGACTTGTTTTTAAAATGTAGTGTGTTTACCTGTCATCCATTTGTCCCTGGTCCAACATCTGATGACCATCACTGATGATGGAGTAGAGAATCTGTTGTCTGCTGAACATCTCTGCCTGGAACAACTGAAAGTCAAAACAAATCTATATTAATAACAACACTTTAAAACTGCATTTGGTGCACATGTCCTTGAAATGCTTCTCTGACCTCATGGTCTCTCTGCTGCTCCAGCAGACTCTGGTAGTTTCCTGAGATCTCAGCAGCCAGCTTCTGTTCAGTCTGAGACAGGAAGTCCATCCACGCCTCACACTTCTGCAGGAAACTCTGCTGCTGCAGCAACACTGCCTGCAGTTTACTGGAGAGGGACAGAGGATATCTGTTATACCTTCCTGTTTGGAGGCTAATTATGAGTTTTAAAGCATAAAACCTTTAATTAATTAACCACTAAAACTTACACTGGCAGGCAAAATGTTAATTCATAATTAGTTAGTTTTGTAATTTGTTCATTAAAGTGGCACATTTTTTATAGGAGAACCCTCAATGAAAGTCTTACTCAATATGAATGTTGTTACAAACACTTTCTTAAAGTATGTCATTGTTAATTTATACAAATGAATAAATAAAAATATGAACTGCTATTTCTTGTATTTACATAAAAAGGTGAAGTTTAAAAGGTACCTGAATCTCTCGGTGAGGTGAGCAGAGTGAGTGGCCCAGGCTCTGTTGAGACTTTGCAGCCGTTTAACGTCTCTGTCGCTGACCGGCAGTCTGTACATCAACTCATTCACACGCTCCAGGTCCGGAGACAAACTGCTCAGCTTCAGTAAGGGAACCTAGGAACAAATAAATACACATTTTTTAGTATGACAGTCTAACAAGTGCAACTATGTGCAAAACATGCTTTGTCTATCAAATGAAAGCAAATCTAATGAATTGAATTCACTTTTAGTGTATGGTCGAGTGATTTGCTATACAGGATGTTTTTGTTGAAAAAGCACCAGATGTTTAAACTCAATTAATACACAATAACTCAGACAGCAATGTTTTTCATACCTTCAGTTGTTCCATACGCGTCTGCACCACAGTGAGCTCTGGGGAGCCGACCGGGTCCGACTCCTTCAGCACCTCATCGGCCTCCTCAGCCTTACGGATCAGTGCGTCCATCTGCTCTCTGAAACCCTCACAGGCCTGAGATCCACACTGAAACAGTCAGACAGACACAGTTAGAATACAAATGAATGGCTTACCTTACTGATATATTGAGGTTGTGTATAGGGAACAGAGATATGTTTTTCATTCGGTCCATGCCCACAAATCCCCACTATCCTACCTGCAGTACTTCCTGCTGCCTGTTAAGGGCGTGCTCAAGTGTTGCTAGGCGATGTGTGAGTGACAGATGGTCGGACTGTAAGGCTGCTGAGGACGAGGCGTCAACTTGGATCTTCAGCTGCTCCCCTAAAGCCTGCAGCTGCCGGAGGGACTGATGCACGGAGGCTTGGTCCGCGATGCACGCCTACAACAGGTATGTCAGCAGAGAGAAGCAGGTTAGAACCAGAAACACTAACTATTGAGTGATTGAGAGTTATGATATTATACACATTTATAATATCTACATATACATGTTTAATGGCATAGGAACGACAGGACTGTGGTTTAAATGCGAAGGAAAGACAAAGACGTTTCACGTTAAATGGCCAAAGGTAAAAAGTGTTTTAGGCCTGATCGCCTTCATTAGAGCACAAAGGCCAGCAGGCTGAAATGTTTGAAATGAATGTTTGACATTGCAAGAATACATTGAAGTACAGGGAAGGCAGTTCCTCAAACACCTGAAGGGAACCCTCAACATCCAAAATTAAAGAGAATTTGTTGTATTTTTTGGATTAAAAAAAGGCTTGATTTGCTTGTAAAATGCTTTGCAGAAGAGACAGCCCATTCACCAACAACAGTGTAGAACCACACAGTGTCTAGCAACAGTCTGCATCCAAAATGTGCCGTCTGCGTCTTCAGACATCGACCAGCATGGCCCTATAAGCCCAGCGTGACACCGGGAGACCCCTGTAGTGTAAATCATCGGCCTGTCTTTCCCTTTGCAGTCGCTTTTTCAAAAGGCCTTTGTTAAATTGTGCTGTGAATCTACATTCAAGCAGACAAAAGGGCAGGATGCCATTTGGTATTCTGCAGAGGGGAGCGAGGCTTTGTGGATCCTCATAGTGGACTGACAAGCCGTTCCAGAGCTTATTCACAAAGTCTTAGAAAGGAGGCAGAGGGTAAGCTCCCAATGCTGTCAAAACATTTTTTAAATAATCATATCATGTGCTTCAAATGGCATACTAGGTTACTACATACTGCATACTACATACCCAATCAATATGTAGTAAACACTGTGAACTAGATTAACTTTACATGACTGTATCAGTAAATGTAATACCGATCATAACAAATATTGTTTATCAAATAAACACTACCACTTCCACCGAATGTAATAGGTTCTAGTATTAGGTCTCAGATTGAGAATTACATTACATTGAATTAATTCCAATTTAGTAAACATGTGAACACAAAATCCTCATGCTACTGCATCATACATATAATGATCACTATGAAAGTGCTTTCAACATTTTCAAAGTACTTTCAAATTTGAACATAACCACATAGTGAACTGCTTTGTTACACTGTCCTATCTCTACTCACATCGCAGTCCATTATCCAGGCACTGCTCTCCTCCTCTGTGATCTCACTGTCGGTGGCGCTCTTCAGCAGACGGTCGGCACGTGCTTCCTGTTTCTGCACTGACGTCACACACTGGCCACATGATGACCTGTAGCGCTGCCACAACCCCAGCAGAGCCTTACTGCTCCTCAGCTGCTCTGAGATCTGCTCCAGGAGACTGTTCCACCTAAAACAGAGGAGGCGAAACAAATTGACCTCAGCTCAGATGTTGCTTCAACTTCCTGTAAAGTCACTCAGGGATGTATTTGTGTGACCCGTACCTAATGTTGAAGTCTCGGAGCGCTGTGTTGAGTGTTTCAGCCACAGAGGGGTGGCACTGTGTGAGTAGCTGGTGTGTTACCGAGCCAAATTTCCTCAGGCTGCTCTCCTGTTTATCCATCTCCTCCTGCATGTTCTTTAAAAATAGACACCCAACAAAAGTCAATTTCATCTTTAATGTTTCTTAAATTTGCTTAAAACATTTTTATTTGAAGAAGAAATCACTGTTGATTTTCTTTTAAACACGGTGCAGACAAATATCTTAAGCATGACTTTATGCTCCATCTACAGTCTTTTTAATAAACTCCTTACCTCCAGACCCTCCATCTGCTGCTGCACCGCCTCCAGAGACCCGTTAAGGAGGCGCAGCCTGGACACAGAGTACCTCCCCTCCATCAGGTAACCATTTATCTCCTCCGAAGCTCGGCGGTATAGCGTCCACTGCTCCAGTAACGACCGCAGGCTCACCTTCATCTCACTTATCTGATGAGAAAAGGAAGGTATACAAAACCTTGTAAGTGTCTTAAGTTCTGGGGTTCAATAGGAAAGTGTAGGCAAGGAGGGTAAGTGCTCCAAAAAGCTCACCTTGTGGTCCAAATGAGCCCAGGATTGGTTCAGACCTTTGAGGGTCTCTTTGACAACAGAGCATGCTGCTTCTTTCTTATCCTGTATAAGAGCATTTCCTCTTTCTTCTGCTTTCTCTAGATCCTTCTCTTTTTCCTTCACCAATTCCTCCAACTCCTGAAATAAATAAATTGTATTTTTATAAATATAGACATTCTACAAAAGTGTGTTAGGCATTGAGAGCAGTGCTTTATGTACTGTATGTGTACCTGACAGTCTTTAAGTGCAGTCTGCACCGATGCTACATCCTCTATCCTGTGTCTCTTCTTCAGTTTCTCCTCCTGTACAGTGAGCCAGGTTTTCAAGGCCTGAACTCCATTTTCATGCTCCAACCAACCTTCCAAAACTCCTTCTAAAAGCTGAATCTAAAATTAAAACAGAATTAAAACAAGTTGAAAACCCAACAGCATACGAAAAATGTCAGACGGAAACAGTCAAGTCTAATTTTACACAGACTGAAATGACCTTTTCAGCGATGAGCCCTTGTAGAATTTGCCACCGTCTGTTCATAGCTCCCAGCTTCTCAGCGAAGTCTGTTTTGTCGCTGCGCTTCCCCTCCACATCCTGGCTGCTGATCTGCAGCACCGACTGGTTTACAAAGTCCACGGTCAACTGCTTACAGGTCAGATCTATGCGGAAACCCTGAAATACAAATGAGACATGAGGAGGAGGGAATAAAAGGGTCTGTTAATACACTCCTTGACTTATAATATGTGAAGTTCTTTGGCAGCTTGACCTGAGAGGTACAACTTGGGAGCCCTTTTGGGGTAAAGAGAAAAAACTATATTCTACCTTATACTTCTGCAAAAAGTCCTGGACCACTTCTGAGCCTACAGCTGCCATTATTCTGTCCTTGTCCTCCTGTATGATGTTCTCCATGAGAGAGATCCAGCTCATCAGCTCTGTGATGGCATGTCGGGATGCCAGCTTCTCCATTTGCAACTAAGGGACGAAAGCAGAGGGGTTAAAGAAGTTTCCTCTGCTAGGACAAAACCCCTTGAGAAGCAAATTGTGCGACAATAGTCAACAATTTAAGTGTAACAACTGCTGTTCTCAGACCTGGTGTAGCTTCTCTTGTACTACTGGGATACGAGTCAGCAGCTCAGCCCACTGAGTGTCGATTTGGCCGAGCATCGTCCTGAGACTAGCTGTGTCGACTCTCTTCAATCGCAGGAGCTGGTTGCCTGTACTCAGCACAGAGGAGCGCAAGGACGACTTGGCATCCACCTCTTTGGAAAACTCCTGTCAGAAACACGACAGCGAGATAAGTTGGAATCCAGCCATGTGTTAATGAATACTATAAATGCTATTGTTAGTTGTGTGGTACATTTTGGATGCTTGTGTGATAACCAAACTTACCAGGAAGGCGTAGAGGTGGTCTCTGACGGTCTCCAGCTCCTGAGGCACGGTGACTGACTGAGTCGTCCAGAACTCCAGCTGGTCCAGAGCAGACCGCAACCAGTGGCTCAACTGTGCCGACTCACTCTGGTACCTGACATTCATACACAATTATTTTTCAGTACCGACAGCTTCTAAAAGATTAAAGGCATATTTATTTCTGTATTCAGCCTCTACGTATAACCAACAGGATCGCTGACTCACATAGCTACATAATTTATTTTATTTTATTCTTGGCACACTGGCAAATAGCACAGACTATTGTTAGAAGCTGACCTGCTCCAGTGTTTCAGCGTGGAATCGAGGCGGTGCAGCTCCTTGTTGACCTTGGTTGTCGAGGAGAGCCAGTGGTCTCCAAGCTGGGTCAGCTGGTTCTCCAGGTCTGAGCAGCCAACAGAGAGGAGGAGCTGTCTGCCCTCCTCCAGGAACTGGTACAGCTGGGGCTGATGCTCCGTCAGGCTGGCCTTTAGGCGCTAAGATAGGAGAAGGGTAACTGATGAATTAACAATTCAAAGTGTTAATCTTGTAAGCCCATTTGCTTAAAGGTGGGGTAGGTCATTTTGGAGAAACCAGCTCGAGTGTGCTAGAATTTGAAAATACACAGCCGGAAAAAATCTGCGAACGCGCACATGACCAATGAGGGCACGATATAAGTTTGTGCACAGATGGAAGGCGACAGGCAAGTAGGCCATCCAGTTATTTTAGCCGGGCCGACTAAAATGATTGGTCGTGCTTTTTACAGTACGGCTTCCACAGATGACATTTTTGTATGGGTTTTTGTCAAAGCACTTAAGATATTCATTGCTATCGGGATGTTAAGAGCATTCCATGGAATATAACAAAAAGTGTATCTCGACCGGGTTTCTCAAACTTACCTACCCCACCTTTAATTTAGTGCGAGTCCTGCCGTATTCGTTTTTTTTTTAACAGATTTATATAGATAGAAATGCTGCAATGAAAAAAAAACCAGCCTATAATATTTGTACTCCTCTTTTTGTCAACTACGATAAAGAGACATTTTTGTATATTTTTAGTTTTGTATTTGCGTTAAAAATATTGCGGGTTGATGTAGTCACAATAAGTGTTTAATGACGTTGGTGCTGTTTTCATCGTCATCTTTTTCTCAATCATAAAAATATACTTTTGTTCGTATAAAGATGTTTACCTGGAAGAGAGCGATCCTTTCAACAAGTCTTTCCTCCGTCTCCTCCACTAGACCTACAGTGGGTATGCTACACTCCACCGCCTCCAGCTGTCTACACAGAGCCTGGTAGTCTTCCACAAGCCTGCTCCATGACTGCCAAACAGAGGAGAAAGAAAATAGTTGACTTAATTCATTCTGCATGTTGTTTCATTTAACTAAATTGTACTGTTGCTAACTTCTATTCTTTTATAAGTAACTTTTCCTCACCTCTAGTATGCCCTCCAGCTCCACTCCCCTCCTGTGGGCCTGTTTGAGCACACTGTGGGCTGAGGCCATTATCTCCTCCATGGCCTGGCTTTCCCGTTGAGCCACGAGACCGGACACTTTACCGTAGAACGTCTGGGTGAGGATCATATGGCATTCCAGACCCTGGAAAAAGTCCTGGATTTAAGGAAAAACATAGTTGTTAGAATGTAAAATAACTTGGTCTCTTAATCAACAACAATCAATTCAGTGAAAAACAGTATCCATTTTACTCATTGTCTTTACTTTGTGTTTGTCCAGCAAAATCTGGACTTCGATAACAGAAGCCACTGTCATCTTCTGGTCGGCAGCCATCTTGTCCTGGGCGGTGTCCACCAGGTCTGTGAGGTCATGGAGTGCAGCTTCATACTGAGCCTTGAGAGACAAGCCGTGGTTCAGGCTGCTACGTCTGGAGCCCACCATCAGCACCAGCTCCTCATAGGCATCCTACAAATATATATCAATATGTCAGTGATGAAGTATTAAAGTTCCTGGAGGTAATGACCACAAGAGAAACAGAAATAAGGTCCTTAGGAAGGAGATATTACCTGTAGTTTGAGAAGTTCTTGGTGAGCGATTTGGTCAGATTGTAGTCCCTCTGCCCTTGTCTTCATCTCCGTCACTCTCTGCTCAAACTCCCTCAGACTATCATCCACCTCTGATAATGTCTACAAAAGATGCAACACATTTAATGAAAATGTCCATTGAGAGGCTATTGCCAATTCCAATACTGTCCCTATATGTTTTATCTTTTATGTATCTGCCCTTTGTCTGTATCATACCTCTATCTGTTTGGATGCAGGTCTGTCCACAGTTCTAGCCATCTTCTGAAGCAGCTGGTGTTTACTCTCACTCAGAGCTGTGAACAGCATCCTCAGTTCATTCTGGCAAGGACAACAGAAAAGACCGTAGCTCAGACCAAGCGAGAGGCAGATTAACTTTAAGAAAAACATGCTCTATACTCTAAGTTTCATCAAAATCAGACTGGTGGTTCAGCAGTCTTGTTATGTACCTGATAGGTTGAGTGTTCCTGCAGCCTGTCCCTCATGGAGTCACAGTGCTGGTCCAGAGTGGCATCCAGTAGCCCCATCCTCTCCTGCAGGCCTTCCAGTGTGTCCTCCATCAGTTCTTGCTCCTCTCCTCCACAGAGCCGACCTGCTCCTCCGCCCAGAAGTTCTCTGCACTGGTTCACTTCCCCGGTCATCTCCTTTAGCTGTTTATTCAGACCCTAGACACAAGAGCAGAGGTCCGTTATGAGGTGATTATTTTCCATCTAGTAGCATTTTGATCGCGTTGTCTGTTGATTAGTGATGTTTATGTTGTATTTCTGGTGCCAGCCAGGGTAGCAACATCTAATTTAATACCTCTAGGTTTGTGAGTTGTGTCGATGTATCTTCAGACAGCAGCACAGGACCAGAGAGCAGCTGATTCTCCGCAGCATCTAACCAGGAGGAGGCTGCTGAAACTGCAGCATACAGATCCTGCTGGATTTTTGTTTCTCCAGAAGAAGATTTACGTTTCCTGTCACCATCTGCCGTCTGTAAGGAAGAAGACAAAATATTATCTCAGTGCATTAAAAGCTTTCAGTAAGAATATTTTTCACACAAAACATTTTCACTGGGAACAATAAGTAATGAGAAGTTATCATAAGGAAGAAATATGTGCCTTACCTCAAGGGCGATTATTTCCAGAGTCTGACTGCAGGCCTCGAACAAAGCTCTGGGAGAGCGAGAGTCCTGGCTGGCACAAACACCTCTGAACACAACGTTGGGGCTGGACAGACGGGACCGGTGGAGCACCTGAGAACAAGAGGGAAGAATTACAATAAAAGTGTAAAATGACATGGCAGTAAACTTGTATTGAAACACATCACAATCTATGACGCATGGCATGTGTACCGGGCTAAGCTGGTCCTGTTCCAGGGAGTTGAGGGAGAGCTGCAGCTTCGTGCTCTGGTCTTTATTCAGGTTTTCCCAGCGCTGCCTCATCTGCTCCAGCGGAGACAAAGTCTCAGACTCCAACAACACTCCTCCTGGGATGGACATCTCACTGTGGGAGGAAGAGAGGTGGGTTGTATAAGATACTTTTATCTGGTCCCGGACTGTCAATGTTTTTTAAACACGTTTGTTTATTTGACAGATTTAACACATTATTCATTCATATAATAACTCTCCCAGATAGGAACAAATGGCCATAATAAATACTAAATATTATAATAAACAAATATTATCAAATCACAGAAACCTGAATAGACAGAAGTGAAGTACCTGTCCCCATTGGGTGTGGTCTGTTGGCTGAGTAACTCCTCTCCAGCGCTGGCTACAGACTGCAGCAGCCTCTTCTGATCAGCTACTTGCTGCTGCAGCTCCTAGAAGGCCACAAAATCTCAGAGTTATATCAGATGAATCTAAAAAATATTATTAAACTAAATAGATTTGCAATAAACATGTTATCCATTTTGGCACTCAAAGTACAGTGCTTAAAATAAGCTCAGCTCAGGTTTATTAAATATAAAAACTAAACTAAAGTTCATCTTCGTCTTACCCTCTGTCGAAGAAGGTTGTTGTGATGCTGCTGTGTGCGTGTTGTTCTAGCCTGGGATAGCCATTCCTGAACATTGGGACTCTGAGACAGAGATGAGTCTGGCTCACTATCCTCCTGCTCCTGCAATGAACCCTGGGAGAAAAAACAGGAAACTTCAGAATTTGATTAAATGCTCAAACACTTTAACAGGAGAGAAGAGGACAGGGAATCTGATTTTCTCTCTGGGGAAGAGGCGATTAAGTTTGTTCCCGCTAAGTTTGGTCCATACTGTATGTGTGCATAGATTAAGTAATCAACTTCTTGATGTAAGTTCACTTAACTGTACTAAAACTGAGATTTCAACACTTCTAGAATAAATCTATATTTAAAATCAATTTAATTAAGTCCTATATTTAAAAAAAGAAGTTAAAGTGAACTCAGACAAAATACTTTTTGTAGATCCTATGTGTTATAGGGTGACTTTAATTAATATCATTATTTTCTACAATTACACATTGTTATATTATCACATTAAGGGAAGCCAGCAACAAGGGCCCATTTTCAGTTAAAATGTGGAGATTGAAGAAGAAATTTGAGTAGATTTTTCACAAAGGGACAAAGCCAAACTGTTGAGTCATCAGAAACACACCTGCTGCAGTACATTAGTGTAAGCATGTGATGAGGTAGCATCCTTTTGTCTGTTGTTTGAGGCCCATTGTGGGACACACAGGCTCTTGTTGTTCCGTAGTGGAATACAGTGGACTTTTATGAAGGAGCATGACATGACCTTTAGTATTTGTACAATACTACCATTGATACAGTTAGACAGTGTCCCATAATGCAGCCAGCAGAACAAAAATGACACAGAGGAAGGAAAAATGTGTGGGAATGTGGAGGGGAAGAGAATTTAGGTTGTGAAAAAGGAGAGGACGGACGACCTTACGTGACCTCTGAGCTCACCTGTATGCCAATTTGTTTGTCCTGCAACATCTGCTGCAGCTCCATCAGGCTGTCTTTGAGGGAGCGCAGCTTGAAAGCGAGTTGCTCCGCCTCTCCCTTGGTCTCAGCCCGGCCCTCTAACAGCAAGCTCTCGCTGTGGATGGACAGCTCGGAGAGATACGACACCTTCTGCTCGATCTCAAACAGCATATTCTGGAAAGGAAAGAGTTATAGTTGAGAATCAAGCTAAACTGTTCAAAAGCTCAAAATCCTTTACATTAACTTTCCTAGTCTCATAATAAACATCATAACATCTTATGCATACATAATAAAGCAGCAGTTATTATCTTCTACAGGTTCTACATGCCAAATGTATCTATCACGGCTATGACTTTATTTCACAGAGCTTTACAAAAAGTATTATCTCGGCATTAAGATGTGTTAGCAAATGTTTTTCAGCATTAAAGGTTTTCTTGGAAGGAAAAATCATTCCTAAACCTTTTTGCTTGTGGCCCAATAAAAAGAAGCAATGTTTATCTGAAAGCCTTCACCACAAATTGCAACCAGAAGAACCAAAGGGCGATGTTAGTTTTTATTATATTTTTGGATGAGAAGGTAAAATGTTACAGTAATTCCACTAACATAACATGCAGCATATTTCAGTTGCATGCAGGGTGGGATTTTCATGGCGGCCACGACGGCCATGGCCGTCGTAGCCCCTCGGTCTGGCCGTTATGCCCCACAAATAATTGTACGTCCTACGGCCACCATGGCCTTTGGGCCCCTCACACTGTTAAAAGTTGCTTTAAAAGCGTCAGAACAGTGTTTTCTGAACTGCATTATGCTGTGTTCACAACGGACGCGATGCGAATACTCGCATTGCTCTAACCGCTGGAGTTTCACCGTGGCTGTCAGCTGTGTTTACTCCTGTCATTCAAACAGGACGCGCTGGAGAGGGGGCGGGGCTTATCTCCATGTAAATACTGTGGTGGAAACCAACTACGACCAAATGAACCTATTTTACCGTGATTTCATTGTAATACACGTTTCAAAATGATGCCGAAGTAACTAAATACTGATAACGATTAGTAAAAACCATGCTTTAATGCTTTGACAAGTGTGCAGACAAGACGGCATGCAAAAAACCTCTTAAAATGCGTGTTTTGTGAATGGAGATTGGATCGATCAGGCTAAACTAACGTTGTAGTTCCTCCGTCCAAACTCACAACAACGTCCTAAAGACAGAATTAAAGCAGCGACTGTATTCATCATGACACAGACAGTCTGTGGTTTGTACATCTTTAACTTTTGTCCAGTTTCTGAACAGATATGAGGAGCTGTGAGGAGTTGATTAAAGAGACGCACGCACGCACGCACGCACACTTTTGCATTTCAAAGTATTGCCTATTCATACAGTTGGATGTTGGAGCTTCACTGTGCACTGCTGAATGATGTATGTGCAGAGTTTGACCCTTGAAGGCTGTTTCTTCTGCTCTGAAATGGAATATATTTGTTACATATTAATAGAATTTTTGATTTTTAGATTTCATTTCGGATTTGTGAATGGGAGTAGTAGTAGATGGAAAACATACCAAACACTAATTATTCAAAGTAAAGTATTTCATTTTAGATACATTAATACTAAGTAGGGATAGGCCTATATGATGATACGATTATTGATATTAAAAAAGTGATTTGTTTTTTGTCATTAGAAAGTGAAGTTATTTATTTTTAAGCTCCAAATCCTAATTTGTCCCTCAATGGCCTTTGTGCTCTGGCATGTGGACTTTCCGCCCTGAAAAAATGTGTGACACCAAAGGCCAAATGGCCTTGCCCCTAAAATGACGAAAATCCAAGCCTGGTTGCATGCTTTTTATTTCTGCATCTCCTTGCCTCAAATGTTTAAGGATACAATATGTTTTTCATCAGTTCTCATATTCTTTTTTAATCTTACTCCGTTTCTCTTCTTTTTAGACCTATTCTACTAACCCCTCTCTTACATTTTCTAATCAGAGAAGCAAAAGAAAAAAAGACCCTCCCTTCATACGTCCAGACTCTCTGTAAACTGGTGTAATTGTATGGCAGAAGGGCAGATTCAACCCTAACCCTCCTCTTTCACACGAGGTTACAAGGGCCCTTGGCAGAGATGAGGAGGTCATTCACCAGAGATTTTTTCCTGAATACAGAGAAACATACAACTCTTGTGCTTCTACCCAGAGCTGCCGCTGTGTGGATCACTGGGAAAGTGTGGAACCTGTTGTCTCTACACTTTCTCACCACAAAAAGCCTCTTTATTGCAACTCAAATTCCTCTCCTTTGGCCTAAGCCTTTATCTTTTCTTTTGAATGACTGTTTTTAAATGCCTTTGTCTGAATGTCTATCATTTTTGTAAAGCACCTTGAATTGCCTTGTGTTGAAAGGTGCTATATAAATAAACTTGCCTTGCCTAAGCACAAAACCTTAAATGTTGTTGCTTGGATTGACACAGCTACATCACAAGGTGGAGTTTAGTATAAAGGTTGAGACAATGTTGGGCTGAAAGTTCAGACTCGTAAAGTATTTGATTAAGCGCTGACCCGTGAGAGGCTACGCTTAAGTGGGTACTGAGCCGCTTACAGTGTAGGGATTTTCCAGAACTGTGTACATTTTTAAATAAACCCAAATCAGAATCGGTCACACCAAACTGAGGCTATAAAAGAATAAAAACAACTATTGTAACACAGACACCTGATTCATTTGGACATTAACAGACATTAAGTATGCCTTTATATCGCCTTTTCCCTCTGTTTATTCCTTGATTTTTACTGCTCCCTATTTGCCTGAGTTGCTCCACTTCAATTTCTTCCCTTTCTCTTGCCTTTATGCCCGCTTCATCTCACAAACCTCATATCCTTTCTCACATTGTGCCCTTTCTCTAGGGTCGATACTGTAATAATCTACGTTGCATACAGTTTAAACCCCCTGGAGATGAGAACCCGCATTGAGCCAGACCTTTAGACCTGAACTCCGCAGGGGCCATATGTGAGCTTTAATCAGCTTACTGTCTCGAAGCTGCTCCACACACACACACACACCACACACACACACACACACACACACACACACACACACACACACACACACACACACACACACACACACACACACACACACACACACACACACACACACACACACACACACACACACACACACACACACACACACACACACACACACACACACACACACACACACACACACACACACACACACACACACACACACACACACACACACACACACACACACACACACACACACACACACACACACACACACACACACACACACACACACACACACACACACACACACACTATGACAGAGTGACAGAACTAACATTATTAATGCTGAGAAGCCAATTATTGTGCATCATAGCTTGAATATTTGAACATGTATTTATATCAGTTTTGGTATTGAAAAGTTAAGCTGCCAAATCAGTGCATTTGTTTGTTGATTCAGTCTAAGACTAACTAACAGAGGTGGGACCAAGTCATTGTTTTGCAAGTCAGAGTCAAGTCTCAAGTCTTTGCGCTCAAGTCCGAGTCAAGTCTCAAGTCTTTGCGCTCAAGTCCGAGTCAAGTCTCAAGTCTTTGCGCTCAAGTCCGAGTCAAGTCTCAAGTCAGGATGGGCAAGTTCAAGTCAAGTCCAAGTCCTAAACTTTGACAAAACGAGTCTTAAACAAGTCCTTATGTGCTTTTCACCAAATGTAATGTAACCACCCCGCTCCTCCGCTCCCTTCACTGGCTTCCAGTAATTGCTAGAATCCACTTCAAGACACTGGTACTTGCTTACCATGCTGCGAATGGATCTGGCCCTTCCTACATTCAGGACATGGTTAAACTGCACACCCCAGCAAGTCGCTTTGGATAAAAGCGTCGGCTAAATGCAATGTAATGTAATGCAGGGTTTCCCACACATAGACTATACTTGGGCGGGCCGCCCAGGTATATTAACGGCCGCCCAAGTATATTTCGTGACCCATTTAGGTTTTTTTTTTTTTTATTTTATAGTTTTTTTTTTTATTCGTCCATGACCACGACGCCATCTGCGATCGATTAACTTGTGGACAATGATCCCTCGCTCCCTTGCTCTGTTCTCGCCTCCTTCTGGCCTGTTAAGTGGCCTGTCTCACACAGGGTGACTGGCTGTCCACATGATGTGGCCTGCCGACATGATCAAATCAAAGCCCTTGATTGGTCTCTGTGTGTCATTCAAGCTCGGGATAACCTCAGCTCAGGCGAGGTAAAGGACTCTGAGTGTTTAGATAGTTAACTTAGTCTAAGTTCTCAGTGGGTCTCAAACGGTGTGGTCACCATTTATGTAAACACATATTTCCATTTGAGAGGGTAGTGATTGGTCTAATCTCTAATGGATAGTGAGGTGGGCTGAAGATCGGAAGGCTGTGAGTTCAAATCCCGCCAGGAACACCACCACTAGTGTGCCCTTGAGTAAGGCACTTAGCCCTTAGTTACTCCAGGGAGAATGTCCCTATAATCGGTCATTATAAGTCGCTTTGGATAAAAGCGTCAGCTAAATGAAATGTAATGTGATTAGTAAAATATGCATGAATAAATAAATAAAAAGTTAACTAGGTGAAAAAAGATAAGATACACTTTTAAAACTTGTTGAGAGAAAACTAGTCTTTGCTGCTGCCTCAAAGAGGAGCAGGGGGAGAGGAGGGAGACAGGAGAGGCTGGTTCAGGAGCACAGACACACTCACAACTATAAATGAACCAAAAATATATTAATAAACAAGTTTCAGTGTTTTTTTCATATTGGAAATGGTATGTTATTGGTTATGGCCATGATTTTATGATTATTGAAATGTATACAGTTCTGTTTAATATAGGTGTTTCCATAGATCTAGTCTCTTTATTTTCCCCTCAAAATGCACCAGATTGATGCATTTAACTCCAACATAAAAAAAATCTTACCGGGGGGGCATGCCCCTGGACCCCCCTAGAGGATTTGAGGTCGACCCCCACTAAAAATCACATGGATAGGTTCCTAAACATTTAGAAATACATTTATTTTTTTAAATAGTAACCCATTTCCATATGTTCATGTGTGGGTAGTAGATTTAAACTATAGGGCTATCATTATGGACCCTGCCTGTACCTGTTCGCTCTGCCATCGCGTGAAGGGTCTGCTAACAAGCGACCAACAGAAAGGTTAATGTTAATGTTGTTGCACGTCACCTCAACCCCCCCCCACCCCCGCTACCACCACCCCCCCCAAGTATATTTCAGATCTGTGGGAAACACTGTAATGTAATGACATCGATCAACAGAATAATACTTAATAATCAAACTGCTCTTTATTAGTCACATTCATAATTTAATAATCAATTTTCTCTCTGCTGGTAAAGTAACGTGTTTTTTTCTATTTTAAGAGGGATCAGTAAGGTAAGGCTACCGTGACGGTTTGATTCAGAAGGAGTTTAATGGATAAGATCCCTGATGTTAAGGTGACCAGAATGTTTATTTCCACTGTGTACAACATGTTATGGGGGACCCACAATCTATCTTTATGCAAGGGATAATGTGCAGCGAGGCGGGCTCTGGGGAAAAGAACACATCTGAATCTAGATCCCTCTGCAGGTGGTAGGCTACTTTAAGTATATTTTGATGCTAATACTTTTGTACTTTTACTTGTAACATTTTGAATGCAGGACTTTTTATCGTAACCGAGTATTCCTAAACTCTGGTACTTACTCAAGTACAAGATCTGAACTTCTCCCACCTCTGACAATAAATCCTGGTTACCAAAAAAAAAAACCTGCTCTGAAGGTTATTTTCATTTTACAAATCCTGCACTCAGCTTTGCTTTCTCCAATATCACTGAAAAGCAGCCAGATGTTGCTTCTTTTTTCGGTTTTCGCTCATTTCTTGACTTTTTCCGACGCACTTGCATTTAAATCCGTCTCCCCGTCACTCTGTGCAGCTGGCCTGTACCACTACACCTGCTGTGCCCCCCACCCTTCTTTCACATAATGGTATGATCCTAGTGTGTCCTCGCATATGATTGGCCGCATGGTGGCCCAGCTAAATATAGACCCGCCCCTGCCTGCAAGGAATCTCAGCAAGAGTAGGGGCGGCTGGAGATTCTGCTTTCCCCGACGGGAGGCTGCTCTTCTAACGGCAGCTCGCGATCGGCGTGTTGGAGACCTCTGAATTAAAGTATCAAGTCACCTCAAGTCAGAAGGCTCAAGTCCAAGTCAAGTCCCAAGTCATTGGTGTTCAAGTCCAAGTCGAGTCGCAAGTCTTTTGTGATTTTGTCAAGTCCAGTCTCAAGTCATCAAATTGGTGACTCGAGTCCACACCTCTGCTAACTAGCTTCAAATGGATACTTCAGTGAAATAACAGTCAAGGTAAATACACAACGGAACCATTGTCAGAGATAAAAACAGGAAAGGAAATGAGGTAATGAAAAGCAGTGGCACTGTTTACAAAAAGCCTTTCTAATTACACTGCACAAGTTACACACTGTCACTGAAAAACCCTTAAAAGGACACACAGTTGGATTAGTGACTACTTCTACCATCAGCCATGGATGCTAATTACCCCACAGATAAAGGAGATGTTACCGAAGAAACATAATGAGTAGGGAAACCACACTCGGGCTTGTGGAGGAATGTTTGAGGTCAAGTGATGAGGGTCATCACAGGGTCAAACCCATATCCCATATGTCTTAATACTAACAGAATTCCTGCCACGTGCCAAATAACTGCATCATCATGTGTTCAATTACAGCTTTAGGACGATTGCTGCATGTCACACATATTGATTTAAAGGTGCACATGAAGTCAAAAAAGCTCAACTGTGTTTAAGGTCACCCCAATCTAAAAAGAAAGGAGTCCTCTCTCATCAATTTCTGGTATGGCAGAAATGACAAAAAACCAACAACTATCCCTAAAAAAGTCCTTAACTTAATTGGAAAGAATAAGTCTCTTATTCTGCGTTTTGACTCACTGTTGGTTCTGTGGATTGTTTCAGCTTTTTAAGGATACATCAAACCATCTACTGTCAGCAACATTGTCATCCATGAAAATCAAGCTCAAAAACGTTCCGTGCTTCAGCCCAGCCTTTAAATAAAGTACAAAAGTAGTTCTTACCTGACAGTCGATGAGCTGCTCCTCCATGTCCAAGTCCTCGTTCAGCGGTTGAAGTGCTGAGCTTATAGTGGCACGAGTGCTGAGCAGCCAATGGTCGAGCTCCTCGGCCTCACTGTGGTACCGCTGCAGTGCCTGTTCCTGTCTCTGCTCCTCCAGCTGTTCACTCAGTCTCTCCTGTTGGGGTGAAGGTGACACTCATGTTAAGAATCTGCAGGTGAGACAGCTCTGACACTATAGTATACTTAAATGTTAAGTAGAATGACAGCATTCAGATATGGGAGATGTTAAAAGAACATCTCAAAGTGCGCACCTCCAGCAGCTGCCGTTTCCCAGAAGCCTTCATTCGAATGGTGGCCATCCTCTCTCCCAGCACAGTGAGGGTAGACTGCAGAGCCAGTTGGTCTCCTGGCTCCCCGTCACTGTCGCTGTCTGCCAACTCCTCAGAGAAGCACATCTGTAACTCGCCAATCTCCTCCTGCAGCATCATGATCTCATCCATCAGAGCCTGGACAAAAAAGTGGGATTAAGTGATATGAATTCTGAAATAAAGAGAGATTTGAAGAGAAAGAAGTCGTAGGAAAGGGAGAAAAGCCTGAATAGATGGCGAGAGACAGGAGTAACAGAGGGTTTTCCCCAATAGTCTGACAGAAGCGTTACAAAAAGGAGCTGTATTGGCCGTCGCTCTGAAGTTGGCATAGCAACTGAGAACAGTGCTATGAAGTTTGTGCAACCATTGCATGGGCTTGTGCAATATCAAACTCCTCAATCATTCTCTGTGTTCTCAAATCAGACTTGTCTTTTATCAGCTTTGTCTCTCCCACAAGAGAGGTTTTCTGTGTGCCTTTTAATTTACACTTAACATGTATACTACTACTTTGAATGTTATCTGTACTTTACTCCTTTCTCTATCACACACAACCCCACATCTCCAGCCATCTCTGTCCCCCCTCTCTCTCACCTGGTGTGCAGCCATCTGGCTCTCTGGGGTTTTGGTAGGGTCCAGGCCTTCATTGAGCGCCGCCTCGATGGACTCCATCTTAGTGGAAATGGACTGGAGGGACTCCTGATAATGCTGCTGCCGCTCCAGAGCCTCGTACAGACTCTTCTGCTTCTCACTGATCTGTGGTAGGGGAGAGGGGAGGGAAAGAAAAATAAAGAAATGAATGCTGGTACAATAGAGATGGCAGCTCTGTCATTTTTTACATGTGAATTAATCTAATTTAGTGTAGCTGATGATGTGACGTACCACGTTCTTGAGTGTTTCCCAGGATCTCTGCAGGTCGTCCAGGTTAGCAGCACTGGTCTCCATTGACGGGTCGTACAGCTCCTGGAGGGGCGCTCGACTCAAGGCACCTCGACCCTGTGGCACAACAACACAGTGAGTGTGGGTCTCAGTAGTGTGTGAGAGCGCTGTATAATATATGGTTGAGAGGATGTGCTGGGTCTGAAATGTCCTTATGCTCTCAAACATACTGAATTGAAATTTGAATTGCCATATTCAGAGGAAATATGACCAAATGATATATAGTACTGTACATTTGTGCCTCCTGCTAACACACTATTCACTTCAAGATAAACTAATATAGATCTTCAACCTGTTCTAGTTCACACTTTAAAAGAACATGTTGAGATTTAATTGAAATGGCAACTAAACTCATTATGCCATGGGTTAATGGTTATGGCAGCTCTTTTAAATCAATCAAAACCTAAGAGAAGTATCACTATCTATGACCTGTGAGTTAAATTCGTTTTTTGTGAGATGTTTTTACTTCAGCAGCACCTGGCTGAGGTCCTATCAGATTAGTTTGGACTCCTTTTCAGTCACTTTCTAACTGCCTTATTGATTTCAGTTAAGCTTACATGACACATCTCAAGATAAACATAATATATTTACATTTCACAATAAAAGCTAAAAAAAACAATTCTGAACTTTGATGTCCCTCCAACAACACTTCTGTTTTACTGCTGCATCATTTTAAATAATAGATTACACATAAAAGCCGATTTATGCTACGTTTGCTCGGTTAGAAATGAAATGAATAATAAATTGACACTTTCTCATCTCAGCAAAAAAGCAGGTGATAAACAAACTTTCTGCAGCAAAGTAACAAATAATGCTGATAAACAGAAAAAGCAGGGGAAGCACAGAAACTCTCCATCTGTTTCAAACATCCATTCTGTTGATAGTGGTGATGATGGGGAAGTGACATTTTTGATGGTGGGAATCAGACGATGGCGATGGTATGGAATAGTGCGTAAAGTCACATAATCAATATTTATTCAAACAATCTTATATTAAATGAAACTAAACAAACTCTGGCAACAGATTACAATTATCATAATAACAATGCAAACTCACTCGCTGCTTTATTTTAATATCATAGTGTCATTGGGAATATCAATCTTCCTTCAGACATGTTCATCTGAATTGGAATACAGTAAAATAATCCCATCCGGGGGAAAGTTTAAGGTGATATAAATTGAGATAAAAAATGTAAAATCGGAGGATGGTAGTATGTCATTTGGACGGTGGTGGTATGGAGGCTGGGCAGGTCAGGTAGTGCTGGAGGTAACCAGGGGGGGGGGTTGCAGTACCTGGTTAAAAGGGGTTTCAGCGTTAGCCCCTGGGGAGGGGGAGCGGCAGGCAGGGGGAGAGGAGACCTCGCTGTTGGTGCCCTCCTCCCCTGACTCCTCCGTCACAGGGGAGAGGAGTGTGTGGCAGCGGCCTGCTGTCATCTGACCCCACATACACACCCCACATCAAACACCCACATCAAAAGAAGCAGGAGGAGGAAACGGGAGGGAAACGCCCAGATCAAAGGAGTGAGGAGACAGAGAGAGTAAAATGAAGAGAGAGAAGAAGAGAGAAAATAAAAATTAATGGGGGAGTGCAGGTTAGGCAGTAAGCACATTGATGAATAAAAAGACAGCGAGTAATCAAATAACACTGAGAAAAGACTAGTAAGATCTCATTACTGCTATTGACATCAAACACTGTAATGATTTTGCCATAGCATATCATTAAGGAGACATCATTTTATATTGCTCTGAGAAAATGGACACACTGGATTTCACCGGCAATGAATGAGCCACTCAGACTTTTACAGGATACATCAGGGGAAAGGAATGGCCATTACCAGGAAGTTGAAAATCAGTAAGTACACTCACCGCTCTCACCACACACACACCACACACACACACACACACACACACACACACACACACACACACACACACACACACACACACACACACACACACACACACACACACACACACACACCACACACACACACACACACACACACACACACACACACACACACACACACACACACACACACACACACACACACACACACACACACACACACACACACACACACACACACACACACACGGTTGCAGTTTCAGAACCACCGTTATTTCCTTTCCATCAAAGACGCAGTGGCGTGTAACGATCATTTAGACATTAAGGAACAACTCATACAGTCTGATGTATGAGCACGTTAAAATCAACACTATAATAGAATAGCAAAGACACATTAAGAGTAAGATCAAGGCCAAAAGCATAGCTAAAAGATTGCATAGTTATCCGAGACTGGATTAATGCATACAGCAGCAGCTGTCCTAGCAGTATCCCAGTTGTCTGTGCGCCTGCATGCTTCAGTGGAGAGGCAGAGCAGAAATGTGAGCCAAGCCCTACTAGAATGTGTTGGCAGTTTTTGGAGACAACTTGGCCGACTGTCTCGGGACCTTGTGATACTCGGAAAACTTTTTTCCCGGGCTTTATGATGCAATGCAACGCAACTTAAGAGAATCAGTCCAATAGCATGTGCGGAAAACAAAGTGGTTTCACATATTGAGATTAGTTAGAACCTGGGAAGTACTCTCCCAAACTTAGACGACAATGACACAGTACTTAAAATGCTTAGCAATAACAAATGAAAGATAACAGCAGCCCTAGCAACCCTCTTATGCCATACACACAAACGTATCATACTCTGCTCACACACAAACACACACACACACACACGCAGTAATATCCTGTTTCCTGGCCTGCTGAGACCAACACAACACAAAGAGCAGTAACAGAGCAAGGAAGCTAAGAAATCTGAATCTGAATGAACGACACAGAGGAAGAGGCAGTGAGGCTGAGGATGACATACTGTCGTAGCAGGCTGACAGAATCAGGCTAATACGAAGCAAAGTGAAGTGACACAGCAGAAAATCAGTGCAGTAATACACAAGAGGAGACAGAGCCAGAATAGTAACACTTAAGGTGGGAGGAAAAGAAGGTTAGCTTTTATTTCGGTGCAATAAAACCACAGAAAGAAATAGAAGAGGAAGAGGAACCGGATACCAATATAGAGATGAAAGGCCTATTTAGAAACGTTTTTTTATAAAGATGCTCATGACACCCTGTAGCCCAATGTAAGTTTAGTTTGTAAGTGTATACTTTAAACTTGGTGCACTGTTGCTGTGACTTTAAGTACTGGAGTTAAACCTGTAATCATAACTGTCATCCGCAGCTACCCTCTTATTAGGGATGACTTTAATCTAATTACATTATTGTGAAATGAACTGTAAACGCCCACTAGAAACTCCGAAAGGATCCCTGAGGTTCCCTGTTGAGAACCAGTGGTCTGCACAGAAAGAGAGAAGGAATACAAGCCTCACATGGCTGTATGCATTGTGTACACATACACAATGCATACAGCCATGCAGTTTGTGCATGTGTGAATCTCTGTGTATAAGTCCATAAAAGGCTGCACCACTCACCATGACGACAGAGGGGTGTGCTGGAAGCTGCTTGTTGGCGTTGCCGTTGGTGGTTGCCACTGAGCCGGGCAGCTCCTCATCACTCAGCTCGTCCACGCCGTCCGACAGGCCCTCCACCTCGTTCACCGTCAGCAGCATGGTTGCGTGTTTGGCTTTCACTGTCAGCATCTTACACTTGGAGTGGAGCGAGGCGATCTGCTCCTGGTAGCCACGGATCTTCTGGGCTAGCTCCTGTCAAAACATCCCCCAACAAACAGAAAACAACCAGCACCCCCAGGGTCAGGAGAGTGTGGCTCAGTCCACAATGCAAGATCAATAGTTCCTGGTCAAATAGGATCCTGGTAAAGGAGGGAGGTGAAGTTGGTTCAGCGCTGAATGTAGTGCCGGTGTGTGTGCATTCTCTCCTCTCTCCCCGGTCTCTCGCTTTGGCTTGTGTAAGCCTAGCAAGAGAATAGCACTGCCTCTCTCTCTCCCGCTCTAGTTTTCCAGTTTCTCTCTCTCTCCTCTGTATCTTTGAACCAATCACAGCACTACAGAGGCGGGTGACTCAGAGCAGCAGCGAAGCCAACAGACAGGATGTTTGGTAGAGAGAAACAGACCCTAGCAGAAATAGTTCAAAATCCCTCAGACCCTCCTTCTCGTACACATACACAAACCGAGAGGAACAACAGGAAGTGATGTCACTGCATGCCGCTTCCCCCCTCCACCAATCCCCGGGGAAGATTGCTTTCAACAAAAGCGAGTAGTAAGGAGAGTGGGAGTGTTTAAAGTCAGGAAGAATGACAAAGATGGTGTCAAATTACAGCTATGGAATGAGCCGGCAGGCCGGGTCCAGCTCCTCCTCCCACCCCCCTCCTCTTCCTCCCCATCTTCCTCCCTGTCCCGCAGATGGCCAATGCACTGATAATCAGGTCATGTGACTATCTGGGCCAGTGGAGTTGCAGCTATCTGCTCAGCTTAGAGATCAAACTCAGACATAAACACACTGTCATGCCAAGTGCCTCTGCAGCAATGGAGATATTGCAGTAACAACAAAATATACGAGTTTTATGAATACTCTGTCAAGTTCTGTAAGTAGATAAAGATCTTTCAGAACAATAAAAATGTCCCCGGAGAGATTTGATCTGTTTCTCTGCAGATCTCTTCCTCTCTCAGTCTGCAACCCCCCTCCTTTTCAATATCTCTCTCTCCGCATTGGGGAGCAAATACACTTACTCAGCAAAGTACAACTGCAACCAAAAGTACAGGCCTTAACTAACACAGGTAAAAAACAGCTACACTGCATCAAACAGGAATCTATGCAGATTATATTTACATGCACCATCAGGTAAAAGGGGAATGCGCTTTAGCTGGGCTTGTTGAGGCACAACACAATATTCTCGCAGCACTGCTCTTAAACCAAGTTAAAAAGGGGGTTTCATAAGCAGGTTTTTTTCATTTCTGGTCGTTTTCTAGGTAAATCGATTCATTGTCCGTCGTATGCATTTCAAATCAAGACATTAGGGGAAAACTCATATGTAGAAAATGCATATAAATAGCATAAAAGCGATGCTAAACGGATGAAAATTATGCCTTATGATTTAATACTAGCTTAATGACTAAATTACAGTCGTTCAGTCTGACTCACTCGGTCAAAAGGGTTGCCCTCAAATTCTCTCTGTCACCTTGTATATGTACTGCTGCCTCAACCTTTTTTTTAAGATGTTTAACACGGTTAGAACAGGAATTATACAGTGACTCAACTTCCTTGATGTTGACGTCGGCCTCATTAAAAAGCTATTTTTAGACATCAGCATATTCTCTGACTTAAATGTCAAAGGAAAGGCCCTTTGAGGCAAGAATGTTGTAGGACCTCTAAAACAAAAAGCAGTGTCATCAAGAGCTCTTTAAGTCATGTTGCTTTGCTGTTCTCTCACAGTTATTTTTTCACAACAAGCTGTGCATTACTTAAATAAAGAATATTTCTGTGAAACAAACAAATGTTAAAGTGCACCCTCTGAGGCTGTTTTTGTTGTTGCAGACTAGGCTTCCATCAAAGGAAATCTTCAACAAACAATGATCTTTTATTTAGACACTAGCATGCTTCCAACTCTGTTGCAACAGATTAGGGAAGGTCCTTTCCTGTTTCAACACAACAAAGCACCAAAGCTGATTCCATAGAGAAAAGGATCTCTCTACATTTTGAAGGACCAGCCGTGCTTAATGTGAAACCAGACTTTATGGCCCAACATCAGTGGCCCAATTCATAATACCATTTTTGTCTGAAAGTCCAATCCCTGCAGCCAGGTTGCAACATCTTTTTGAAAAGGTCACAAAAAACCTGTGATATCAGTAAACGAATGTCCATAGTTTGGGAATGATATATTCACATATGGGTGTAATGCTGGAGTAAGTGTGTGCTTTCTGACCTCATGGTGGTGTATTTGAGCCTGAAGTTCCTGAATGTTGCTGGTGGAGACGGGCCGGTCCTGAATGATGCGGTGAGCCTCTTCTATTAATCTCTGGAGGTTCTTCACTTCCTGTTCGTACTGCTCGTACTGCACCACAGCCTCCTTTGAAAGAGGAACATAATATGGTCAGCTTGAAGATGCCCTTTGTGTAAAACAATCATAACATGAGGTAGATATTATTGATCTCTGAGGAGAAGGAAGGTCAAAGGTGTCATCTACAGATATCATCTTAGAGGCAAAATGTCTCTCATTCTCTATGTCACAAAGCCTCAATGATATCAACTCCTATAAGCACAGTCGCTGCCACTGAATATGTTGACATGTACCAGTGTGGCATTTAATAGAATGGCAAAAAAAGAAAATATACAAAGTCCTAGTAAGAAGTAATCTGACATATACTGCTTTAAAAACAATGGGCTATTTTAAACACCTCTTCTGTTCATGTTTTCTGACAATATCATAGAGCGAATAGTAAATTGATTGATTTAGAAAGTAATCTGCAGATTCATTGATAATGAAAATGATCGTTAGTTGCAGCCCCAATAAACAGTTTATTTCAATTATGATCCTAAATCAGAATAGACTGTTTTAAATCTTGGTGTATTTGGTTCAAATGTGGGTGTTTGTCCTTCAGATAGTCACCAAATGGACACTCACCTCTTCTAAACGCTATTCTTCACAATGAGCTTAAAACTACAACCAGCCCAGAACCAAGTGATTGGAGGATAATACTGGTGTGATGGGGGCTAAAGAAAAACACACACATTCCTGAGACGGCCTGTTGGGACACTGCAGCATATTTCAGAGCAGTAAATAGAGATAGAAATACAAAACTCTTCTAACAGGGCAACAAATGACCAACTACACACTTGCTTTGCCACATTTGAGTTCTACAGTCTGTATATTGACAGATACCTTGGTGGTCTTAAGGGGGAAAAAACTAAAAAGCTAAATGTTATACAAACACTTCTCTATCATTTGCAGTATGAGGCCTGCCCTCTACCTGCAGGATGTTGCACTGCTGGATGGTGGTGTGCTGCAGTTGGCTGGCCTCCTGCTGCAGAGTCTGAGCTGTGCGGCAGACGGGCAGGCTGGCCACTGCCTCCTCTGGCAGCCGGAGGGCGCTCTGACACTGCTGCACTGCCGCCACCTGCTGCTTGAAGCCCTCCATTTCCACCAACAGACGCTTTTATGAAGGAATGAAGGGTTGTTAGAGAGTCAGGAGGAACTGTAGATGGTTTGAAGATGTCCTATTGCAACCGTTGGCAAGCATTTGCAGTATTCTCTTTATGTTTTCATAATAATTAAACATTTTAAATGTGTGTGTGTTTACCTGTCTCTGTGTGAGCTGCTCTCTGAGGCTGAGCCTGTTGAGGTCTGGGGAGGCGAGTGTGATCTGGATCTGGTCCACAGCAGCATGGAGGATCTTCACCTCCGCCTCCAAACGCAACATGTCCTGAGGAGAGACACAATCTAGAGTACTGCACATACGGGTAAAGGAGCAGCTCATGCTATGTGTTGTATACATTTAATGTAGCTTATGTAGAATATAAACCTGGATTTAAAAAATATATATATTATTGCTGATGTTAATGTCAATTTTTTAATAAGAAATGACTTCGATCATCAAAATAATTGGCAATATTTTTCTTTTAATCTACTAATCATTGTAGCTCTATATCCAGAAAAAATACATTTAAATTATACCACTCTGAAATAAATATCTCTTTAAAAAAAAATAAGACCCAGAATAAATCCAAACTTGCAGGAGGATTTGTAAAATAATTCCCAAACAGACAACATTATTAGCAATCATAAGCACCACACTGTCATCTGGGTACCAGATGTTTGGATCAGATCAGCTGACAGATTACCTAAACATTGCATTCCATAATGATAGTGTAGTATTTCTCATGACCATAGGGGTGCGCTGTTGGATTGAAGATCTGGTTTATTTGACCCACTCCAAAGGGATGAGCACCAAAATGTGTGGTTGTAATGCCTGTGAAATTTGTGCAATGATAAAGAAATCCAATGTATTTTTCATAAAAAATGTGTATTAAATATATTTTGTTAGTTTAATATACACTATTATCTATAAGATCTGTCACAACAGGTATGAGGTACACATCTTTTTCAATTTCTGTAAATTCTGTTTGGATGCTACACTTGTTAATGGATTTATTTTAATCTTCATAAACAGTTAAGGGATAAAGTATTATTGATATCTGATTCCTGTGATGTTTCGTTTACCTTTGCAGCATCCTGCAGACTCTGGAGGCGGGTCTTGGCATGTTGCTGCAGCTCCTCTGTGCGCCTGCTGAGCTGTTTCACCTGCTGGATCCACCCCTCCGTCTGCAACACCTCCCCCAGCTGCCTCTCCCTCTCCCCCATTGCCTCCAAATCACCATGGAGACCCCGACATTCCCGCAGCAACGCCTGTCACCATAGGAAAATAAATTACAAGTCAAAGAGAGGAGCCTTTTGTGCTGAGCAATTATACTAATTAAGGCCGGCCAACACACTGTACAGTACATGACATGTCGGTGAAAATCCAGAGAGAGAAATTAATTAGCTGTTAATCTGTCTGGTCTCTTCAGATTTAGTATGTTAAAGGTAGGGTATGTAAGTTCGAGAAACCGGCTCGAGATACACTTTTTGTTATATTCCATGGAATGCTCTTAACATCCCGATAGCAATGAATATCTTAAGTGCTTTGACAAAAAATGTCATCTGTGGAAGCCGTAATACTATAAAAAGTACGACCAATCATTTTAGCCGGCCCGGGTAAAATAACTGGATGGTCTACCTGCCTGTCAGCCTTCCATCTGTGCACAAACTTATCTCGTGCCCTCATTGGTCATGTGTGTGTTTGTGTGTGTTGGAGGAGGGGCTCTATAAGGAAGTGGCAGATTTTCTCCGGTCGTGTATTTTCACATTCTAGCGATCTCGAGCCGGTTCCTCAAACTTGCATACCCTACCTTTAATACAGGCAATAATAATATTTATTTTTGTGAAAAACATTAGAATCCAATTTCTGTTGCAGCAGTATTCAGACCCTCTCCCTGCTGCTCGACTCACCTGGTGAGCTCGAATTTGCTCCTGCAGCTGAGACGCAGAGCCCCAGATGATACAGCCGGTGACCAGATCTTCTGCCTTTTTTGTCCAGCCCAAAATGAACGCCTTCATACCGTGATATTCCTCCACCTGTCTCTGTGCCTGCTCACAAGAGAAATACAAGATAGCAAAATGAATCCAGCAGAAAAAAAAGTTAATATCAAAGAGAATGACCCGATAATGGCCGACCCTTGTCAATTAACTACAGGGGTCCCTCAGGGCTCTGTTCTTGGTCCCCTCCTCTTCTCTCTGTACACAAACTCGCTCGGATCAGTCATTAGCCCGCATGGTTTTTCTTACCACTGCTACGCTGATGACACCCAATTAATTCTGTCCTTTCCCCGCTCAGAGACCCAGGTCGTCGCACGCATCTCTGCTTGTCTAGCTGACATCTCTCAGTGGATGTCTGCTCATCACCTCAAACTCAACCTTGACAAGACTGAGCTGCTCTTCCTTCCGGGAAAAGATTGTCCCACTCTTGACCTGACAATCAACATCGGCACCTCAGTTGTTTCCCCGACTCAGACTGCAAGGAATCTGGGTGTGACCCTAGATAACAACCTGTCCTTCACTGCAAACATCGCTGCTACAACCCGTTGCTGCAGATACACGCTTTACAACATCAGGAAGATACGTCCCCAGCTGACTCAGAAAGCGACTCAGGTTCTGGTCCAGGCTCTCGTCATCTCACGCCTAGACTACTGCAACTCCCTCCTGGCTGGTCTACCTGCATGTGCCATCCGACCTCTGCAGCTCATCCAGAATGCAGCGGCTCGTCTGGTCTTCAACCTTCCTACATTTTCCCACACCACTCCGCTCCTCCGCTCCCTTCACTGGCTTCCAGTAACGGCTAGAATCCACTTCAAGACACTGGTACTTGCTTACCATGCTGCGAATGGATCTGGCCCTTCGTACATCCAGGACATGGTTAAACCGTACACCCCAGCGCGTGCACTACGCTCTGCATCAGCCAAACGACTCGCTGCGCCCTCGCTGCGAGGGGGACCCAAGTTCCCAACGGCGAAAACACGTGGGTTTGCTGTCCTGGCTCCAGGATGGTGGAATGAGCTCCCCATTGACATCAGGACGGCAGATAGCTTGCACATCTTCCGGCGCAAACTGAAAACTCATCTCTTTCGACTCCACTTCGAGCGATAGAACTATTAACGAAGCACTTTTATACTAATAAAGGACTGGCTTACCTAAAGCCAGTTGAGTAGCACTTGAAATGTTTTTGCTCTATGAAACCTGATGTACTTATATGATTCTGTTTTCTTCAAGTTGTATTTTGTTGGTCGAACGCACTTATTGTAAGTCGCTTTGGATAAAAGCGTCAGCTAAATGCAATGTAATGTAAAAAACATTCTGATGATTATAGGACAACTTGTAGTGGATGAATCCTTAGAAAAACACATTTCAACCACTGAAGGTTTTGATATCAGCCTTGAAGACCATGTTTTGTTTGTTTTATTAAATAGCCACAACAATTAAGACTTTTTAAAATGTCAGTCCCCTCTGTCACTTGTTCTTATATTTTGGAATGCCTTGATTTTCTTCCTGTTTGTCTCGATATCTAAGAAACACCAGACCAATTCTTTGACATTTTCTCTGTTTCTCTTTAGGGATGTCTACATGACATGCTGAACTTAATGGACACTTCACCTTCTTCAGTCTGTTGGCTCTGTCCTGGACCTGCTGCGCTGTGTTGCGCTGCACCTCTGAAAGTTTGGCCACAGCATCGCCCAGCTGCTTACATAGCAGAGGGTTCTGCTCCCCAAACTCCTGCACCGCTGCTCCTAGCTCTGCCAGAGAGCGCCCGCAGCATTCACACTCTTCACAACGAGCCTGTTTAGGAAAATACATGGTAATAAGGTGAGCAAAGTAATCACATTATAGGCATATGTAAGATAAGACAATTGATACCATTCTTATATTTGTATGATAAATACAAATCAACAGTCAGCAGCAGGTGTGTTTAGCATTAGGAGTAGAATGGCTCTGTCCATAGGTAACAAATCGGCCTACCAGCATCTCTAAGGCTCCCTAATTAAACACATAATATCTTGTTTGTAAAATGTGTTCAAAAAACAGGTGTTAGGGTTGACAAGCTTAAAATAAAGTAGTGATTAAATAGCTAGCCTCAAACTGTAGGCAGAATAGTTCAAAAAAGAAAAGACAAACTAATCCTTTCACTACACATGGCTTGTGGATCTACGGATGGGAAGAGGAGTAAGAGAAGGAATAAAGTTGGGGCAACAAGAAAGAGAACAGGAGGGAAGGGGCTTAGACTCCCATTGGGGACACTTCTCTCAGAAGTGGGTCACTCTTGAAGGCAGAATTCAGTTCATGACATACCAACTCTAATACACTCATTAACCCCAACAGCTGCAAAATGAATAGCCAATTTAACAGGGGTTAATTGCTTGTTAATTAGTCAATCTGTCAGGTTGATTACTTTGGTCTCTTCTTTGGCCTCCTCCAGGTCGGCAGCCTTGTCTTCCAACTTCAGAGCGATGGACTTCAGCTTCGCCTCGATGTCCTGGAGTCTGAAGCTAAAGTCTTCTTTCACATCTCTGGTCTGCTGCACTTCCCTTTCTCTCGCCTGGACCTAAAGATGGCAGAGAAACAAACATTTCACTTAACTGTCACAAATAAATAAACGCCTTTTAATAATGGTAAGTGGTCAAGAATAAATCTGCAGAAGAACAGAAGAGTAGTACAGTCACACAATGAACCTATTAACCAATCGGACAGCGCTAATCAGCTAATGAAATGACAACATTTAATAAAATGTTCAACTCCAGCCGAGAGAGGTCACCTGGTCTTCAGCGGAGCCCAGAGCCAGCGCCACCTCGGCCAGCTGCATGCTGAGCTCAGAGGGCAGCCCGGCCTGCAGGTCCTGGTATTTGGACTGCTGCAGCTCTGTCATGCGCTCCACACTCTGTCGCCTGCTGATGACCTCACCATGTGCGGTCTGCAACGCAAACAACATCACATGACAGACTGCTTATCACAGTGTCTTTTGTTACAGTATATATATTCTTTATCTTTATTAAACAGCTTCAAAAGACAAGCATTATCATTGTTTAAAATATCTAACAAAAAGTTTAGAATTATTTTAATATAAGATAAAAACAAACCAAAAATAATAATTACAACTTTATGGTTATTATCAATTCATAACCCAATATATATTTAATACATAGACCAATCAATATATAAGTATTTCAGAGAGTCTTAAGGCAATCTTCATTTTAAGGATTTTATGGAAAATAATTTCAAGCCATTTTTTATGCCATCAAACTTTAAAATGCCTATGTTTATGTTTATTAAGGATCCCCATTAGCTTTTGCTCTTGACAAAAGCTACTCTTCCTGGGGTCCGACACTTAAAACAATACAACAATAATACAACAACATTCAAGACATAATAATTCTTGACATCATTAAAGGCCCTGTCACACTGTCCCGAAATTGACACCCGATGGACACACGATAAAGGAAATGTTCAAATTCGGCTGTGATCGTAGCAACATCGGGCCATTCGTGAGGGCATCTTAAGCCATCGTATGACCGCCGGTGGAGTTTCTCAGGCTCCGGCAGCAACTTCGTGAGCGGCAACTTCGTAAGGTACTCGTGAGGGCATCTTGTCAAATCGTGTCATCTTCGTGTTATCATCGGTGCCATCAGGCATTCGCCCTCACTCTGATCGGGGCGAATGCCCGATGGCACCGATGATAACATGATGCCCTCACGATGGCCTTACGAAGGGCACAATTGACACACGAATTCAACACGAAAATGAACCTTCGCAAGGTCCTTCGGCAATTTTTTGGCATGCCAAAGATTTTGCCACCGCTCACGAAGTTGCTGCCGGAGCCTGAGAAACTCCACCGGCGGTCATACGATGGCTTAAGATGCCCTCACGAATGGCCCGATCACAGCCGAATGGCACGATCACAGCCGAATTTGAACATTTCCTTTATCGTGTGTCCATCGGGTTGTTTTATTGCACAACAAAATCATGTAAATATATTATGTAAATAACCCAATTTGTGTTCTGTGAAACTAAAAAGGATATAATATATTATTTTGAAGGACAGTTGACAGGAAGTTGTTGTTGTTATGGAAACAACATTACGGAGAAAACGTAATATTTTCTACATATAACGACGGATAAAGTAAAGAACAAAGTCTGAAGATATCAGTACAGTATCATAGTACTGTAACACAATTGTTTTTGGTACTTTCATTGCAGTTGTATGTCTTAAATGTAATGTAAATGTTGCCTTCGTGTGTGGTTCGGGGCCATCATCGTGCGAAATTCACAATTCCATATTCGTGTGTCCATCGGGTGTCAATTTCGGGACAGTGTGACAGGGCCTTAACAACATCACCAATATCATTAACAATTTCTAACATCATCAACAATCTCATCCACTTTCAATATCAATCTCAGCCAAGGATGAGTGCACTAGACACCCACCAGTACAAAGCATGAGATCAAATTAAATTAGGGTTCACAGTTCACAGGGGTACATGGTCATTAGTAGATGGCCCTTCAATCTCTTCTTGAAAGAGGCTCTGGACTCTGTTTCAGCAAGGTAGTTTGGCAATGAGTTCCATTCCATTATAGCTCTATAAGTCAGAAAATTTCAGAAGATTTGTCCTGGGTTTAGGTGCCAGTAGATGGCCTGATGTAGCTTGTCTAGTCTTATGGTCATGCTCATCTCTTGTGTAAACTATTTGATCATAAAAATACAGTGGTCTTTTGCTAAATTGGACATTTTTTAGAAAAGTGATAACACGAGATTGCAGACGTTTCTCAACCGGAAGCCATGATAGGTTTCTATGCATAACTCCAGTATCCCATTTTAGTTACAATACTGTCTATTTGCTTTGTCCACTGTAAACCAGAATAAAGAACAATGCCAAGCAACTTAGTCTCGTTTACCTGTTCCACTGGCAGCCAGATTGTTTAACTCACTGCATGTTGATGCTGTACTGTACATTGTGGAATCATCAGCATACATTATTACACTGGACTTATTTAATACGTAAGGAAGGTCATTTGTGAATATAGAATACAACAAAGGCCCAAGCGAACTCCCCTGTGGGACCCCACACTGCAACACCTTACTTTCAGAAAAGCTCCCATTGAAAAAGACTCGCTGCCTTCTCCTAGTCAGGTAGCTCTCCATCCAACACATAGCAACAGAACCAAAGCCATACCATTTGAGTTTGTTCAGCAGCAGACTATGATCGATTACATCGAAAGCTGCGCTAAAGTCTAATAACAGCTCCTACAATTAGTGTAAAACAAGTAGACCTAAAATCAAACAATTATCACACAAAAAACTAAGACTTACCACTCATGCCCTCTGTTCCATAAAGGTCTAAGAATATTAAAGGTGTAAAAAGATGTCCATTTGTGTAAGGTGTTGGTGTACAAACAGCAGCCTACCTCTAGCTCCTGCAGCAGTGAGTCCAGGTCTGCAGTGGGACTCAGCAGTAAGCCCCGAGTATCTTGGATCCAGCCTTTGACCAAACCCAGCTCCTTCTCAACCTCCTCCCTCTCCCTCAACTCCTGGTGTACCTGAGCCCTGCTGCCTCGTACCCGACACACGAGACTGGACAAGACACAGCAGGGGGGAAAATATTTAAATCTTAATGACTGCTTTTACTAAATGATGTGTAACTTGCATCAAAAACTGCTTTCCAGATATTTTTCCAGGAGTCTATCATGCATTTTTGCATGGTGGTTAATCCAGTTTTTTACTGGGTCTCTTACCTGTCATATTGCTCCTGCATGCTTCTGATCTCTTGCAGGCAGGGTGTCTCTTCGTGTCCGTTCTCTGTCTTTTTCTCCGTGGCCTCCTCCTCTCCTCTGAGGCTGCGGGTGTGTTGCCCCAGCAGGGCCAGGATGGACTGCTCCCTCTCCACCTCCAGGCTGAAGGAGTCGTGGTACTCCAGCAGGCTCTGCAGCGCCGCCCTGGTGGCAGCTTTCTCAACTGTGCCGTCTGGGACTCGGCTGTGGAGGTCTTGGGACACAGAGCGCACCTTCTCCATCTGAGGGAAGTTTATGTGCAAAGATTCGGATTAAGTTGATGCAGCAGACTTAGTGTTAAAAATTCACTTTTGACTAGCTAGGGACCATGGATGTAAGCAATGTTGAATGGAACAAATAACAGATGGATCAGCTTCTCAAATGCTTTAAGAGGAGGTAAACCATAAGTAAACGCATTCATTACTTGTTCTAAATGTACAGAAAATGTGTTTGATGAGACACACAGAACTCGAACATAGCTTTGTATTCTCCATGGACCAGTGAGCCAGTTTATAAGAATACATAATGTTTCATGAATTATAGTGTAAAAGGACAAGAAACCTTTAGACACATACATCTTAGAAATAAATCATTTATATTTGGATAATGAATACTGGAAATACTGGATGAGATCTTCAGACCTACCCACCTGTGAGATTACTTCTTTAACAAATAATCTTTGTGGTACATTTTCCCACAGTACAAAGTATTCCCTGTGACAGTGAAAGGCGTATAAAAGAGTCTGGTGATTCAAGTGCAGAGAATGACATCATGTCCAGTTGAACAAAGGGGCCATAGAAAACCAACGGACAACAGGAAATATGCCACATACTGTATAAGGAAGTGACTGCCGTTACTCTCAGTTTGACCTGATTCCCTTTTTTGGAGCACTGCTTTGTGTGAATTCTTGGGATCTGACAGCGTTCACACTTGAAATAGGTTGGAAGGCGGGAAAACGGTTCATGACACCGTGTTTTGGAAGAAGGAAATAACTGGCCTGAAGCCTGGAGTTACATCACGGCACACCAACTGATATTCAGTTTCTGTGTTTGACCTAAATCTGCAGGAGCAAGAACACGTTAAGTGTTTGTTCACTGTACAGCAAGTTATGTGGCTATACATAGCTACTGTGGACTGAGGGCCAAACAAGCTAGTGTTTGAATCAAGCTTTGACCCGCCAAAAAAATAACTTAATACCAACCATGTCTTAACAACTTGTCCACAAGCACAAGTTGCAAGTGTCAAACTAATTTCTTAAGAATCTGCACAGAAAGTTTTGTATGAGGCTTTAACTATTGGAAACAACCCCAAAGTGTGCCTTATCTCCTCTTACCTTGTCAGTGAAGTTCCTCCACTCCCTCGCCGTGTCCTCCAGTGCCCTCTCCTGAGCTCGGGCCACACTGCGGAGCCGGGTCCACCGTTGCCACAGTGACGATACAGAGTGGCTGATGACGGCTTTGCAGGACTCGGAGATGATCTGTTCCAACTCTGATGCGTTCTCTCTCATAGCATTCAGAGGCAGCTCTAGCAGGTCGATGTGAGCCGCGAGGGACTACGGACCAAAGATGACAAAACATGCACAAAAGTCATTACATTAATGCCCTCTACTGAAACATTCATAACAGAGGTACAAAAAAGACACAAAATATGCAGATGCACAAGGAAACAAGGAACAATGCACAAACATTTCACTGTTATAAATATTAATGTGCATCTGCTGACGTGACAAGAGCAAATGTTGGAATATAATATAACAGTCATGTTGGAAACAGCACATAAACATCAGATGATCTTTTCTATATTTTCTCAGTTTTGTAAGAAAGTGTCTCACCTTGTATCTCTGGCACTTTTCCTCCGCCTGCTGGATACTAACAGCTTTGGCTGTTGTGAACATGGCCAGCTTGCTCTCTGCGTCATTCATCTGTTCAACTAGTGTTTCCTTCTCATGTTGGAAGGAGGCCCATAGAGCTTCACAACTGAAAAAATTGTCGAAAATTACAAACCGAGATTTAGTGTGATTTATTATTCAAATATGCATCACATGGACTGCACATGCCAGATGTTTATATTACTTGGCTTTAACAGTAACACACACCTCTGCAGAACCTCTCTGTAAGCATCCAGGTGTTGTTTGAATTCTGTGTTTCTCAGCTGCATTCCCTCAACTTTTTCTCGAAGTTCACCCATGGCCTCTGCTTCGATAATATCCTCCAGCAGAGGATCCAAAGTCCTCAGCTCCTCTAGACCAGCTGTGAAGTTATTTTCCTGGGCTGAAAGGTCCTCCAGGTCCCGAACACAGTCTGTCTGGTTCTCAAGATCCACCCCCACGCTGGCCTTCTGGAGCAAATCTGCAGCAGAGTCCAGGCATTTCTGCATGGACTGCAGAGATAAGACGTGCCTCTGGACGAGGGAGAGAGCTTGATCCACAGCCAGCTACAATAAGAAGAAGGATATGTCATTACATTCAGTTTTTACTTCTTTCTACATGAGTTTCTACACACAAGTGAAGTTAGAAATACAGGCCTTAATCGCTACATCAAGCATGGACCTGTGTGTGCATACATTGTCTGAAGATGAGTCAAAACCTGCAAATGTTTACATGTTTAATTGTCCATAAAAGTTATGGTCTCATGTTGGATGTCCAATTTAGATATTCAAGTTGCCAGGAATTTAACAGTTTTTTCTCTAAATTGTAAAGGTTAGCACAAGAGTAATGCATTAACAATAAGTACTTATTAAAACTTTCTTGAATATTTTAAATATTGTAGCTTCCCTGGGCTTATTAATATTGATAGTATGGGTGAACAGGAGATGAAAAATAATATTTAGCAGGTTCCAGTCTTGAATGAGGAGTTCAGGATATTACCTTGGCTGGGACATTAAGTGGTTGGATTTGTATAAATAGGAAAAATAAAGGGATATAAAATGTCCCTATGATTGAGTCATTCAAACACACAAACCTGTTTTTTATTAATTCCTTGATGAACTTCAGCTCCCAGATTTTCCAGCTCCTGTAGTTTCTCTTCTATGTGGGCAGGAACGGGGTTCTTTCTACTACTATAACTTTGCTTCTCTCTGCTACCTAAGGCATCTATTATCCTACATTTACTTTTCACTTGCTCTTCTACGATCTTCATTTTCCACACTTCCTCATGTACTTTCTCAATTCTAACTTCTGATAGAGTCAAAGGCTCTTCCAATTTGTCCTTGATAGTCCTCAGCCAATCCAACATTTTCTCTGTCTCCTTTTTAAAACCGTCATTCTTTCTGACCTTCGTTTCACTTTCATCCACAAAACTCTTTACTCCACACCGTAAGGACTGCAATGATTCAAGCTGCAGTGTAGTTTCCTGAAAGGCAACAGGATCAAACGTCAGACCTCCGAGGTCTTTAGTTTGTTGGTTACATTCTTCGGCCTGATATCTCACACGATCCAGACATTCAAGCAGCGAATAAAGGCTTGTGATTTGATCCATGGTACCTAGTTCTTCGTCTGACTTAAGGCCTTCCAGCTTCTCTTTCACAGATTCAAACTCTGATTCCATCTTGTTTGATACTCTGTTGTGTTCAACGAGTGGTTTCAAGCAATCATCAAAGTGTTTAAGTTTCTGTTCAATCATCCGTTTTAGTTTGTTGTGGAGACTGACCAGGTGCAATGTCTCTTCAGCTCTGTATTGCTGACCCCTGCTGAGAAACCCCTCACATTTACCATGAAGCTCTCTCACAGCAGGGGTAATATGGAACAAACTCTCATTAATGTTTCTGTATTCATTAATGAGACGTAAGACAAGTTCCTCCTCTCTAATACTGATAGTCTGCTTCTCCAGATTGTCAAACTGATCCTGAAGCTCCTCCAGTGCATTACCAGTGATATCGAAGAAAGTGCTGAACTCTTTTCGCTCTAAGATTATCTGCTGGACTCTGTCTTTTTTCTCTTTGGCTAGAGCTAGGATGGCGTTGTACTGCTGAGGCAGAGCGTTGAGCCTCTCATCTAGGTAGCAATGATCGATCCCGTTCAGAGTAGGGAGGATCTCCTGGCCTATTCTTTGGACGATTAGAAGAAGGTTTTCGTACTCTGAAGCTTGTTCGAGGACATTCTGAAAGCTCGACAGTTGTGTTTGCAACTCCGAGTTTTCTTCAATGTTGCTTAAATTGATTTCAGGGAAAGTGACGACATCTGCTCGTCTCAACCAGTGGCAAATCTTATCCAGGTCGACCTGGAAGTACTTCCTGGAGGTCAAGGCTTTCTCCAAGCCTGTGACACGCTGGGTTGTCCTCTGGAGGGCGGTTTCAAACACTGCCTGCAGCTTCTCAAGTGTCGACAGGGTTTCCGATCTCTCTTTGTCACTGGCATCTCTCTCTAGCTCCCGCCCTTGTACCCACAGAGATGCCAGCTCTCTCTGGTAAGCTCGTAAACCACTCTGGACGCCCCGACAGGCAGCGACCTGTTTAGCTAGGTCCTCAGGGAGAAGAGCAATGTGGTCATCTATCAAAGCCCTCCTCTCCTGCTGCTGCACCCAAGACAGGGCTCGGCCCAGGCCTTGAAGAAACTGTGTCCTCTCTGTGAAGGCCTATAAGGGAAATATCAAACATTTAGTTATCAACTGATCAAATGTACATTGTTATACATTTCCCCCCTTTTGCATTCCTTATAGAGGAGACCATATACATATATCAAGAAATATTGTGCATAACACATATACATCTATTCACTAAGGTAATCAATCATGCATTATATATGCAAATTAATTTACTTAGAACATAGTGATATGGAATGAATTTCAAAAATATATGAATACAGAGGAGCACCTATGAAGAGAACATTTTAGCCCTAACTCCTCCTCCTCCTCCTCCAAAAAAAAAAGTATCACGGTTTATTATAAATAATTTTCCAACTTGTTTTAAACCTACTATGATCCTCATTCTACGTTTACCTTCTCTTTACTTACATCCTCTATTTGACCCCTTTTTATTTTTCCCCTTCTTAAAAATCAATTCAGGAGAAACGGAATTTACCATTTTGTGCTGACTGTATACCCTCAGTTTAACATGTTGGATAAATATATCTTCAACAGATCAGAGGAAACTTAGATCCTTTAGGAGATAATACAAATTCCACTTGCATCCAATATATAATACCAAAATCCAGCTGTTTACCTTGCTGAGGTACTTCCTCCTCTGGGCCACTCGAGCCCCCAGAGCCTCCACCTCAGTCTGGGCTTGTTCAACGAGCTCCTGCAGGAACCTCTTCTCACTCAGCCCCAGCCTGGAAGCCACAGCCTGGGCCTCACTCACTGCCTGGCCCAGCAGCTGCTGACGGGCCTCCAGCTCCACGCACACACTCAGGTGGTCAAACAGGAAACTCTGGGCCTGGTCGGGGGGTGGGCTGGTTTTCAGCACAGAGGTAAAAGCAGGCCGCTGCTCCTTCACCCACTCCCGGGCATCCCTCAGCTGGGTTTCAACCCGCGACAGATCCTCTAGTGTCTGAGCAGAGTCCTGGATCTTCTGCTGAATCAGGGTTTCAAGCTGGGACCAGCGCTGCTCCAGATGACCAACCTAGTGAAAGGAAAATGTGGTATAAATAGGGACCTAATTATAACACTATCATATGTTTCGGTCTGAAGAAGGAGAATGAGAAAGAAGCTCCACCTGTTGCTTGACCAGCTCCTTGTCTAGCAGGCTGAGTCGAGGCAGGATGGCTTGTCTCTGTTCTCTGAGGTCTTCTAGAGTTGCTCTCTGCTCCTCGAGGTCACTGGAGAGTTTCCTCAAAGCCTCTAGATGCTCACTTGTACTCTCCGTGTCAGCCCTACGTACACACAGAGATGGGTTGAAAGACATCCAGTCTATACAGTAGTATAGTCATTTACATATATATAATAATGCATTTAATTCAATATTCAATATAATCTGATGATAAAAAAAAAAGAAGTGTTTTATTGTTTTGAATAACACTTTTGTTGATTAACATAAGCCTACAATGGACACAACTTTAGGCAAATAAACCTTGGGGAAATTAAATCAATAAGGTTAACTAAATAGTATAGAAACTAACAAGGACATTTGACACAGCACTTAGAATAAAAAAGCATTTCTCGCACAAATAATACTACTGTACATATAGTAAATACTAGCGGTGTCAATAAATAAATACACCACTCGGAAATATAAGTACAATATGTTTAAATGTTCACAAAACTGAAACATCACAGCTGGATACCTGGCGAGATAGTCCCATTCCCTGGAGACTTGGTGGAAGAGTTCCTCCACAGTGACAACAATCTCCTGGTACTCCACGCTGCGCTGCATGTCCTCCCCGCGCTGGGACTCCAGTTCTTCTGCCTGCTGGCCCAGATCCATCCAGCTCCTCCTCAGTCTCCTTATCTCCTCCAAGGCAGGAGAGACCTGTCCGTCTGACAGCCGACCAACCACTTCACTCAGATGCGTTACCTCAGACTGTTTCTCCCTAATCTGCTGTAGGAATTCCTGTTGGAAAGATAATTGATTTTCACAGTTTGATTACTTTATAAGTCTAAAAGTTTGCATAGACAATGACATACATTGTTGTTGTAAAATAAACGTATGTAACAAGAATCTTTGAGAATCAGACAAACAGGCCAATCACAGACCTGTGCCTTGTCCAGCTGGTTCTGTGCGATCTTAGGCTCCAGCTCTGCGGGTCTCCTGATGAGGTTCTGAAGATGCTGCTCTGTCTCTCTCAGCTGGACCTCCAGATCTGCCTTCTGCTCCTCAATGTCCCTCCAGCTGTCAGCCACCTCCTCACAAAGCAGCATACGCTCCTCAATCTAGACACAAAAACACAAAGAAATCTATTTGACACCAAGTATTTTTCTAAATAATATATTATATTTTTCAATTAAATTGGACAAATGATGCTCATTTTCATGTTTATACTTCCATTATGGCTTCTACTAGGACATGTTTTCTTCTTTTCTATTCAAGCCACCCTAACAAAAAAGCTCAGTCTTGCATGCTTTGATTACATTTAGAGAATAGTATGGCAAACCTTTGCAAAGGTGGATCCGAAAGGCGTGGGACCCAGATGAGTTATTCAAATTATTTCAATGAAATAGAAAGTGAAATAGAAAGGGAATACAAATCTGACTTGGTTGTTGAATCACATTTTATCTGACTGAGGCAGCCTACAAAAAGTGAGCATGTATCTTATTTTACAGTTTGTTGGATGTTGAGCCACACTAATGTATATACACATCACTGGAAATGAGGTTTTTCATGAAATGTCCCCTTTAGAGGTTTGCTGAAGCTAACTGACCTGCAGTTTGACCTGCTGGATAGCTGCAGCTGTCCCTCTGACCCTCAGCTCAGACAGGTCACACGCTGAGCACAGAAGCTGGAGGTAAGTGCCGGCCTGTTCCTGGAGAGCCCGCTCATGCTTCACCTGCCACAAAAGTTTAGAGTATGTTAATGATTATAAGGTTTTATTGACTGATCACAGTGTAAAAACCAAAGACATTTATATTCATAAAGATCTTTGATGTTATTAATTCAAGTCTTATTAAAATAAGAAACTCTTGGGAAGTGGCTTACTGACCTGCTGTAGGGCCATCTCCAGGCTGAGAGGGGGGTGTGCAGGAGGTTCTGGTTCCTCTGAGACTGTAGTTAACCAGGCCTGGCACTGCAGCAGAGTGTCATGGAGACTCACATGTCTCTGTAACTCATGATCCAGGCTTTGATACACCTATAAGACACGGACAGATATTTCAATACTATACGCCTGGAGTGAATACTCTCATATTGTAGAAGCCTTCAGGAAATCAAGCAAGAACTCAAACTTAAAAGAGAACAAAAAAATGTTCTAACTCAATTGTGCAATAAAACAAATATAAACTGTAAATGATGTAGGTAAAGGTAGCTTTGAAGCCAGCATAGCATGGCCAAACCAAAAGACAAATTAAATGATAAAAGCTGAACAAGTAGGCAGTTAAGCAGTGTTGAATTCGACAGGTGTTGAATGTGGAGGCGTCCATGCCCTCCAGGGGAGAGCGAAACAGCCAGGTCTGATTGACAGTGTTAATATGAGAGTCCGAAAGCGGGAAAGAAGGGGGGCATTTATTGGCAAACCGCCCAGTGTATTTGGCAAAGGCTAGAAGGCTGGCATGGTGGCAAGTGGCAGGCGGGATATTAGAGCTGTGTTGTGCTGGGACACAGTTGGCAGCCATTGTAACACTGGAGGCGCAGTTGTAGAGAAGCCAGCAGCGTTGTGGTTAAGTGTGGCTGGATCACACAATGCCAGATTGGATGTGCGAGTGCTGGTGGAGGTGGTGTCTTGGGAGGTGAGCTATGATGACAGAGTAGAGGTTGCCAAAATGACAGAGTGGGCCTGGATTAGGGGGCTTGCCAGATCTACTGAATAGTGGTGTGTGACCATTTTTGTCTTAGCCATGAAAAAGTGGAGTTGACAGGGGATATTCAGAGATTAATATGGTGAGATTGAGTTAGTGATTTGGCTGAATATGGCTGCTGCTGGGCGCCACTTTGGCAGCCTTAATTGGTCGTGCCCTCTACACTGGCAGTGAAGGGCTGTCTTGAGAGATGGGTTTAAGTGTCAGAATGGGTTAGGATTAAGTGGATGCCTAGGCTGTTGGAATATTAAACTCACTGATATGAAGAACGTGTGTGTCTGTTCATGCATATAAAATAAGGTTAGATAAAATTAGATAGGACTTTATTAATCCTGAAGGAAAGTCTTGAGCCAGAGAATGCAACATAAGCATGAAAAACAATAAGCAATAAATATAAAGTGAATAAAAAGTAATACCATTGCCAAATAGAAAGAACAATAAAGCAAAATCCATTTAGTAAAATACAATAGAGGATTATTGCGCATGATATTGAAAGTAATAATGCGCATGATGTTGATATAATTGTTCTCAGTGGCTGCATGTGGAATCATCCAGGGATGCATGTGCAAATAAGCATGCATCCAATGCACCAATTTGTCATACATTATAAATGTGTGAGAACATTTCATTAATTCAAATACAGATTACATCTCAGCTTCCCCTCCTCCTCCCTCTGCATCCCCTCCCTCCCTCTTTCCTTCTCCTCCTCCTCACTCACTCTCTGTGCTGTGCTACAGATGGCAGAGTAGCTGTCTTTGGCGCCTTGCTGGTGAGCCTGGACCTGCTGTCTCAGCCTGCTCTGCACACGATCGCTGCAGCCTTGTACCAGGTGGTCTCCTCGCTCCTTCAGGCCCACCAAGCGATCCTCAAAGCGTGCTATTTCCTCCATGATGGCCTGTGGAGGACAAAGTAACAATATTGGATCATGTTACGAAGAGTCTCAAGTGGAGACGGTCCACTCATCAACGACGCTGGCTGTGTGTAACAGAATTATATGGAAGTACATTATTCAATTCAGCAGCAGAAATACAATACAATTGGTAATGATGACATTCATACTGTATGATTTCAGCTCCGAGCTGGTCATACAGAAATGTTTAATGAGCAAAAAAACTATAGCATGCTCACATTAGAAGCAAAGTTAAGTTTGACTAGATTTAAGAGGTGTTCATTCCTTAAAAGAACACCAAGAGGATACTTTGACCCCAATTGTTCATAAAATACCAAATAGCTGAAGTCCGAATATTTGGAGTTTCCTAAAAAGAGCGAATGCTTTCCAATCATATGCTACAAACCCGACAAACGACAACAACAAAATCAAGACATGTGATTGGTCACCTTGTGCCTGGACAGCTGTTGCGTTGCTGCATCCAGGCTGCCGCCCACAGCTGGATCAGGAGTCACCATCCGGCTGGACATCTGGAGCAGCCAGCGCTCCACATCTTGGAGCTCGTTGTGGTAAGCCTCCTGTTCCTTCACCTGGACCTCTAGATTCTCCACATGCGCCTGGAAACACAGACAAATTATAATGATTACAAAAAGCATATGCAACAAATCATCACAACCACCTTCTTAAAGACTGAGTTCAGGCCCTCTTTCATTGTCAGAATTACACTAAAGAGGAAAAATCCTTCTCAATCCTGTCTCCATCTAAATGTTAATGCATGTAATTGATGGGTGTAGGAATGGATTCAATGTACATGAAAACTACTTTTGTCTGAAGACCGGTTCTCACCATGGCAGAATGACAGTGTTCCGTGTAGTCCCTTTGCATTCTGTTCATTTTCTCTCTGATGGAGGGGTAGTGGACGGAAGACAGCAGAGCGTCTCCTTTCTCCACCACCGACCTGATGGATCCGTCACGGGACTGAACCGTTTGCAACAGAGCCTGGGGACACAGACAGACATTATGAATCTTCTTTAGTATCCTAGTCTAATATACAGTAAAGAACAAATTCAAAACATGTGAGTATCTTATGTGGAGCTAACATTGTTGTATTAGATCATTGCTCAATATTAAAATGATCCCACCAGCTTTTCTTGCATTTCTTAGCTCATATACTCCCAATGGGTTCTAGTCTACGGACAATCATTTTCTGAAACATACCATAGGCATTAATCATTATTAAATCCTTGCTATACTGAGAAAACATGGTCAGCAGTTATGGAGAAACATTAATGTGGCCCATTACACTAATTATATATTGAAGGTCTTGCTGCAATTTGGCCCCACAAGGACACATTTACATATTATACTCATGATTTCAATTCAAATACAGTTTGACTGAAATGAGTCCATACAGTAGTTACTGCTTTACCTTATACTTAGCCAGCAGTGCTCTCCGTTGGTACAGCTCAGCTTTGGGCTCCACAGGGGAGCTGAGCATAGCCCTGGTCTCCAGCAGCCACTGGGCCTGAGCCTTATAGCGGTCCTGGAACTCCTTCGCCAGCAGTAGCGACCGCTGCAGGAAGCTGTGCTCCGTCCTCAGCCCACCGGCGAGCTCCTCCAGCTGGGCAAGGCGAGCCTCCACCTCCCCTCCTAAACTCTCAGCGCCCGCCTCGTCCAGGAAGCCTGCTGCCTTCTCCGCTCGCTCCCTCAGTGATTTCAGGAAACGGTGACCATGTTGGAGTTCAGACTGGAGAGTCTGGGTGAAAATGAAGAGAAATACATCTCAGTATGGCTGCTGCTATAGTTTCAACAGCAATACTTTATGCAACAACACATTCAACCTGGGCATTTTACATACTGTGGACTTAAAAAATACTGCTTTTATGTACTGGTATACCTAAATTGTAGCATACAGGTTATGCTCCAGGACTACTTTGAGTTCAACATTCAAACACAATATCACTGATTTCTTTGTCCTTCACCTATAGAGCTGCACCAGTCTCTCAGACCAGCCTGCAGTGTGTTTGAAATGCTTTGAACCCATCAGGTAGGCTGACACCTGCACGGGGAAATGTGAAGACTTGGAGTTCATGTTGTGGAGAAACCACAGTGAATAATATGAAAGGAGGACCCAATTATAAGGACCCTTAACAGGCAGCAGTAGCTGCAGGGGTTTCCAGGGCAACCACCACACACACACACACACACACACACACACACACACACACACACACACACACACACACACACACACACACACACACACACACACACACACACACACACACACACACACACACACACACACACCACACACACACACACACACACACACACACACACACACACACACACACACCTCCACTCGATGGGACGCCATCTAGCTTTCATCATCAGTCTATTATTGCTTGAGTAGCTTCCCACTGCAACCGCCCCAGACCTCCAGCTACTGACGAAGATAATACGATATAACAAGACCTTCGTCTGCACACACACGTCCATGTTTGCTGCTTAATATGAAGCTCCAGGCATGTTCATATTTCTAGTCACCGATATCGCTTGCTTAATATTTGACCTTAATAGGAGAGACTCAATATATCTCAATATATGCATGTGAGCTTAAACAAGGAAGTCGGCGGTAATTGCCATTTATAGTAGATGTAACTCTGTTTGACTCATTACCTCCACATTATATTGAAACCACTGCACTCATCTAACATCAAGAATCCTTTTTAGTGACAATACTTAAAATCCAAGTATGTTTGAGGAATCATCAACAAATATAACTTTCCCAGAAAGGACAAAATAATAATTCACTTGGCTTAAAATACCTTTCACAGCTTGTTCTCACCATCTGTCTTTGGATGAAAAAAGAAACTGAAGGAAGCTGGAATATAGTTGCACAATCCGGGAAATAATAAATGGAAAAACTTTAAAGGAATTCAATGGAAATAAAGGGGTTATCTATCTGCTCAGGCTCTATTAACCATGTCATATTTCAGCACGAAATAACTAACATATCAAATAGACACAATTCCATAATTTGCCAAATAAATCCATGGTTAGCTAACCATCAACAACCACTACCCATAAGGGGAGAAACACTTTTAGCTGAAAATGTCTGTGCGAACTTTAAAACATTTAAATATGGGTTGTAAGGAATTTTGCAATTAGAATACACCACCTAAGTTATAAAGAGAACTTTTTTATAATAATGAATTAATTGAAATCTTTAAATTATTTAAAACTCCTTAGTTAGCATGCTCAATCAAGCTACACCCCACATGCTAACAGCTAACAAAAACTAGCAGTAGATGTTTAGAAGATATAAAGAGTGTACTTATCTCTTGGCTATAATCTCCTTATTAACTAAATGATATCATAGATTTTGTTAGATGTTCACTAAAATAATAAAACCAAAACTTCCCTGAATGGATGTAGTCCTTAGGCTCAGACAGTGCAGTAGTGTTGGCAGGTACATTGGCTGCACATGTGAGCGGAGCATGCACGATGCATGCTGCAGAGAAATCTAATTTTACTCATTTCCTGCATATTTATGGGTTTTCTAAGTTGACTATTGAAATTAATGTTTTAAAATGTAGGTTGCGCAAAATCTTCCTTTAAAATGTTAAATATTCAAGAAATATTTTTCAATTTTCTACAAACATAAGCTGGAAATCTGCTTAAACTCATACTAATTGAACGGTGATAATACTATGATACAGCAGTCGACTGTAGATCTGGTGAACTGAGATCCTGAACAGTGTGTGCCCTTAATGCTGTAAACTGTCAGCACCAATTATCCATGTCAAGTGTCTCTTGCACTCGGTGTAAATGATGAGCGATAGTGATTCTGTTTCTTATTCTGCATCAGTTCTCAGGCTTCATTATCTACTGTAATACACCTACTTTGGCGCTGACAACCATGCTCATCAGTAAACACTCTAATATTAACAGAGGAAAAACATTACTAAGGTGACCCTGTGAGCAGCATTTAGCTCTGCTGTCACTGTGTCTCTGTTTTGAATGTATGGTACTGTATGCAGCACAGAGCATATTGTATTATGCATAAGGCAGAAATCTTAAGGGGGAAATGACCTTGAACATTTATGAAATGTCAGTGAAATAAAAAATATGAAAGGGGAAGGCGTCAGGGGGGCTTAATTAGGAGGAGACACCCTTTTTTGCATTTTGCCCTGTGCACAATTTCTGTAGAAGACAGTGAGTGTAGGACGCTCTACGGAGCACTCTAGGGAAGAAACTACTCTATAAAGCAAAAAATAAAACAACTACATTGAAAAAAAGGGAAAATATGAATATTCAATGAGTTGGCAAAGAATATGGGAAATAGTAAAACGTAACAATGTTGCAATTAAAATGCACAAAACTACAATATTGCCCTCTTCAAGTTGAAACATGATTCTGTTCAGCCTTCTGAAAATCTAACCATTGTACTATATCGTTATATGTTCATTTTCAGAGCCAAGCAGTGGGCAACAATACTATATGATTCATATTTTTGCAACCCAGAGTCAAAAATAGTCTAAATCCAGCCAATGATCCTTAACACAGCTATTGACTACTGGTCTTTGAGTCAATGTATAATCATCACAGGCAGTTCTCTGAAAAGCTCTCACCACGGGCGAATGAGTAAGTGATGAAGCACCGGCGCATTATCTGCAGTGCTGGAAGGACACATGTGGCGACAGCATGTCTTCAGTCCCTCTGCAGAGACAGAGCATCGATCCCAGACAAGGATCACTGCAAAGCCCATACCAGATGATGTATTGTAAATGTGTATTGATGTGTTTCTGGATGTGTGTGTATGCGTGTGAAGAAGACAAAGAGAGATGAGATGTAGAAGAAAAGCAGTGGAAAAACGTGTGAAATCACTGAGGATTCACGGGTTTCAGAGTATGCTGCAGCTTGTTAGTTAGCACTTTGGATAGGTTTGGTGTTGTGTGCATGTGTGTGTGTGTGTGTGTGTGTGTGTGTGTGTGTGTGTGTGTGTGTGTGTGTGTGTGTGTGTGTGTGTGTGTGTGTGTGTGTGTGTGTGGTGTGTGTGTGTGTGTGTGTGTGTGTGTGTGTGTGTGTGTGTGTGTGTGTGTGTGTGTGTGTGTGTTATGTGAAGCGGTAAGGGCACTGCATCAATTACAGTGTCTGTGCCAGCAGGCTCCTGACACCGGCGCTTCTTCTTCCTCTTCTTCACCGTGGGAGGTCTCTTCCCTGCTACCACGCTTCCTCTAAAGCGGCACTCGCTTTGTCTTCATAAAGAGCGGATCGATACACATATACTCTTCCAATCCTACACACTCGATAGGAACTATGCCAAGCAAAACCATAGTGTGGATTTTCTATTTATTGCATGTTTGTGCAGGGCTACTTTCCACCACTGGCTATTCCACAAAAAGAGCACAAAGACAAACTGTTAAAATGATGCCACTAGAGTGAGTTTCTAGAGATCTACCCACATATTATAGGTATACTGAATGCTTTGAGAGCTTCATGCATATTTTTACTGTGTAAGCACATTTTATCTGCCAAAGAAATCTGGACCCTTGATGACTCTAACAGGTACCGTATGTTGCTTGGCAGAAAACAAGATTGCACAAGGACATTTTTGCTGGCTTGGATATTCGACTCATATGAGTTGGTGCTCAAATTCTCCACTACAGCCTGGAGTCTTGCTAACTCATCAGTTTATCATCCAACGTCTGTGCTGATTTATTGCAACCTGTTCAGGGCATTAAGCACTACTCTGCACATTGTATCCAAATACTTCACTGGCATATCAGGTTTCAGAACTGTGACAGTAAAACACTCTACTGTATCCACGCAAGAACAGAACAGATGTGGGTTTATCAATACCTCTATTTTTTTCATCTTCTTGTCCATGGCGACCCGGTCCAGAGATTCAGAACTGTTAGTTAACGCTGTGAAGCTTTTCTGCGTGGAGCTGAGCCAGTCAGTGAAGGATATGCAGAGATTTTCAGCCTCTTCAATGCTCTTCAGCTCCTCCTGAAGCTGCTTGATGGTGTCCTGAAATACATTTGATGAGAAGTCAGAAATAAAGCATAATAAAAAAGAAAGAAAAAAAGAGATGACACCCATACATTTTTTTTTTTTAACAATTGAACAGACATAGTTTGATACCCTTAGAAAGTATTTCACATTTTGTTTCACACGTTAGAATTGTTTGTGAGACTCTTCAGACTGTATTTGGTCTAGAGACGTATGGGCTCAGAACAGTCTCATAATACACACATGCACACAGAAGGATTCAAACTTGTATTTCCGGATCCATACTTGTGTTTTTCAAAGTACACACAAATGTATTCCGTTTCATATACATGTAAATAAAATCCAAATACAGAAAAAAGTTTTACATATGTATTTTTGATCCTCACATATTAGTTTTCCGTTTAAATCCCCTGAACCTGCAAACACAAACCGCTTTCTGTGCACGGATCGCTGTGCATTCGTGTGTGGGTTTTTTGAGACTCCCCTGACGGTCAGCCGATTCGTACTTGTAATTTTTTATATCTATAGCCAATCAGATGTCTCCTTCATTCTAAGCCAATCACATGAGCGCGCCCCCACGAGGGTAAGATTACTTCATATACGCATTTTGCGCAGGCCGGTCAGCTCGCTAAACAGAGGGCGGAGCATCAGGTGATCATGCAGAGCAGCGTGTCTCCATCAGACTCAGCAGCTGATCTGATCTCTCTCTCGGGTCCGGTTACACTTCACTCGCGTTTATGTCCATATCGATCAGATCCAGCTCTCCTGATCGGCCTTTATAGAGAGCACCGATCAAACTATTAAGAATATCGGCCGATAATGACCGGCGGGGCTCGCCCCCGTTAACAGGTCACTGTCTAGCACTGGCTTCGTAGTGCACTGATCGAGTAGGCTAAGCTAACCTGTAGCCGCTCCCTCCACACTCACAACAACTTCATACAGACATAAATAAAGCAGCTGTATTCGCCACACAGGAAACACACATTTAAAACGGTTTTGCCTGCCGTTTTTGTGTACACAAGCATTCATTAATGGTTTGGAAAGTGGCGCTGTACCTTAATAATATAAAGGCTTGTATTTGCGTGCATTTCCTGTTCGGAAAGTGGCGCTGTACTGAGAGTGGAGGGTGTCCTGAGATTAGCGCCTGCAGGCAGGCTCCATGGAGCTGTCAGCTCCGGACTGCGCAAAATGCGTACATGAAGCGCTACGTCATGAACGCAATAAATCATAGCCTCGTGGGGGCGCGCTCATGTGATTGGCTTAGAATTGAGGAGACATCTGATTGGCTATAGATAGAACAAATTACAAGTACGAATCGGCTGACCGTCAGGGGAGTCTCAAAAAACCCACACACGAATGCACAGCGATCCGTGCACAGAAAGCGGTTTGTGTTTGCAGGTTCAGAGGATTTAAACGGGAAACTAATAAGTGAGGATCAAAAATACATATGTAAAACTTTTTTCTGTATTTGGATTTTATTTACATGTATATGAAACGGAATACATTTGTGTGTGCATTGAAAAACACAAGTGTGGATCCGGAAATACAAGTTTGAATCCTTCTGTGTGCATGTGTGTATTATGAGACTGTTCTCAGCCCATAGAGATGTCCCGATCCGATCCCGTGATCGGGGATCGGAGCCGATCACGTGATTTTCAAAAGATCGGAATCGGGAGAAAAAAATCGGGGATCGGGATTTTTATTTAATTTTTTTATAAAATATATATATTTTTTTAATTTAATGTTACAAAACAAAAATGACCATGTTCACGTCTTAAAGTCATCCTGAGGCCTTAGTTTTGGTTTAAAATTACACAACATCATGTATGTGTTGCTTCTTTTGGGCTTGTTTTCATAGTGCTTATTTCTCTTAAATCTGGCAACAGAGTGGGCGCAGTGTCTAATAGTAGCAGTAAGCTAACGAGAGGCTACGTTCAGCTGGTGCCTCGGGAGTCGGGACAGAGAAAATGTCAGGAGTTTGGAAGTATTATAAAATTGAAAGCGAAGGCAGTGTAACAGCCAGATGCAATGTTTGCAAGGCGGAGGTTCCGCGTGGTGGAAAGAACAGAGCTACGTTCAACACGACCAATATAATACGCCACCTGAGAAACAAACACCATCAACAACACGACGAGTACACAGCGGCCACTCAGGTAACGGCCCTGAAACAACCGACACTTTCATTGACTTTTAAAAGGAAAGAGAAACTGCCCCAGAACAGTGAAAAGGCCAAAACAATAACAGCCAAGATAGCTGAATTCATCGCGTTGGATGGCCAGCCGTTATCTGTTACCTTTGTTTTCTCTTAATGCATTGCATAAAGATCGGACCGGGAAAAATCGGTATCGGCAGATTGTCAAAATCAAATGATCGGAATCGGATCGGGAGCAAAAAAAGGTGATCGGGACATCCCTAATTTGGTCAGGGGAAAATTCAGGAAACATGGTCTGAGTTTCTTTCTTTTAAGTTGTGGGCTGTTTTATCTTGGCCACAAAGGACCAAAAGCTGTCTGATCCTCTATCAAAACAGAAAATATCCACTTCTCTCTCCATTCATCTGCAGAATGTCAATAGCATCCATACAAGGTGAAGAGGGGTTTTTATGTTTTTGACATATTATCCACTTGACTGAGATGTTGAGTCAATAGCAGCATGAGGACGGAGAGGGTTTCTTGCAGGTTTGACACATTATTCACTCAACTTGCAAATCCTGTGGCGAGAAGCCCCAATTAGCATATAGTGCTGAGTGCACACCTTTTCTGACTAGACAGAGGTAACAGCTTCCCACCTCAAGCCCATCTGCCCCCCACTTCACAGAGGGTAATTACAAGCATCCTTGGTATGAGAGGGATGTCATGTGTCTGTATACACTGGCACTGAATGTAAGTATATGCATGCTTGAGTCAATTTTGAGAGAGGAAGGAAGGGGTGTGGGTATCACAGAGTGAGGGAGTGAGGGAGTGAGGGGGGAGACACACACACACACACCCCAAAACTCAGATGTGTTAGTGAAGGTGTAAAAATCGATGGAGTGAAGGCAAAGCTTTTCCACTCCTGGTGCCAAGTGTGAGATTGCCTTCTGTAGCGTTTGATTACAGCCTTAGCCCCAGACCAGAGAAGCCCCATTGATTTTCCTTTAGCCCCCCCCCCCAGAGGAGCAGACAAATAGAGAGGCCGGATCTGAGTATACAGAGCAACACAGGCTGGGCTCACAGGCATAACTCTCAAAGCTACTTCAATGGGGTGTTACAGAAACAAAGACTCCATACCCTCACTGGAGCAAGTTCCATGGTGAGAGATAACCATGTGTGAGAAGCCCACTGTGGGCAGAGACCCCAGTGGCAACACACACAGCTCCCATCTTTACCATTGAGAGAGTATATTGCAAATGGGATTAAACCTATACCCAGCCCATAATGACTATATGTTGGCTTTATGTTTAGCTATTTTTTACTTATAATGGCAGGTAGTATCTTCCAGGAAAAAGTTCTTGTGGACAGGAAATTAAAGATTGCACAAGTTCGGACTTCCTGTCCACCAGTTCATTTTTAAGACCCAATATAAAGTCATTGTTAATAATAAAAGGGTATTAAAAGAAAATAGTAATCATCATGTATTCTATAAGGGTGAAGTATAAAAAGCTGTTGATATAGGTCACAGTGACTTATAGATATTGCCTTACATACCATAAATCACATTGTACAACTACATTTCACCGCTAAATCATAGTAGCGTTGAAATAACAAGGAATAACTGGACAGAAAGTCAAACTTCTATATTAACATTCTCAGGAAAAAGATGATTTTTTTCAAACTCTACAGAGTAAATATATGATGTATAAATATATACGTAAATACGCAACAATTTATAGACAACAGACGATGCCTAACCTGTATGTTGAACAGCAGGGAATGGTAGCGGGCAGTGAGCTGGGTGGCAGTAACGCTGACACGACTACTGATGTAGGTTTCCTCCAGAACCTGCTGAGCCAGAGAGGAGAGGCCGTCGACTTCTCCCTGCCGCGAAAGCACCGCCTCAAGACTCCCCTGTTCAAAAGGGACAAGGAGAAAAATATATAATTAGTGTGATAATAGTGAAATACAGACAACAATATTCATGATTTAAATTAGGTTTTTTTGAGTGAAATAAAAGGGCAAACAAGAAATAATAACACATCACACCCCAAAAAAGACATGGGGTCAAGGGGTATGTGTGTGCGTGTGTGTGATGTTGTTGTGTGTGTGTGTGTGTGTGTGCGCACATGCGTGTGATGTTGTTGTTGTGTGTGTGTGTGTGTGTGTGTGTGTGTGTGTGTGTGTGTGTGTGTGTGTGTGTCCACTAAATGCAGGGCAGGAAAATCCTGACTGACAGGAAGCTCCAAAGGGAGGTGACCCTGTAGGGAAATATTCTCCCCCCCCTGCTGTTTTCTTTTCTTTCAAATGTTGTTGTCAGTGGAGTGTGTGTACAGTATAAGCAGGAAATGTGATGTATATTACTGGAAGGCCCTGGGATTTTGAAAGGCAAGATCCTATCTTTTAGAGATTTTTTGTAGAATAAATTGATGTAATGTTGAATGAACTGACATGGTGTCACTGCCAGTCAAAGAAAAATCTGAAACCATTTTTTAGCAATGAATGAAAAGACAAAAATTCAGGCAAGATCTCTGCAGAAACACCAGATACAAGCTAGAACATTGTATGTGTTGTATATACATTGTTTCTAGGGTGAATTCCTACATATTGTGCCTTTATGAGGAAAGGGCTTCAAAGTAAAAGAATAAAGACTAAAAAGTTGGCGTGAAACAATACATCAACTGAAAGTGCTTTGTTAAAATATAATGAAACCACTGACAATTGCACAAATTATTAAAAACAGCATATCACATAGCATGGACTTGAAATCTTTCTCTGACCTTGAGTTTCTTCAGCTGAGTCTCTTTGGTGCCTCTGTCTGACCTCCGATGACCTCTGAGGTTTGCCACCTTCTCCATCTCCTGCAGCCACTGGGCCAGGCTCAGGAACCTTTGGCCCATCTGCCTCAGTCTGGTCAGCGTGGAGCTCAGCTGGTTCTGGGTCTCCTCCAGGCGACCCTGGTAGGCCCCCCACTCCCTCTGAGCGGTGTCCAACGCTCGGTCCTCGATCTGAGGTATACCCCAGGGGATTACCCTCTCTCTGCTGCTCAGCACAGAGGAGAGCAAAGACTGGCCGTTTGAGCAGTGTTCCTGCAGGAGCTACATGAGAAATAAAAAAGGTAAGAAACAGTGTGATTGAAGAGTTTGACATTAAAGGTCAAGGGTCTTGCACAACACTCCATGATGTCTGTACCTGTAGCTCTTGCAGTGTCTTCTCTAGTGTTTCCACGTTTCCCTCAGGGTGGGACAACGAGGCCAGAGTGGCCTGTTCCTGCTCCAGCCAGTCCTCAAACACATGTAAGCCCCTCTGATATTCCTGATGGACCAGCACCAGCCCTTTGGCCTTACCGACTGCATTCTGCAAAACAGGTTGAAGAAATTGGTGGAAAGAAGAGTTACATCTGTTCAAACACAGCAGTAGTAGATATTTGTAAGAATAATTCCATGACTACTGGCTTTAATTTTTTGAAACTCAATGATTGAACTAAGTCATTTGTGGGAATGTTATTGATATTTATGAAACAACAGGATCAATATATTATTCAAATGCCTTCAGAGGAAAATAAAAATAATGATTTGTTTTGTTTCGTGAGTACCTTGGCCTTTTCTTTGAGGGCATTGTATCTACATTGCAGCTGCTGCACCTCCTGCTTGGTAGTGTAGTGTTCAGCCATATTGGATCCCTTCGTGGCAATGGTCTCCAGAGGACTGCTGTGACTCAGTACTTCTTCATAGAGAAGCTGGAATGAAATGAGAACACAAAAATACACTCAGTTTACTACATGAAATTCCATCGGGAGGCTCTGGAGAATGATAGGTGTAACTGCATGAGTTTAGAGGAGGAAGTTCAATAACTAAAAGTGATTTTTCACATTTCGAATTATCCGAAAAAATATGAACTAGAAACAAACATTACATCTGCTCTATACAATCAAATATCCTGCTGAAACAGGCGAAACAGTTGCTGATGTAGTGGATGTTTCGTAGAGTTAAACGTTTTTTCATTTATTTGCACACACATAAGACTGAATAAAAACAAGATATGATAAAATAAGAAATTTGAAAGCCCAAGAACAAACAGAACAGGACAACAGACTTTTTTGTTGTTGCTAGAATTGGCTTTTTAAGGCTAGGCATTAAAAGCACGATGGGATACCTTGGTCTTTCCCAGGTTAGCGGTCTTGTCTCTCATCTCAGAGTACTGTCTATCAGAGCAGCTAAGTGTTTCCTCGACTCGGTCCATCCACAGCACAAACTGACCCACGTCCTCCTGATAGCTGGTCCACTGCGACAAAGCGCCCTCCAGCTGGCTGTTAAATCAACATAATGCAGTTAACACACAGGGAACAAACATGCACATACAACGTACACATGCATTTAAATCTAATTGTCCCGTAACCTTTCAACTAACTGAAATCAATCAAGTGAAACAAGACAGTTCCCAGTCCCATTTATCAACTGACTGAGAGGTTGATTGCTTTATGATCACAACCTTTTACACTGAATGGAGGCAGAGAGCAGGGAGTCCCAGGAGTCTTTGAGGTCCTGGATCTGTTTGCGAATCACCGGGACCCCCTCGGCCGAAGTGTTCCTCTGGACTGCTTCTCCCCGCGTCAGGAGCATCTTTAGCTGGATCTCCCTCTCCTGACGAGCAGCCAGCAAGGCCTGCAGACAGAGGGGAGTGATCAGACAGAAAATAACGATCTATAGTCTAAACCTTTTTAACATCAAAGCATTGCAACAGGATTTTCAAGTAGTTATAATCTCAGCACGAATCCTTGACATCATTTAGTCTGATGCATCGGTCTCAAACTGAATTATCTGTGTCAAGATACTGCTGGAGTGATAATCCTGGTATCAAGTAGTAAATCTGTTCATGTTGATGCACAATGTAACGGCAATAGAATGACGAAATGATCAGTGTTTAGATTTGTACCCTGTAAACCTTTCATTTCACCATGCAATTTGATCTGCCACTGGGACGATTTCACAGGAAGATGAAGGCCCAATTAAACTCACAAATGAAATGCAACCATGGCGTGAATAAAACAGGGAAGGGATAGCACTTTTGTTTTCCCCAGAAACTATCGATAGCTCTCATCATTAAACCAAAAAAGAAGAAAATCAATGAAACTTTTTTTGTAGTTTCTGTCCCCAGTTGTTGAAATGGCAGTCAGTGGGAAAACCAAAGTATAGTAAAACCAATTTCAGTGTCCTGTATTGTTAGAAGTCCCTAGGCTTGAAGGAAAACAGAAAGCAATATGTTGTGTTTGCAACAGCGATACCAACAATCACACCACTTGGGAAAGCTAGTTGGGGCTTGGAATTGAAATGTTTCATCACTGAAAATGTTCTGAAGGAAGCGTATTGCTGGGGAAACATCAACAGTCTTTATGGGTTGTACATTTTAACAATAGTCTAATCTCTAAAAACTGAGTTATATTCCCCCACCCTTCTTGTCCCTCCTTACTTCCAGCTGTAACATCCGGTCCTCTAACACGCTCTTGTCCGTGGTGGTGGTGTTGCAGGTGTGGAGGACCCGCTGGGCTTCACACACCCAATCCTGGAGCTCTTTGAGGCCCTGAGAGAAGAGGCGGTGCTCTCCGACAATACGTTCAATCCTGGAGGCCTTATCCTTCAGAGACCAGAGCACAATACTGTAAACACACTCTTCTAATAACTGTTCTGAGAAACGGGTAGGTTGAAAACAAACAATTGATTTGCGACAGTGTGTTCATATATTTCTGTTTGCTTTTGGGATTACACTCTTATTTTTACTCACTGAAATCTCCAGAGACTTCCCCACCCCAAAATTACAGCATCAACACAATGTATTTTGCTCGAAGTAATCACTCATAAATCTTTAACATCCATAAAGTGGGGCAATAACAATCTACAAGTGGAAATTTAAAGAGATTTCATTCCTGTTTCCATGTCAGGCAGAGAAGAGGACCTAAAAATAGCCCCACTCTAGCTAGCTGGAAAAGTAAATACATCTCATTCATCATGGAGCACTCTCATTTTCCTCAGGAAGGACAATGGTGCTATGTTATGTTTTGTACTACGCGGTATACAATTATAGAAAAGAAAGTGAAAGTGTGACACATTTCAGCCCTGGCATTTTAAAAGTACTTCAGTGGATAAAAGGTGAGCTCCACAGTCTTAGTCTTTTTTATGTTGATGAGGCTGCGAGGACCTTTCGGAGTTGAAAAATGGATTGTCCTGCTCAGGTAAATTACCGAAAATGCCATGACTTTCCTAGGTGCAATATTTTACCCCAAGGCAAGCTGATTACAGAATCTGTGACTGATGAGAAACTTGGGAATAATGCATGACACAGCAAATAGCAGAGAACAGTAAACAACGTGGCTGGACAGAAAGATCCATCGTTTTTTAGCACATGAATCAAGCTAAGCACCTTTCGGCATGCTGCAGCATTCTTTTTAGACCGAAGCTCAGTATAAGGACAAGAAAGGAGCGTAAAGGCCAGGAGTTACCTTGGTTAAGTTGCTGAGGGCTAGGTACTGTGCTGACAGCTGGGATACACGGTGGACGAAGCCCTTTCCGGCTGCTTGTCCCTCCCAGAGACGATGAGCTCTTTCCCTGAGACCGCCCAGCTCTGCCTCCCGACCCGCCATCTCCTCCAGAACACACTGGACCAGCAGGAAGCAGGAGGAGAAAAAGAGATGAAGGTGGAATTGGAGAAATAAAGATGAAGGAGCAATAGGATGTGGGTAAGCACAGTTTGGATGGAGACGAAATGGAGCACATAGGAGAGGATGGTTGTGTGTTGGCCGCATAAAGTCAAGGACAAAATAAAACAACAAAAACCATGAAAGCGATGACAGAGAGGTGGGAGAGGCACAGAGGAGGGACACATGGTTCGGTTAACATGTCACAAGAAAAGACAGAGCAACAAGAACACATCGGAATACATGGATAAAGACTTACAGCATCAGCAGTATTTCGCTTGATGTTCATTTTTGAAAAGAAAATGCTGTAATCTGGTGAGACACTTCAGCTCAGAACAGAGGGGAAGCGGACAAGGCTGATCAAATACTGAAAAGGAAATGGGGTATTTATCTGAAAAAAGCAAGGAGGATTTGGCCAACACAGGTTCAGACAGTGAAGCCTGCGTGTATTGTATTGTATTGCACTTCAGGTGCTGAGGGAAAAATGTAATTGCTTGCAGGGCCTGACAAAAGGCAGCAAGGAGAAGTGCTACAGTGGGGGACGAGTAAATACAAAAATAGCAACAAAGATAAGGGCAGAGCTCTGAGATGGGCTTGATATGTTTTTTTCTCTATTGTCAGTTTTATCTTTTGAACGCTCCGTGTTTCTCTTTTTTTTGTCTCTGCCAGACATGGAAGAGACTGTTATCACATCCTGAAAAGGGCCTTTTAGCCACGCAGCGCTTCAGCTGTGACAGGCGGAGAATTAATTAGATTTCTGGACTTTTCCTCCGACTATTGTGTCAAGACGAGGCTCTATTTTGATCCAGTGGTGCTCGACAAATGTAATTAGGTCTTTCTCTTTTCCCAGCTGATTTGAGATTGCACTTTAGGGATGAATATCTGATGGAGAACTACAACTATTTAGCATCCTGGGGAAATCTACTTAATATTCAATTTCTGGTGTAATAAAATGGTTTACTTCAGAGACGAGAGGAAATTAGAGAAATTACACTGGGAATGTGTAAAAGGCACACTCTCAGTGTGACATAATGCATTTTAACAGAATTCGATCATACATCATAAAAATATATTGCTTTAAGGAGTGGCTATAATAAAACTGTAAAGCTAGGAGATAGACCCATTCATTTACACTATAATTACAGGGGTAATATCATTTTAAGAGGGCTGCAATGATCAGCTGTGAAGAATATTGTGAGGATATCTGCTGTTTAAAGAGCCTAGACGGCGTCAAGTCTAGTGTGACTGCATGCCTTCTGGCTCCACAATACCTGCAGTTTGCTGAGCTCCTGTTTCTTGGCTGGAAGGTCGTGTAGCCGGGCGCTGCTCTCCTGAACTCTGACCTCTGTGCTGTTCAGCCAGTCCTGCAGAGGCTCAGCACTGGCCTCAAACTCCATCATCTGGGACTGCAGGTTCTACAAATGGTACACATAAGTTGTCAAAAACTACTAGAGAATTTCTTAAATAAACTACCTGTACACAGACTGAAACAACTCCATTCAAGAAAGCATGTTGAAATTTGTTTGTATGTCCTCTGACAATAGATATACGATATCAAAGCCAAATCTCTCTATGTGGATAGTCAAAATAAATCACATAACCTATGCCATAAAAAAAAAAGTGAGTAAAAAGGTCAACAGGAAGAAGACACAAACTGTAAACAAATATGTAGACATTGTTCAATCTGAATGCATTACATCACCAATTCTGTACTGTTAACCAATACTTAAAGATATAGAAACCTTGAGATGCAGATTGTCTTTTATTTTTTTAAAGTAGACGAGACAAAATAGCAGCATGCAAACAAAGCTGCATTTGAACTAACCTTGAGTGCATCCTCCCTCAGCTGCAGGTTATTCATCAGGCTCATCCAGTCTTCTCTGGTGTTTGCCACCTTGGCCTTGATTCCCTCCACCCTGTCTTTGGACACCACAGCCATCAGCAGCTCCCCGCTGGCCCCCACTGTACTCAGCCTGGCCTGGCCATGCTCCCTGTCACTCAGAAACTCCTGTGGGGATACACAGACAAAGACAAAGGAACTGTGACTATTTAACACAAACACACACACACAAAGGGAGGGTGTGACAGTGAAAGGGGAAAAATGGACTGAATGACAACTTGTTTTTTCTTCCGCTTTTGATGCTACAGTTGATGGCTAACTGAAATCAATATGGCCATTTTCTACATGGCCAATATATTTGTTTCCCCTGTGTCCTGGGATCTCACTTTACACTGTCAAAAGCAGTAATTAGACTGAGCCATTACTCATTCCATATGCGTGGGCAGAAGGAGGGGGCTGACCCGGGGAGGCTATCACAGATTAGGACAGTACAGCCAGGCTGAAATGTGTTGGTTTTTACATAGCTCCTTGTACCCACCCACATAAAATTTACACACACCCCCACACACACACCCCCTCCTTCAGAGCTGAGTCGATGACAGTAGCGCAGCAGGGACCACTCCACCATCTGTGCACTCAGCACGCACACACACACACACACACACACACACACACACACACACACAACACACACACACACACACACACACACACACACACACACACACACACACACACACACACACACACACACACACACACACACACACACACACACACACACACACACACACACACACACACACACACACACACACACACACATTTAGTACAGTGCAGCCAAAAGCAGGCATAGAAAGTCCATTTTTTTTATCTCTCTTTCCCTTTATTTTCATTCTCTCTTCTCTTTTCATTCAGTTTTCTTCACACTTACTCCCCTTGCCAATGTATCTGTATACTATCAATTAAGCGTGACACAATGGATGCCCCCGCCCCTCCCATGCTTGCCCTCCTGGAGGTCAGCCATGTGGAAACATTGTTCCACATTCCTCCCCAAGTCAATAATAAATAAAACATGCTCCGCTTCAATATTCCTCTCTCCTTCACTGCCATGTACCCTATGACATTCCCGCTCATCCTTAAGGCTACACAAGAAACTTCTGAAGGAGCACACATATGCTTTTGTCAAATTATTTCTAAAAGTAACCGTATGTTATTTTGACATTCTGAACTCCCTCTTTGTGTGACTGTTGATTAAATGATAAAGTACTGTTCACACTGAATAAAATATGTTGCTATTAAATCAGTTTCTGCACATTGTTAATGTAGAATTACACTTACTATTTAAGCTCAGCTCAAAGCAATAACCATAATTCCTTAGTGGTGATGTAGTGGTGGACATGGTCAGGTGTGTGAGAGGTAATTAACGGTCTGGGGCAGGGATGTGGGGACCACCTTAAACGACAGCACCTGACTCTTGGCCAGGACCCTGGGGTGCTCTTAAGAGTCTGCCAGACTGTTACACCTGCCAGCTTCTCATAGAAAGACACACAGTCTTCTCAGAACGAGAAACACACAGATATTTTAAAGAGAATGGCACAGAGACCCCACTGTGGAGCTTTCTCTTATCCCTCTTGGCTTTGTGCCCACTTTTAGCTTATGCAGCCTTCGGCAGGTCCTGCCACTCCGACAAGCCCACCAGAGGACACTCAACAGTGGGTATGTCGATACAGACATCCCCTTGAGCAATCCCCCTTGAAAGTGGATTGATTTTTTAACTATTACATCATTTCACTTTCAGCAATCTCCTTTGTAGTAGCAATCTTTGCTAAGCCTGCTCAATCCATGCTAGGATACTAAAATGAACCCTGGTTTGTCACAGTCGATTTAGAGTAAACCAAACTGAGGATTTAAAGCTTCACAAGCAACAGTGGCAGCAAACACAAATATTTTTGATTAAAAAAGGGTTGATTTATATCGTTCAACAGGTGAACAATCAATACAGAAAATCTAGTTTATGTAAGTGGATCAATTAAACGTATTCACTATACAGCAACTTGATTTGAAATCCGTACTGCTTCATTTCAGCTAGCTAATGGGCAATAGTGTGTGACAATAAAGCCATTCTGGGTTCTGGGTGGCAGTCAGACATGCGAGTATGAATGAGTTTTATTATATTTTGTGCAACCCAAGTTATTAAAAATGCAGGTCTTTCTCTAAAGGATGGATTGGAAGCAATATTCAGTGACATGCAAATAAATATCAAGTCTTCCACTTTCTATCCCCGAATACAAAATGTGATTCAATTTGTATATTTGCTGCTCTGTGTCTAGTTGTCTGTCCTGAGGAAACAGGAGGTGATGCACTTTATATTTCAAGCAGCAATAAAGAGAATCAAAACTGGGAAGAGCAGTAGGAGTTCACAGGCTGAACAACAGTGTGACTTCAAAATGATACCTGCAATGTGCAGACCAAAAGGACGGCACCTTACCATAATTCTATTTTAACATTATTTTAAGAATGTAGTAGGAATTGAACAGATGTCCACTCTGGGAAAAATATATCTCTTACTTGGATCCTGAGCAGAGCGGTGGAGGCTTCGGCAACACTTTGTGGAACATCAAAGCATTTGGCGGTGCTGATTTTGGCGTTGACCAGCCACTGTTGGAAGTCTCTCAATGCTGCGCGGAACCTCTGCTCCAACAAACGCTCCTTATTTTGACACTCCCTGGATGCCCGTAGACTGAGGCTGCAGGACAAGAGAGAAGATTTAACATGTTGTTCACAAGTTGAAGTCCAAGTAGAAATGAACAAAGAAAGAAAGGGGTTACGTCCAGAGGATGTGTTTGCCGTCTACTGTCCACGTGCTCATCAAAACAAAGAGGACATGTGCAGATGCTAACATACTGTACATGTACAATGGAGGAGGCGAATGGGAAGCCTGGGAGATGAACAGGGCTGAGAACGGGCAGGTGGAGAAATGGCAAAGCGGGTGGAGTGGAAGGAATGAGCATTGGGGCAAATGGGGTGGGGGATGGTGGTGCGTAGGAGGGGGTTGAGAGGCAACATATGAGTGGGGCAAGAGTTCACAGGGGTGACAAGACAGAGAAAACTGGGGTTGACAGATTGATGCTTTAAGAAAAAGGGTGAGAATGAAGGGATATGGCAGGGATACAGTGTGTGAGGGAAAGGTTAGAATGAAGCAAAATGATATATTAAAAGGGACACTTTGACATTTTAGGTGGTTGTTACCAGGATCCAGAATTATTTATATTGTTCATACAGTATATCCCTCAGAGTATAAAGCTAGAACTACACAGTACAGAACATTGATATTGGACGTTTGCGACAAACCTGTTACTAAGTTCAATGCAACATTTCTCATGTCAGTGTTTTAATTCTCACTTGCTGTTTTATTTGTACATGGCAACTACAGCATGGCAAAGGTAAGGGAATTATTAGAAAACATTGAAAGCTTGAAATGTCTGTGATAGGACATCAATAAAATACGTTACTATCCATCCACCTCCACAACTCAGACGCTATATGGAACATCCTTTTCTTTATACTACAGGCAAAAATGTAACCTCAATTGCACCAACAAAACGTATTTACTGTTAAGAGTATGCAAAATCTGCACAAGTAGGACAACAAAGGGAAAAGAGTCATTGGGTTTCATACATATTGGGCAGTGGGTGAAGGTTAAAGGGGGGGGGTCTGGAAGTGATGGAAAGGATTACAAGGTGCTCAGCTGTTTGAGCAGGAGTTACTGTCCCAAGGGAGGCATGAAAAAAACAAGAAAAAACCCACACAACCTTCTATTTATTCACACTAACACACACAAACACCCTTGAGTTTTAATGATGCGATAAGAACACGAAAGGGTATTACAGTGAGGTTGGCATGTGATTGGAAGAAGCAGTTTTTTCTGCTGTGATGGGCAAAAATCTGGCATGAGCTCTGAAACTGCCTTTTCCACCTCCATCTCCTTTCCCCCTACTCTATTTGTTGTGCTTCCTCTTTCCCCTTGCTCTTCTTTCCGCAGTGCTTAATGCAGGACAGGTGCTAAGAGCACACAGGCCAAGTCTGCTACTGACTGAAAAGTCTAGTGAATGAGGAAGGGTGCTGTTTTTGCCAATCAGCAGCCAAAGCCAATTACCCGCAAAACATCTCCAACATGTTGACCTCACTCAGATTGTCTGCCAATATTTTTTTGTAACAGTGCTTTGTCCCAGTACTCTACAATATTTCGAGAAAATGTAATAAATAAATAATTCATGCTACAGCATGTTTATACTTGTGCACACATGTCGTTTTTGGCATGGCGTGTTTCACAAGCAAGCGTTAAACCAAATGAACAATAGCAGGCAATTAGAGGGCATGAAAAAAAATCATCCAAATGATATTTCCCTAAAATTACACTCAGCCTTCCATAAAATTAAACAGGAGAAGGACACAAACTAACAAACACCGTGAACAAGCAGAGGTGAAGGAAGGTGCTTGGATGTCGCATAGCAACTGGTGGCTCAGTTGTTCTCTGTCACCTTTAGCCTTAGTCTGGCTGACATACATGTCACAACAACTCTCTGTGCGAGATGGTCACACACACACAAGCACACTCTTCTCATACAAATAAGGTTGTAAAACTGTGCCGTTACCCTGCCCACTCTGACATGTGAGCAGTGTTTTTTGGGGGAGGACTCTGCGCTTCTTCTACTGTGGTTTTGGTAATGAATGAATACATGTGTTATGCATGGTCTCATTACGTGCAAGATATGGCAAATATAAGTGAAAACCTTATGCAAAGCAGCAATGTTCTTCTGTTATGCATTCCATAGATGGCAATATAAAGTTATCACCCAGCTTTAGCCAACAAATCTCAGTTTCATTTCTAATCCACATAAGGAAAACAAACACCAAAGTATTTTCCACAACACGCTGTTCACTTAAGTAGAAAAATGTCCTCTCACCTGTTGTGCTGTTTGATAAGTGCAGTGACTCGGTCAGAGTGTGAGCCCAGGTCTCTGGAGTACCGCACCAGGTCGTTGAGTTGTCCTTTCAACTTCTCTGCCATCGGCTCGGCGCTCTGCAAGCCCTCCAGTATATCCTAAACAACACAAAACACACACCAGCTGGCTCAGTGTGTGTGTGTGTGTGTGTGTAACAAGGAGAGACAAGCACCCAACGGATCTGCATGACACCCTTCAATAAGTGCACTCGCATTCCTATTCATACCCTGTCTTCGTCTTTTTAGCTCTTGTCTCACACACACACACACACACACACACACACGCTCCAACACATACTCACAGTGTTGCTTGTACAATAGCATTTCTGTTCTTCGCGCAGTGTGGCAGGAAGGAGCCTTGGATAACGTTCTCCCGCTCTCCTCAGCGTGCCTCACATTCTGCACTCAGTCTCACACAGTCATGAAATCCTGTCTCATGAAATGTAAAAT